TCCCTTGACTTTCTGTGGTGAGGCCGTGCAGAGGAAGCTAGTGTGCGTGGCCCTCAAAAAAGCCGATTGGCCTCAAAGGGGCCTTTCCCTCCTGATATCTTTTAGGAAGGCAACATGTGGCAACCATATGCAGTAAACCAAGGAGCTTGGCTATCTCAGGACACTGGCTTAAAGGAATGGATTCTCCTGAATCTCTCGGAGTGCCAGAGTGATTAGTGGCACACATAAACTCTGCCCCCAGTGGAGCAGGCCACTGTTGTTGACTTGCTGACTGACACAGACCTGACCCGTCTAGCAGCCGGGCATTAACATCGCAGCGCACAACTTTCGAGACAAATCTTGGCTGCTGCGTTTCGCCCACAAAATATACAGTCAATTCACCGTACAGTACATTCTGTGAAGCGTTTTGAGACGTCTCGAAGATGTGATAAGCGTTACATCAAATGCAAGGATTATTATTTATGATTAACTCTTATTTGGGTGCCAGTTTGAACAGGCATGGTTGTTTACTGCACCGGCGCTGGGATATCTGCCCCGCAATGTAAGTGGAATCAATTTCACAACATTCTCATCCCAGGCCATTCCTGAACCCATCCTACTTGATGCAACTCTGCACGTATGGAGGGGGCATCGGGGAATGGAGCAAAGGTCATGGGGGAAGAGCAGGAAAGGTTAATGGAACCAGGGTATGGGTGAATTGTTGTCATTTTCTCCTCTACTTGTCCTCCTCCAATCTAGAAGGTGCGGATTGTGCCGTGGTACAGTTCAGTGACGCTCTGTACCTCATCCAAGCTGCCAGTGAGCCCAGACAGTGAGTGCTGCCAGGCTGTCTGAAGCTGCTGCGTTGCAGACTGTAATGAATAAATGTTGCGGTGGAGCAGTGCCATTACTCACAGGGTCACTCAGGAAGGAATGGCTGAATGATTTAACAAGCCGCTGTGGCAGATACCCGTTCAGAATCCTGTTGCTGACATATCCTTGTTTATATCCTTTTGCTAAAACAATGACTTAAATCACATACCTTCTTTGGAGATTATTAAGGGTGCGTTGACCCTCAAATGCTTCAGTGGGTAACTTCATCAAATCTCTCCATCTGCTTTTTGTATGGACGTTCAGTTCTTTTGGCATTTTTTTTCTTAACAGCCTCATCCTGATCCAGGTCAAAATATTGCAGTACCTATCTCTACCCTACCCTATATTTTCAGCACTCTCTCTTACATTTTGATGATCAATTAACATTTTCTACTATTGCCTCTTTTCCATTTAGTTGTTTCTTAAAATCCTTCAACAAGCTAATTTTGCCCACAAAATTTACAATAAATTCACTTTACAGTGTATCCTGCGAAGTGATTTAGGCCCATTTTTCTCATTCTTTCGGAGCACCCACACTACTGTCTTCCAATTATGGCTTTAAGCTGTTTGTAATTGAGTCCAGTGTCCTATGCTCAACCATCCTTCTCATTAACCTGGTCCAGCTGTTATAATTACTCTTGTTAAAGAAACGCTTCCTGGTGTCTTTCCTGAAATTGCCCTCAGCAACTCCAAATCTGTAGCTTGCTGTCTCAAAACATTTGGAAGTATTGTTAATAGTCTGTTTCCTCAATACCATTTAAAATCTTATATACTTCTATGAGGTCCTCTCTTGAGATGTTTCTTTCAGCACTGCAAGGCCCTAGCTTGTCTAATTGTTGCTCATAGTTCATTGTTCCTCCTCACTGCCTCGAGCATCTGGACAGAACAGTAGTAAATGCACCAGTGCCAATTTATCCTTTGATCTCTCACTGCATCAAGCTGCTCATTTAGTGCCATGATATTGGCAAATTTATGATTAGAAGCCACAGCCCACTGAGAATGGTAAGAGAATTGTAAGGGACTGTGGCGAATGGGTAGAAAAGGAAGCATTAATGGTAAGTAAGATAATTCATATATATGAATTGCAAAATAAGGTCATACTAAACACACTGTGCACAAATGCATCATAGGATGTACAACAGGGCAAGATAAATTAAACTTTATTTCCTCCCTAATTTTTAATTCAATTTTTTCATGGTAGGAGTTCATTGGCAAAGACTAGGCAGGCTTTGGGACGTCCTCCCGACGTGAAAGGCGCTCTATAAATGTAATTTTGTTGTTGTCTGACACAGACAAAAACCCATCACCATGCTTAAGAGTATCCAAACCAAACTGAAAATTCCATGCATCCCACCTACACATGGAAATCCCAGAGATAGATTGTTGGAATGGAGGATGCATCTTGCTTACCTAATTCTGGAAAGTATTAGGTACAGGTTGGCAAGAGCCAAAACTTGGGGACCCCAGAGTGTATGTTAGGGTACTGCTGGATCTTAGAGAGAGAAGGAAAGGTAGAGACTGTCCAAATTCACCCTAGGACCTTTGAAGCCAGCAGACATCAGACTTGCATTAGATCAGGGTGAACTGTATTCTGAGCAAGCGCTAAAGATAAAAGAGCAAGGGGCTAACCCATCAGGTCACCCAGTCTCCTTCCCCTAATACTCAGTGACCTCTAAAATAATGCAGGCAATGTGGCAGCATTAACAAATGTTATGCACTACAGTATGATGTCTGGCTAGGTGATGTAATGCTCACTAGTCAGGCAAAGCTCCAGTATCTCAAACCATCCCCCTGATTTATTCTGTATCGTGAAGGTTAATTGTTGATGAATTGTTAAAGGCAAACAGAAGTGCCAATACTTCACTTAGTTTCTTAAACACAGTCATGAGGGTTTCAAAAACTGGAATCGTGATTTCTAAGTGATTTTAGGTCACCTTGCCTCATGTTGCCTAATCGCAATCCCACAGCCTCATTAACTCGAGTAATTTTCGCATTAAATCCCTTCTTAGCACTAGCCCCTGGGAAAAGAGAGAAGAAATAACCTAGGCTCTGGTTAATATTTTTATAAGTTCTTTGAATATGTAAACAAAAGAAGTGAGATAAGAATCTGGGAATTGTTGACCAGGAAGCATGATATCAGCAATGGGGAAAATACAAGAGCTTTTCGTAAGATATTCATAGGGGTCCAATGTCAAGTGCAGGATGTCTGCTCCAGGAAGTAGAAACCGTCAGTGAACAGTTACCACAGGTCAGCGTGACATATTTCCAGTTACTGGAAAGAGTTCCCATTTGTGGAACTTGGATTCTTATTTAGATCCTGGGTTTGCAAAAATAACACAAAATAGACTCCATTATCAATGTTTCCTGTGGCCTCTGCTGTCATCTTTAGATGAGGAGTTAGAATGGAAAAGCAATAGGCTATGCATCTTAAATGTACTGCAGTTATTTGAGGAGATGAAAACTATATTAACAGGTTAAGACTATATTAACAGATGAAAAATGTATTAACAGGTGAGGACTATATTAACAAATGAAGTCTGTATTAACAAATGTGGACTATATTAACAGGTCAGGACTATATTAATAGATTAGCACTGTATTAACAGGTTAGGGATATATTAACAGATGTGGTCTGTATTACCAGATGTGGTCTATATTAACAGGTGAGGTCTATATTAACAGGTGAGGTCTATCTTAACAGGGGAGGTCTATATTAACAGGTGAGGGCTGTATTAACAAGTGAGGACTATGGAGTCATAAGATGTCCTTGGGTTTTTTAATTAAAAATGTGATTTATGTTCTGTGGGTAAAGCTTTCAAAGAAGACTGAACCTGCATCTTTATAATATCAAAACATCTCAAGGTCCTTTAGAGTAATCACCATCAAATGTACTGATGTCTTTTGTGTTCAAACACGGAAGCCATTTTGCGTGAGATAAACCATGAGATGCATGACCAAAAATAAACCATGAGATGCATGACCAATTTATCTGGACAATTATTGACCAGAATACGGAGAGAAACTCCCTTTCCTTTCAAGGCTTGGCATCTCCCGCAATGTGATCCTCCCCAGCACTGCCTGTAGTACCATTTACATTAGGAAGACATGTCAAAATAGTTCACTGGATTTTACTATGATGTGCCATGACTATATTTAGTCATGGTCAGCTAATTCCCACAAACAACAACTTGCATTTATATCCTGCAGATTAGCATCTTGGAGCCTTAACAGTGGTGGAACGTGACGCAGATGTGACCTGAAGATGGGCAAAGAAGGGGGCAAGATGAAGGGATTGAAGCAGAGAGTTTCATAGTTTTGTGACATAGTGGCTGAAAGCATGGCCCTCGGTAGTGGAGTAGAGGGAATGAGGGATGTGTAGGAGGTCAGAGCCAGTTGAGCACAGGAGGAGTCAGGCAAGAACTGGGGTGATGGGGTGTGGGTGAGAAAACAGGCGGCAGAGTTTTTAATTAATTGAATTAAAACAGCCATGAAGTGAATGACCAATTTTATCTGGGGAATTGTTGGCCAGGACATAATTTCTCTGGTTGGAATTGAACTGAAATTGAGTTGGAATTCAATCCAACTCTGTAACCCAGCCAACTCTTAACATTTCTTGGCTGCTCTGGTGGATGCACAGAAAACATGCAAGGGGCTGTTTTTAATGTTTTTCAAGAGAAAGTTGCGCACTGAACTCCAATATCAGGTGCTCCTGGTACAATAAGGAGCGGAAAATTAAGGAGTAGGCAATATATATCGAGGTTTCAAGCTCCACATCACTGTGGAGTGATGTTGCAAGCAATAATAATATAAATAGTAATAATAATAGAGCCTTTGCATTTGATATAGTGTTTTATCATGTTATTGAGGCGTTTCAAATTACTTCACAGAATATAATGTAAAGTGGATTGACTGTGCATTTTGTGGGTGAAATGTTGTTCCCAATGTTGCTTTGGTAAGGAGCAAAACTGTCTCACTTGCAGAAATATAAAGAAGGCTTCAAATGTGTGCTTACAAACTTATTTATGTAATAATAACAATTCTTGCGTTTGAAGTAATCTTGCTTTCTGACATAGAGGTAACTAAAGTTAAAATTCTAATGTATTACTCTGTTTTATTTCCCCCCCCACCCCCACACTTTCTCATCTTAGTTTCGGTGGTGATAGGTGTCCCTACAGTAAAGAGAGAAGTGCAAACTTACCTGCTGGACACACTAGACTCCCTGATCTATGAGCTATCTCCTGAGGAAAAGAAAGATTGCGTAATAATTGTATTCATCGCAGAGGTCAGTCATTTCATAAAACAGCCAAATTGTTGTGGAATTGAAACTAATGTTTTAAATAGACAAGGCAAACAGGATGTTCATTGCCAAATCAAATTAAGATCACCAGAAGTCATATTGAAGCCATACATTGCCCTGGGCAGGTCAGACCTGGAATACTGTGTGCATTTCTGATTACTACAGAATAAGAGGGCTCCAGGGTTTAAAGTATTGCAGAGGAGGGTAAGAAGGAATGAGTCCTTGAAGGCTGAGCTATGAGAAGCAATTAAATAAGCTAACGCATTTAGACTGTGAAAGAGATGTCTTACATCTTACAGGTATATAAAATGGCAATTGGGATTTAAACATTAACATACAACAATACTTTAAGATACACCAAAACAATAGGGCAGAGGCACAGTTGTGAAGGGCAATTTCAAGACAGGCACCAGTGGGCAGAAAACGCATTCTTGTGGAGTCCTGTAGCTCAGTGGTTAGAGCACTCGCTTTGCAAGCGAGAGACCTAAGTTCAATTCCAGGCAGGGCGAAACCTTAGGCAAGTTTCCTTACTCCACACGCCTAATAATAATTCCTCCAAAACCAAAAAACAATAATAAATTGGTCATTTTCAATCTACGACTGTTTGTGGGACATTGCTGTGCGCAATTGGCTGCCGCGTTCGCTCACAAATATACAGTCAATTCACTTTACAGTGTGTTCTGTGAAGCGCTTTGGGACATCCTCCCAACGTGAAAAGCGCTATATCAAATGCAAGGATTATTATTATTCTTATTCTTGGCTGACATCACCAAAGCCATTGCACATGACACTGATTAGAATTTAAGGCCATTAGAAGTATTTCTTTACACAGAACGTCATAATTGGTTGCAGCAGGTTACCAGGAAGGTTAGTGGAGGCCAGGATATTGAATCGAAGCTGTAATAGGAAGTTTGCAGGTGGACATTCTAGAAGAATGAGAGGAAATTGGCTAAAGGCCATTTTTCATCCGAACCTTTCTTGTGATCATAAAACTGTGATTTGTGCACTGAATGTCTGTACAGAGTTCACACGTCAAATGGATTCCATTGTTCGGTTATTCTGTCAGCACTCCCCCCATCCCACACCACCCCCCCCACCTCCACCATCACATTCTCCTGCCTTTTCACATCATTATGATGGGTAGCCATCTCCAGAGTAGTTGTTATCTGAAAGAACTCATTCTATCTAAGTAATCTGGATCACTGTCCACCCAGAATCTCACTCCTCTCAGTCCCTCTTCCAGGAATCTCTCCTCTCAGTCGGCCTTCTCTTTTTCAAATGTAATTTCTCAGTGTGCACATGTGCTGAGTCTGCAGAACAAGATTACATCCTTCAGTTAGTGTTATGTTTTCTTTCAATTATAAATATGTGGGGGTGAAATTGTTTTTTGCTCATTGCAATGTTGGATCGAGTATGAAAAAAAAATTTCTCCAAACAGTTACAAAAAGTGGCTGCTTTTGTAAAATATACCTTTAATTTAAAAGAACCCCATTATAAAGTGCTTTGTTATTACCCAGTTCACTTATTGCACAGTTGAGGTGTGGACCCCAAGCTTTACTTACCCAAAAAAATCCAGTGCACATATTGGCTCCCTTACTACTTCAAAACAGTTGGCTCAGGGAAAGCCAAAATAGCCAACCTCTGGCTCCGTAGGTCACCAACAATGACACTTCCTGAGCATGCATATTTTGACTTCCCACACACCAGTCAGCATTTTATTTTCCTATGCTGATTAACAGTGAAAGTGCTGACTAGCCGTTATAGGACTAGTTGGGATTTTATAGATCTCAACTTCAACATTGGTGAAAGGCGCTACACAAACGTAATTTGTTGTTTTTATAACAGACTACTATATTACAAACACTGTGGTGAACCCTTGTTGCTACCTAGCTGAAAGAGCAATCCTGCTTTTTCTTTCTCCCTCCTCCAAATAAATATTCTGTAGATAGCAGGTCCTTGTATTGAAATAATTTTCTTGTGAGGTTGCATTGGGATAACAGATTTATTAATGTCATAGTTGTGACCAATTTTTTTTCAGCAAAATTGATCATGGGTAAATCTTATCAGATTAATATTTGATACTTAAGTTTAGCAAAGGCTGAGGAATATCTTTTGGCTGTTTTCATTTTCACCATTCATGCCTTGGGCTGCATGTTGAAATTTTTGTATTGCAATCAAATAGTGGTATAATAATAATAATAATAATAATAAACCTTGCATTTGATATAGTGTCTTAGCACATCGTTGAGATGTCTCAAAGCGCTTCATAGAATATACTGTAAAGTGAATAGGCGGTATATGTTGTGGACAAAATGATTTGCCTACTTTATATCAGCAGGTTAAAATCCCCAGCTAAAAGAACAACTTGTGCTTATATAACACCCTTTCAGGTGGATTGAAAGGTTTGTAATGCATAACAGATCCATGATTGAGAGCACCAAGCAGGGAGAGAGAAGAGAGAAATAAGTAGTTCTATAGCCCAAAATACAAGATCCACATTCAAGATCATTTTAAAGGGATTGAAATAAAAAGCCAGGCCGAGGTTTTGGAAGAGAGTGCTCAAGGGTAGTGGCATCTGTAATGATTAAAGGCTTGGCCACCAATGGTGAGAAGGAGGGAGGGAGCATTGAGGAATAGACCTGATTGGAAGATTGGAGGGAACAAAGTGCTTGTGGATACAACTGATCACTTGTACATGAATGGATCATTGCATCTGATCTACAGCAGAAGAAATAAGCAACAAAGACATCTAGAGAAACAGATAGAAGAGCGGAATTCCTCAAGAAGGCTCAGACTTGCTTGTCAACAGCGTTCTACAAAGCCTGTGTCCAATTAATGTTGAAATATTGTAGCCCAGTTGGGCAGGTTATTGAGAAGTCCACCTTCCAGTCCAGTGGAATAGTACAAAGTCATGCTACTTTCAATGAATTGAACAAAGATACCAATGAGATCAAATAGGTTAAATGGTCTTAAAGCTATTAAAATGTAATGAGGATTTTGATTTTGAAGATTTCTCTATATTTGTATTTTACAGGTGAATGAAAATTATGTAAATAGTCTTGCAGAAAACATAAACAATGTGTAAGTATGACTTAATAATAATAATCCTTGCATTTGATATAGCGCCTTATCATGTCTTCGAGAAGTGTCAAAGAGTTCACAGAATCTACTGTGTATATACAGTATATAGATTTTGTGGGTGAAACACGACAGACAATTGCACACAACAGTGTCCCATAAACAGTCATGGATTGAGTGACCAATTTTTTTTTAAGGAATTATTACCCCCGTAAAAACAATCTGCCAATCGACTAATAACCAGGTTCCTACTTAGGCGTGTGCAGTAAAGAAACTTGCCCAGTATTTTGCCCTGATGGAAATCGAACTCAGGTCTCTCACTTGCGAGGTGAGTGCTCTAACCACTGAGCTGTAGGACTCCACTTCATTATATTGCACACATTTAACCTGCCAATAGCAAATTGCACTACATTGGAGCTCATGTGCATTGCCATAAATCCTTCAGGAAATGTAATACTTGGAGCAAGCATGGCCTCATTATATTCATGGGATTGTAGTGCATTGGACCTCTGGTAAATGGTGTTGTGACAATGATGGAATACACCACACTGGAACTCCAGTGAATGGAACCACAGTAATGGTGGAATCTAAGGTCAATCCCCATGTCAGTGTGCTCATGATCCCCACAGTGACATAGCTCAGGAAGTGCTCCCAAGTTGAGAAGGAAAGAAATGCTCTGCATGTCCTTGATCATTTCCTAGTCATAAGAGCAGTTCAGATTGGTATTTGTAGATCACATTCCTCCTCCTCCTCTTGACTCTGATAAGTAGGTAACCAGAAAGGTAAATAAAGGGAGATTACCTCTCCCCAAGTAAAATCAAACTTTATGCTTGGGCTTTTCGACTTTTGGCCACTCTGTGATTTTGAGGATTTTTCATAGTATACTGTATATTTAAAGAAGCATTAATTGTACACATCTAAATGTTTCTTTTTAACTCACGCCCAATCGTAGTTATATCAACAGATGGTCAGCTCCCCCCAATAGCTTGGCTGGTTAAGCTACTGTTTGCAACTGAGCCATAAATACCTAGAAAGTCCCATAATGCCTCGGCCTCAAATTGGTCTGAGCTAAAAGAGGAAGAAACCCCAGCAGCAACCCCAAGTGTCCCATCATTCACGCCCTCTGCACAAACCGCCTCCTTAAGGCAAGCACAACTTCCCCCTCCCTCATACGTACCCTCCCCAACTCTCCTCTCCTACTATTCTCCACGACCATCTCTCCTGTACACCCTAAAATCCTCTCTGCATCACTCTCTCCTCCCTCTCCTCCCACCAGCAAACCCACCCGCATTTCCCTTCAAAATGTCCGTACCCTCTCTAACAAAGCCCTCACCATCTATGACCTCATCCTTGACGAGCATCCGACATTCTTGAGCTCACAGAAAGCTGGCTTTCCCCCAATGACCCCGTCCACTCCTGGCTCCTCCTTCCACCATACCCCCTGTTCAAACCAACATGGCGAGGGGTGGCCCTCATCTCCAAAGCCTCCTTTGGTCTTGTCCCCTACTCCTCTGGCTGCTTCCCCTCCTTTGAGCACCTCACCCTCTTCTATCCCTCTCTCCCACTGAAAATCCTCCTAGTCTACCGCCCCCCTAAACACCCCAGCTCCTTCCTCTCTGACATCTCTACTCTCATCTCTTCCCTGTCCCTCTGCTCCGAACGCCTGCTCATAATGGGCGATTTCAACCTCCACCTACACTCCCCTTGCACCACTTCTTCTGACTTCACTGCGCTCCTCTCCTGCCTAAACCTCACCCTTCACATAAATTCACCTACCCACAACCATGGTCATGCCCTCGACCTCGTAATCACCACGGCCTTTATATTTCCGACCTTAGCATAAGTGGACAAGGCCTTCTCAGACCACTTCCTCATCTCCTTCTCCTCTCACATCCCTCTCTCCTCTGCCAAACCCTCAATCATACTCACCCTCACAAAGGCCTTCACATCCTCAAATATAATAATCCTTGCAATTGATATAGCGTTTTTCATGTCTTTTAGATGTCTCAAAGCGCTTCACAGAATATACTGTAAAGTGAATTGACTATATATTTGTGGGCGAATGCGGCAGCCAATTGCGCACAGCAAAGTCCCACAAACAGTCGTGGATTGAAAATGACCAATTTATTATTGGTTTTTTTTGGAGGGATTACTATTAGGCGAGTGGAGTAAGCAAACTTGCCCAAGGTTTCGCCCTGCCTGGAATTGAACTCAGGTCTCTCACTTGCAAAGCGAGTGCTCTAACCACTGAGCTACAGGACTCCAAATATCCCTGTGGCCTTCCACCCGCAGAGATCATGAAGCTGCTCTCCAGCTGTTCCATGATCGCCTCTCCTCCACCTATAACTCCCTCATCCCCCTGAAATCCAGGACCATCTCAAAACCCTCCCAATCCCTCTGGTATAACAATCATCTCCACTCCCTAAAAACCCAAACCCGGCTGCTCGAACGCAGATGGCAGAAGACTGGCCTGACAGTTCATCACCAACTGTGGCTCGAGCATCTCCATAGCTACCGCCGTTCTTTGACGTGTGCGAAAACGTCCTTCTACTCCAACATCATCTTGGAGTCAAAAAACAATCCCAAAGTCCTTTTTTCCACCACCCACTACCTCCTCCATGCACCGCCTCAGGCGTCCTCACATCCAATGCCAAGTGCGAGGAGGTCATGGACTTCTTTTCATCCAAAATACATAACATCTGCCAGGCAGCCTCATCCTTCTGCCTCTCGTCACCCATCACCACCCCTTCTCTGTCCCCCTCACCCTCCCCATCATCAGCTCCTACCACGAACCCCATCCTACAGTCCTTCCTCCCCATCTCTCCTTCCTCCCTCTCACCCACCAATGAAACCCACCACCTGCTGCCTCGACCCTCTCCCCACCAACTTGCTGGTCACCCAGCTCCCCCTCCTCTGCCCACTACTGGCTGACATCATCCGCAGACATGGGGTACACTTCCATGTATGCGGACGACACCCAACTCTATTTTTCCACCTCACACTGCGACCCCCAGGCCCCTAATGTTCTATCTGCCTGTCAGACATCAGGAGCTGGATGAGCGCGAATTTCCTTCAGTTGAATGTTGACAAGACAGAAGCCATACTCTTTGGCTCTCATCAACGTCTAAAATCACATGCGTCTCAACTCTTCCACCTACCCGATCTCCCCCTAAAACTCTCCGAACCCGTACGCAACCTAAGCTTCAGGTTCGACCCCCAATTATCTTTCCTCCCCCACATCCGGTCCCTCACCAGCACCGTTTTCTTCTACCTCCGAAACATCGCCCATCTCCACTAATACTCCACTCCAAAAATCGCTGAAACCTTGGTCCATGCCTTTGTCACCTCTCGGTTGGACTATTCAAATGCCCTCCTCGCCGGTCTCCCCTCGACTTCCATTCACAAAATCCAGGTCATCCAAAACTCTGCCGCCCGCATTCCCACCCGTACCAAACTCCGCTTCCCGGGTACCCCAGTCCTTGCCAGACTGCACTGGCTGCCTGTCCCAGAGAGGATCGACTTCAAGATCCTCACCCTTGTCTTCAAATCCCTCCACTCCTCTGCACCCCCCCTCCCTCTCTGACCTCCTCTCTCCTCAAAACAGTGTCCGTTGTCTTCACTTCACCTGGTCTGGCCTCCTCCTTGTCCCTCGAATCCTCCGCTCCACCCTCGGTGGCCGTGCCTTCAGCCACTATACCCTGAGGCTCTGGAACTCCCTTCCTCACTCCCTTCGCCTCGCTCCCTCTCTTCCTATTTTCAGGTCTTGGATGAAGACCTTTATTTTCGACCGCGCCTTTGGTCACCTTCCTCCCCCTCCCCCTGGCTCGGCCCCGGGATCCGTTACTGTGAAGCGCTCTGAGACACCGTCCAGCTTGGAGGGCGCTATATAAATCCAAGTTGTTGTTGTTAAAAAATCATTGGAAAGTTGCCAATAACATGCATAAAGAAATGATAATTTTATGTTGTATTGGTTCTCGTATTAATACCACACGTTAAATTGGTGCTTATATTGGCATTGATGTTAATGATAACAATCTAATTTGAGCTCTCAGGCAAAACGAATATCTTTTGGATTACCTGCAGTGTAGTCCAAATCTGTTCTGCATAAGCAAGCCCAATTACTAGGTTCAGTTTACTAGTAGATTGATTTCCAAGTTACCTTTTCATGGATTCGGCCAAATAGATTTCCCCAGTTACTGGAACATTTCGCCTGGAGCCATAAGCTTCATTGTAACATTATCAGTTGTGAGGCAATGTGTGAGAAATTAGAAAGTCCAACAGAAGAACTGCTAATTGCCCTTCTGGTGAATGAGAGAAAAATCAACGTGGTGTTGTTTTCAATAGGTTTCTTTGGAATAAACATTAATTTTGAGTTCTTGATCTTCTGCCCACAGATATCACAATGAAATAGAGTCTGGACTTCTGGAAATCATCTCCCCTTCTCCTGGGTTTTACCCTGACCTCTCAAATCTCAGGGAGACCTTTGGAGACACACAACAGAGAGTTAAGTAAGTTTATCCAGTAATACACCAGCACACTATTATGTTACCTTTCCACTAAAAGCATTTCTACCAATCACTTAAGAACGGTACACGTTCCGTTACCACATATGGTGGGTTATTCTGTGATTCGTGCAGGTTATTCTGTGACCGTAATGGGGCTTACTCTGTAAAGGTGCAATGAATAATTATGTGACTGTGTAATGGATTACTATATCAGTACAATACAAACATAAAGATGGCCAAAGCACTGTCAACGTCAAGCTTGCTGGCAAGGAGAAAAGTAGAGTGGGTATTCTGGAGGGAGGGGTTTGAGATCAGCCAATGGGCCTTCTTCATCAAAACTAATCTTATGATCGTGTGATGTTTAATTGAAGAGGAAGAGGTGGGTTGCTAATGGCTGACTGTGGAGATTAGTTGGCACAGTTAATTCAAAAGCTACTTTTTATAACTGTGGCTATTGTTTCCAACCTAAGGAAAGCTGCATGGATTCAGTTATGCCTCATGTGGGTTAGATACTAAATTTAATAACAGATATGCAAAATAATATGTACAACCTCTCCAAAAAAACAATTCTTAGAAAATTAAATGATCAGCAAGTATGACTTTGTCTTTCGCTAGTTGCATATCATTATTAATAATAATAATCTTTGCATTTGGTATAGCACCTTATCACATCATTGGGATGTCTCAAAGCGCTTCAGTCTGACAGATAACTTGTCACAGTGATGGTCTGAAGTTAGGGTTACAACTTATCGTTGAGTGTGTGGAATTGATACCACCCATTTTACTTTTTCAATGGTGTTGTCTGGTCACTTGCTGATATGCCTCCTTCTGCCAGATATCTATGTGAGCAGCAATGTGTTACTGCTGATAGAGCTATATCACATTCATCAGAAATGAGTTGGCAGTAATTGCTGGCTGCTTCCAATTTTCTGCTTTTAAAACCCGAGTGAGACATACGGGTTGTATTGTTATAATACTAATATAATCACCGGCTCAGTAAAAAACAAATAGTTTCCAATAATCCATTCTAAAAATACAAATCTCTTTTTCCTTACCTCTTTATAATGAGATTATAATGAGATTGTCCATGAATGAAATTGTAAATAATTGGATGACATCAAAAATATGGGATTTCACAAACTGCAGCATTTTACTTTCCAATCTTTCTTTTGTCAGACTTTTCCCTACCACGTCATGATCCCCTACAAACAGTCAATAGTCTTAGGAGTTAGTGCATCATGAATACCTCTCTTTCCCCTATTACCACCTCTCCAGAAACAACAACAAAATGCATCTATATCATGCCTGTCACATAGGGTAACATCTCGGAACATTGTAAAATGGTGTATTTTGATGCCGAACCAGGGATAAAGGGAAAGTGACTGTAGGCACGGTCAAAGAGGAAAGACTTTGGCTATGATATGAAGATGGGCAAAGAGGGCAAGCTGGAGGGACTGGGGCAAGGAGTTCCAGAGAATTGGAGTTTAGTGGCTGAAAACACAATCACCAATGGTGGAGTGGAGGGAGAGTGGGGGGAGAGACGTGGAGAAGGCCCAACTGAACACAGGTCGGAGATAGAGAGATGCCAGGGCATGAAGTGATTTCTAGGTGAAACTCAAAATAATTGAAAAAATTTTAACTAAAGGATTTGTTCTAAAGTCGAATGCAGTTTCAGACTCTTATCAAGAGATGAAGTGTCCCAATAAACAAACTCTAAATAACTTAGTTTCAGAAGTTTTGCTGAAGTGTTGGAGCACAGTGCCTATGACCCATGAATAAATGGCTTTGTTCATCACCTGACGTCTGAAACTTCCTTCCAAGCCGTTTGGAAAATTGCTTTCCTAACTAATTTCTAAAATTGACTCCATCGATTTATAAATAAATGATTGGTAATTAAAAATGACTTGGTTGATGGCTCCGCACCCAGAAATAAGAAATACCAATCCGTCTTCCAGCCAGGAGCTTCCGAATTCAGAAGAGTTTTACAAATGACGGTGTTGATGAAAGCTCCAGTCTGACCTATGTTACTTTAGTGATGATGAGGCTGCAATTACAGCAGCCAAACCTCGTCCCCTTTCATTATTTCTCCTCTACAAAGATCGGAGAATTCATTAGGGATCCAGGTCTATCATTAAGCTCCTGACCTCAATATAAAAAAAAGGTTGGTTTATTCACTCGTATTCTATGCAGTACTTTCAAAAGAGCACCTCCTCCATTACATTATTTACGAAGTTTCCCAAGTGGGTTAAAGCACCATCCTGCAATACAAGTTCAGAGCATGTGGAGTCAGAGGAAAAATAGTAGAATGGATAGCAAGCTGGCTGCAAAACAGAAAACAGAAAGTAGGGACAAAGGGTAGCTACTCAGACAGGCAGGGGGTGGGCAGTGGTGTTCCACAAGGCTCGGTATTGGGTCCACTGTTGTTCACAATATACACTAATGATTTGGATTCGGGAATCAGCAGTACAATTTCAAAATTTGCGGACGACACCAAATTGGGGGGAGTAGTTAATACAGAGGAGGACTGCAACAAATTACAGCAAGACATTAATAAACTTGCTGAGTGGGCATTTTTAAATGGCAAATGCCAATGTAGAAAAGTGTGAGGTGGTACATTTTGGTAGAAAGAATAAGGAAGTCATGTACATCCTGGAAAATTAAAACCTAAATGGGATAGAGGAGCAAAGGCACCTAGGGGTACACGTACACAATTCACTGAAGGTAGCAACCCAGGTTAATAAGACCATAAAAAAGAAAACCAGGCATTGGGGTTTATTTCTAGAGAGATAGAAATGAAACGCAGGGAAGTTATGGTAAACCTCTATAGAACCGTGGTTAGACCACACTTAGAATACTGTGTGCAGTTCTGGTTCCCACATTATAGAAGGGATGTAGAGGCACTGGAGAGGGTGCAAAGGAGATTCACAAGGATGATCCCAGAACTGAGAGGTTATACCTATCAGGAAAGGCTGAACATGCTTGGACTCTTCTCTTGAAAAGAGGAGGGTAAGGGGTGACCTGATAGAGGTCTATAAAATGATGAAAGGTTTTGATAGGGTAGACATAGGGAAGATGTTTCCACTTGTGGGAGAGACTGCAATGGCTCAGAAACAACCATGGAGTGAGTGACCAATTTGATTTAGAGGATTGTTGAACAGGACATCGGGAGAAACCTTTCTCTTTTCGAATAGTGTCATGGGATCTTTTATATCTACCTGAACAGGCTGACGAGACTTCGGTTTAACGTCTCATCTGAAGGACCTCAAACAGTGCACCTATAATAATAATAATAATAATAATCCTTGCATTTGATATAGCGCTTTTCACATTAGGAGGATGTCCCAAAGCGCTTCACAGAACACACTGTAAAGTGACTTGACTGTATATTTGTGGGCGAACGCGGCAGCCAATTGCGCACAGCAATGTCCCACAAACAGTCGTGGATTGAAAATAACCAATTTATTATTGTTTTTGGTTTTGGAGGGATTATTATTAGGTGTGTGGAGTAAGGAAACTTGCCCAAGGTTTCGCCCTGCCTGGAATTGAACTCAGGTCTCTCGCTTGCAAAGCGAGTGCTCTAACCACTGAGCTACAGGACTCCACGTACCCCCCCACCCCACAACTGCATTGAAGTGTCAACTTCGACTATGCGAGTTCAAATCCCAGTGTGGGATTTGAACCCACAACCTTTGACCTCGATGTGAGGGTGATGCTACTCAGCAAGCTGAAACACACTTTCTTATACACTGTCTTGAAAGCTTCCAAATCCAAAATGCACCTAAAATCAAATCCCACCACCACGTTCACTAAAGTAGAACATAACTCCTCTGCAAAGAAAACCAAACATTCAAGTAAAGCTCATTGAGCTTCTGTATTTTGTATGTGATTGTGATATCACTTTAAATTGCCTGGGAAAACAAAGCTTGCTTTAGGTTTGGACTGGAAGAAATGTCTTCCCGTATGGTCAATAAGAATAATTTTCGGGATTTCCAGATGGTCTTCTAGCAGTATGAAGGACTTTTATGTGGCTGTGCTTCAAAAGTAATAAATGACATGACCAAGACTGCAGCAGCTAATAACTACAAACAAAATCACAGCTGCTGAAAAACACAAACGTGAGGCTCTCTTTGCTCACTTGAATCAAATCTCCCTTGCATCGATGTACTGGTATTTTCAACGGTTTATGCAGCAGAGTTTTTGTTTCTTTCTAGGTGGAGAACAAAGCAGAATTTGGATTACAGCTTTCTAATGATGTATGCTCAACCCAAAGGAACCTTCTATTTACAGGTACTGAGCAGTAGAATGATGTTGCCTAAGATTTTATGTTAGAACATGACACTGTGTGCTCTCAGGTATTCAATTCCTGCCACCCCCTCCCCCACCAACCAAAAAAAATCAATTCAGTGTTTTCCATTTAATGGATCAACTCTCAGGATTTAAACACAGTGATGTAATAGCAGTGATTTAAAATGCAAGAGAAGTGGCTGCTGGAAAATATCAGGTTATAACAACAATCTGAAGTTTCATCTAAATCAGATGTGCGCTTCACTTCTTAATGGAAATTATTTAAAAAAGCCCACAGGGAGAGCAATCGATGCAGCTTGCTCTGAGTTTAAGTACCATCTTGGGTCTTTTTTTCCGTAACCAAAGAAATCTTGCCACTTTTCTCTAAGGTTGCAGCACTATTGACTTTTCCAGGTAAAGGAAAATGTTTATTATCTTCTGCATGCTTGGCTTTTATTTATGGAGGGAATGCAATTTGCTGCATTTTATTTCCGCATATTTTCAACGCTTTCCACAGCCCAGCATCTATCTAACACCATAATGCCTATTTTCCTGGTACACAGGTATACATTCTCTCTCTATACCATCCCACACCACCAGGAATATCAAGCTCACTCAGATACAGGCTGAAGCTCCCTCTACTGAATCCCATCAGCGTTCCTTAATATTGGTCTCAGAGGGCCATCAAAGTGTGATATTTTCTGTTTGTCTCTGAAACAGAGAATCAGGAAATAAATTCTACCCAAATCTAGATGCACTCTATTTACGTTGAGTTCAGTCTTAACTTTGAAGTTGTTTTTCTGTAGTTCTTAAAAGAAACTTACAGTACATAGACTTCAAAATTATGGCCATATTTAAGAATTTGCTGAATTCTGAACACTCTGAAATGCTACATCAATAGAGTAAATAAATCTTTAGATCCAGATGGAATTTCAACCCCTGCATATATAGGCTTGTTTTTACATTGAACATTTTCCATCTTGTGTTTGAATGAATGAGAAAACTGTAGTTTGCATGTAGTTTATATCAACAATTAACTCTCTGCTGTGTTTCCTACTCACAAAGGTAATTGGTTGTTGATTTTAATTTAAAGTTGGACAAGATTGATAACTGGGTGTGTTTTGGACATTTGGTTCAATGTTTGAGTTGACCATAGAGTAAAATTCTAATTATCATTTCGCCAACAAAATATAGTCAATTCACTTTACGTGTCAATGGGAAGAAAATTAGAAAAATAATTTGATCCAATAAATTTACGATGGATGGTGGTGTGGTGGGGTAGTGCAGACCTTATTCTGTAACATGTAGCATGATTGAGTTCCACCCTAATAAGAGTTCCACTATGGAAGCTTTTGCCACCAAAACAATAATAATTATCCTTGCATTTGATGTAGCATCTTTCACATCAGGAGGGCGTCTCACAGCGCTTACCGAATTCACTGTGAAGTGTAAACTGTGTACTTTGTAGGTGTACTATGGACGATCTGATAGGGTTTCCAGTTGCTTCCTCTGACTAAACAGAGAGGTGGCAGAAGCAAGCATGATTCTCTACGTTGACAAGTGACGTGATCAGCTGTGATGGCCTGAGGAATGGAATGGAGCTCTCCACCTATTCTGTAGCCATGTGTTAGTCAGAATTCACTGGCTTAACTGCAAACAAAAACAATTCCTGTCTTCTCACTTTGTGTACATTGCAGACATATTGTTCCACGATTTCCTGAATGATGCAGTTCAGTGATTGCCTTGAATCCCATTGGCGGAGGTTTTCAATGATTGAGAAAGGGTGTGTTCGGCTTGCAGTCACCAGTGAGATGAATGTGTCACTTTTGATGGCCTGCTTGGTGGAGAGATCCATTAGTACAGTGTATCAGCTAATAGCAGTTGTTTGAGATCCCTGTGGCCCCTTTTACACATGCCTACTTTACATTGCACAGGCTTTTTGCAGCCCATTTACACTCCCCACTACCCCCACCCCCAGCACCATCACTAATTCATCGCTCTAATTGAAGGGAAGCTAAATGTTCGGAGAAGGTACACACAGAGAGAGCGAGAGAGAGAGAAGTAGAAATTGTGACTGAACTGTGTTTAATAATTAATTTGTTATTTCCCGGTTTGTTGCCCTCTGTGGATTATAAATACTCCAGGGTAACTATGTTGTCAAATATTCTGTTCTTACTTCGTCTTTGAGTCAAAAGATTGTGGGATCCAACCCCATGTCGGGACTTTGAGCTCACAGATTAAACCGAGGCTCCGTCTTCCTGTTCAGGTAGAAGTTAAAGATCCCACAGCGCTATTCGAAAAGGAAAGGGAGTTTCTCCTGATTGACCCAAATAAAATTGTCCTTCACTTCAGGCCTATTTGTGAGACATTACGTTGCAAATTCGCTCCTGTGTTGGCCTACAAAACACAAGGTCACTTCACCTTACAGTAAGAAGCTATATCAAATACACAGATTATTATAATCCTTGCATTTGGTATAGTGCCTTATCATATTGGAAAGATGTCTCAAAGCGTTTCACAGGATTTTTACTGTGAAATGGAGTGACTGTGTATTTGAAAGCAGTCCAACTGCACACAGCAACATCCCACAAACATTCATGAAAAAACTAGGCGGATAAGACCTCAGTTTAACGTCTCAAAAGAAGGACGGGTTTGACAATGCAGCGCACCCCATTACTGCATTGGAGTAGCAGCTTAGACGATGTGAGTTCAAGTATTATAGAACATGAAGAAATGGAATAGCAGCAAAAAATGTTGATGTTCTGCACAATTACTAAATCGAATCCTTTCTGCCCAGGCGTATTTTCCCATCCCTTCATAAAGACTGGTCGTGGAGATGAACACCATCCCCAACCCCACCTCCAACTTCAACACAGTGTTTGGGTTTTCAAAATTGTGCATCTGCCACTTGACAAGTGCCTTGTTTTGACTGTGCTCCCCCATCCCCAACCAATATTTGACTATTTGCCTCACAGGCTTCTAGTTGAGTTCAGTCAGCATCCTAATTTTAACTGGATTGAAATGCCCAGCTATTTGTTAGAGGTAATAATACAACACAGAAACCTGTGGCCACAACTACTGTTGAATGGGTGGAGGCAGAGGATGGAATCTTTCACATTGGATAATATATTTTTCCCAATATACTTGTCAGTCCATCAGATATAATCACAACAAAATGAAAGCTAATAAAATGAAGCCGCTGGAACAGACTGTTAAAATCCTATTGTCTCAGTGCTTTTTCGGAGGCCTTGCATCAAGACTGCCTTTCACCACCTGTCTAGTTATTTTATCTTTCATGGATTATGCTCTTCTTCTTTTGCTTGTGTCTATGTGCCCAGATACTTGGTGCTTTTATTTCGCTGTTCAGTAATGTCTTTGTTCATCAATAAAATGGGGGAGGGGGGAAAAGAAAAGATATCTGCACTACTGCAGTGTAAATGCTGTAGCTTTACACATCCTTTTGGAATCTATTGAGGCATTCACAAGGGTCTCACAGGAGCCTGCCAAGAGACCAATAATGTAGCCATGATGCAACGATAATAGTCGGCCATATGATCCGTCTGTGAAGAAATGAGATGTTATTGTTCCTTGTGTCTGTTAAAGTAGCTCCAGTTCCTCCTGGTAATTGTGTGGTTGTGAAGCCTGGAGTATTTCAGATGATTCAGTTACAGATTCTATTCGACGGTACTTTCGGTGAGACAGAGGGAAGAAAAACTTAAAACATCAAATATGACAGGTGCTTTTAGCATCCTCATTCTTAATTCATGTCATAAACACAAACTTATTTATGCAGCGTAATGTTCCTATTTGTTACTGTTACAGAGAGTGTTAGCTAGCAAATTTTTGCTCTTTGTCTGGTCATTTAAAAGCTTTTCAGTGGTGTTTTTTTTTCTCCTTCTCCCAAACAATAAGCACACCAGCTGCTTTCAGTGAAACAAATGTCAATAAGATCTGTGTAAAAAAACTGAAATCATCAAAGTAAAATGAGTTTTGAAACTATACAGAGAAATTAATTATAGATTTATTGCTGTGCGCAATTGGCTGCCACACAAATACACAATCAATTCACTTTACAGTACATTGTGTGAAGGGTTTTGAGATGTTTATAAGATGTGAAAAGCGCTATATCAAATGCAAGGATTATTATTATAGGTGTAAGCGATCCTTTCTATATACTTGCTATATACTTCTCAACTGCTAGAAAGTCCCACATCAGGTTTGGATGTGGTAATGGATGTGGGACTTTGAGGGACTTTCTAGCAGTTGAGAAGTATATAGCAATTCTCGCACTGACACTCAATGATGTCCCTGATAACCTTGCACATAGATCTAACTTTTAGGTGTATCGCTGGAGTTTTTTGCTGGTATCTCACAGTCCCACATCCACTACCACATCCAAACCTGATGCGGACAAATAGATATGTAGAAAACTGGCATTCTACTGTAGTGGAAGCACACAATATAAAAATGAAAGGATCGCTTACATCTATAATAATAATCCTTGCATTTGATATAGCGCTTTTCACATCTTATAGACGTCTCGAAGCACTTCACACAATATACGGTAAAGTGAATTGATTGTTGGTTGTATTTGGTTAATAGATATACAGCACATTAAGGGAAAACAAACTGATCGAATTCTTGAGTGCTCTGGCCACCAGGAGATAAGTGATGGCCACCTTCTAGGAGACACTTCAACAATAGGTGGCAAACTCACTGTCTATGCCTCTGAGATCCCATTTAATTTTTTTCATGTACTTTATAGCATTGAGATCCACGCTGTGCTGCAAATCTTTGTGATGCACAAAGTAATATCCTTTTGATTGCCTTTTAATTATGTCCTAAAGCAGCTAAAAATGGAAATCCAAATTTACCCAAGTAATAGTGCATAAACTGGATGGTTGACAAGAAAAAGAAACAAGTTACATTTTCTTCAAAACAGGATTTTTGTATTTTAAATGTCCCACCTGCATTATTTATAGCTTTTTTGTGAAATTGAAAGCGTCAACTATTCTCATGCCTCAAGTTGTGCTGTGAGTTTGTGGGCAGTTTTATTTTGTTTTGGGTAACAGTCGGTCACCCCAACAATGGATCACAGCACAGGATCATAATCAATGCACTATACTGAACATCCAACTACCTTAGCATTACCATGAGCTTTATTGAAACAGTCATCCTCTTGGAAATGCAGTGAAACTCTGATAACTCATCACCCTAAGGGAAAATGGTTAAATGACTACTTTTCAGAGTTGACGAGTTATCCAGAGCACAGTATTTCAAAAGTACAAAGTATTTGAATCTGCCCGAGAAAGAAATTAAATTTCTTTAAATTTTTCTTAATTCAAAATACTCACATAAGTGTTAAAGACATTTACAGTGGCTCATATACAAATACAAAAACTGAATGGTGAACATGAACTATGTGGATACATAAACTACAAGCAAGCTGATAACACAACACATAGCACAAAAAGGCCACAGACACAAAAACACTAGCTGATTAGAATACTGATAACTGATCAGAAGTTTAAAACTTAAGCATAACCCAAACAAGGTCACAGGAAAGGGAACCTTTTACCTGCGCACTACACCACTTGAATGAAGTTAGCGGAAGGAGGAAGACGGGGAAGTACAGTACTCACCTCACCTGAGACATATGACATTTTCATCCCTGTTAAAAATTCCTGAATTGCTTTGAGATTTGAAGACCAAATAAAATAATGAGTTATCAGAGGTATGTAACATGGAGACACCATCTTAAAAGTGTGAAAACCTGACTAGTTATGAGATATCCAAGGTGACTAGTTATCAGACGAACATAATTAACATTTCTTATGGGAAATAGCGGAATATGAATGAGTGACTGGTTATGTAGGGTTAACAACTTATTCCAGGGGCGAGTTTTCAGAGGTTCACTGTAGTTTCATTTCTTTCAAATGTCTTGCTCGCTTAAAGAAGACTTACTGTTTGTTTCTTTTTGTCTTTGTTACAGTTAGAGGATGATATTATAGCAAAAAACAACTATTTACAGACCATAAAAAACTTTGCACAGCAGCAGCCTTCTGATGATTGGATGATCCTGGAGTTTTCCCAGCTTGGATTTATTGGTAAAACAACTAACTATACTGTAGTCAGATCATTTTTATATGTGGAAGTGGGTCCATTTGGGACTGAATGTTCAGTAGGTATTTGAAAACTGCTTTAAATATTCTTATTTCTCAGAAAGTCTTTAATGAACTGTAATGAACTTTTATGAAATCACTTTCTCAGTTGGCTCAGGATAGATCTCATGCAAAACCATGCCATACAGACTGGAGAAGTTCCCAGGCCTGGGATGAATTGGATAATCTCAGCGGGGGAGTAGAGCAGTAAGGCTTCAGCACCTCAGGTTAGGGAAGAAACACGTGAACCTAATTTAGGTCACTATCATTGGCCTCTACTAAAAAGTGATCAAGTGTAGATGAGTGTGGGACAGGATCCAGCTCAGCTGTGATATCCCCACAGACTGCCAGCACTGACTGTATAAGATCACACACAACTTCTCGGACGTCCAGCCTCTGGAATCGTCCAACGTTTTTTCCCTCCAGCCTCTGGAATCAATCTCAATTTTGTTTGAGATGTGACAGTGGCACTACAACAACAATTTGCATTTATATAGTGCTCCACGCGGGTCAGTGTCTCAGAGCGCTTAACGGCAGAGCCCGACACCGAGCCAGGGGGAGGGAGGAGGTGACCGTAAGCACAGTCGAAGTGGAAGGATCTTCACTGAGACATTATGTAGAGAAAACCAAGACCCAGGTGGAATCTTGACTCAAATCTCACATTGGCTTTCATTTTGGGTGCTGTTGTCATCGGCCAACAATGACATCTGAAATCTCACATTGTCCAGAATTTTAACAGAGATTGAGTTGCCTTTTGTATGAGCTGACAAAATGAAATAGAAATAGATTTTCATTTCTAAGTATATTCAGCCGTGTCTTGATATTGGAAACAAGGTCTTCATTCACGTTTCGTGCCTTAACAAAAATACAAAAAGGCTTGTGTTTTTCGTTCGCAATTGTTTCCAAAAGAAAATGCTAACTGTTAATCATATTATAAAACAGAGAGTTATTTTGTAGGATTTTTGTACTTTAAATACAAAAGAGCTGTACTGTATTTCAGAATTTGGAGCAAAATTCAGTTTGCAGAAATGCTATCAAGTTTCGTACATTTTACATCCTCAATAGGGTGTAGCTTTTAAGGAACAAATTGAAGTCTACTTCCACAAATGAATGCTGACATTTGAGCCGCAACATCCTCCATTTTCATAGCTACTGCAATATTGCAAATCTTTAAACATGAAACAGATTTCAGAAACCTTTAGGAGCCTGGGTTTGAAAGCTTACTAATGGTAGAAATAATATGATCACACAAAAGTCATGTTTTAAAATCAGCTTGTTTCTCTTCACAAACTGCTCGAGAATGACATACTTGTCTTCACGATATTTTAATGAACAGCATAGCATCCTATCCAACACATTGGTCTGTTACTTGATAGCCCCGCTCACAGTAGGTGCCTTGTTGTTCGTATCTTCATACTTTTCACATTTATTAATGTTTGCCCCTTTTTAATTGAAAAGAGGATCAGGTGTCAGCCCACAAACAGCCTGCTGCCCAGCTGGTGCTTTGTTGATGACCACATTGCTTAAAGCTGCAGTATCAGTTTCCCAGTTATCTATCTTACATCAATCAATACATTTCAGTGGTCTTCATTCAGCAACTCATTCTAATTACATTTGGTGATACCATACTGAAAATGCTGCTGGATTTATAAAAGAGACTGTCTTTAAACAAGCAAAGAATAGACAAGCTGGGGTTCTGCTGTCTTGAGGAGAGCTGTCTCAGCACCTTAAAGAAGTATCCCCACCCTGTGGAACTCCGTCTCACAGTCCCTTCGCCTCGCCCATTCCCTTGCCTCCTTGAAGGCCTAATTCAAGAACTTCCTCTTCGAACGGTCACCCTCCTACCCCCACCTTCCCTGCCCCCTTCTTGATCGGATGCAAATCCTTAACTGTCCAGTGCCTTGGGATGATCTCCTGGCTTGAAAGGCGCTATACAAATGTGATTTGTTGTTGTACATGAGATTTTAAATGGGATTGCAAAAGTAAACGCAGAACAATATGTTCCGATACACTGAGACATCAGAACAAGAAGGTCACAGGTTCAGGGTTGCAAAGGGCCAATTCAGGACATTTATCAGGAAGTATTTCCTTCATTAATGACTGGAACAGATTACTAAAAAGGGTGATTGAGGCTGATCCCAGCTCAAAGTATTATGCAGACATACTTATCTGTTGCAAATTCTAGCCATGTAATCACTTTTTCAAGCATTGTTGTTTTTGAGTGTTTCCTCTTTTTATTTCGATGAAATTGCTGATGACTGTTGCCAAAGATTTGCAAACTAGGTATTTCTTTATCATAAGCTATCTGATCCAAGCACACTCCTAATGTAAGCATAACAAATTGAATTTACATTGAATATGAGCCAACAGTTGAGGGCCATCGAGGAGAATGATTGAGTTGAGAGCCAGAGAAATGTCTGACAGCTTGATGCCTAAAGAAAGAGACTGAAATGGGAGGATGGTGTAAAGTGTGCTTTGGAAGTATGAGATAAAATAGTCTAAAGAGCCTTTTTCACTGTCTTTAAATAGTGTATTGGTCAGCAGAAGGAAGATCAGCCGGAAAAAACACATGTCAAGTCTGTCTTGTGATGTTGGACACGAGCAAAACATTGTATTTTTTGCAGCGCAGCAATATAGTTTGATTCAAACTGCATTTTGACATTGCAGTGTATAGCCAGACTACATTACACTGTGCTTAATAATAATGTTGTTGTTGTATAGTGCAGGGGTGCACGTGGACCTGGGGTGTACCAGAGGTGAGGTACACATCTGGTTTGTGGCTGTAGTTGCCCAAAATCATGGGCATGGCATGCATACAGGCACAGAAAGTTTCCAGCACTTCTTGGTAAGTGCTGGAAACCCCGGCCAAAGCAGTCACGTTGACTGTCCAGCTTCCTGAAGACTGCACCCAACTGAAAGCTGCCAGTGAATGTTAAAAGCTGGAAGTAATGTCAGCAAATGACCCAGAAGCACTGAGCAGTGGCTATTTGTATCAATCGACCTGTTCTAACATGGCTCTGATTTTACAGATTCAATCACAGGCCAGTGTTGAGGTCTGACTGTACGATAAATGCCAACGAATGCTGGCCAAACTTTTTTCTCTGCATGTTCTTTACAAAAAAATTTCCAAAAGGTTAAACAGGTTTCTTACTTTATGACTCTGTCTTCAATTATCTACTAATATAAGTAATGGTCCTTGCATTTGATATAGCGCCTTTCATATCGGAAGCACATCCCACAACATTTCACAGGAAAGTGTAGTGACTATTTTGTAGGCGAATGCATCTACCCACATTCAAATATATCTCTACTGGGAGAATGTGTAACTTAAGTTACAATGGAAGCATTGTACAATGGAAAGATATAGTACTGAATAAGAGTAGAGAATTTCACCTCCAGTAAATGAACAATGGGGTTGACCACATCTTTCAGAAGCTACTGTCCCAGATCAACCTTTTCGTTCACTAGTTAGTGTTGCACGGCTGAGTTTCCATGCCTCCAGGCTAGCATAGAGAGAAAACACAGTCGCTGTAGTGAACTTGAAAGCTCTGTGATGGAGAGGCATCTGCCTACACATAATCTGAGTGATTAACACCAGAGTACAGTACTTTCATCTTTGCACTCGTCTATTCATCTAAAGACGAGTCCTGTGGAGTCCTGTAGCTCAGTGGTTAGAGCACTCGCCTTGCAAGCGAGACACCTGGGTTCAATTCCAGGCAGGGCGAAACCTTGGGCAAGTTTCCTTACTCCTAATAATAATCCCTCCAAAACAAAACAATGATAAATTGGTCATTTCCAATCCACGACTGTTTGTGGGACACTGTTATGCGCAATTGGCTGCCGCATTTTGCCCACAAATATATGGTCAATTCACTTTACAGTCTATTCTTTGAAGCGCTTTGAGACGTCGAGAATACGTGAAAAGCGCTATATCAAATGCAAAGATTATTTATTATTATTAAAGAAAGGAAGTTCCTGGTTAAAAAAAATTGTATTCTTTTTTAACACCAAATCACATTGAAACTGCAAATTTATTACAAGTAAATAAAGAACTGCAATCACAAGCAGCACAGAAAATCTGGAAACTAAAATCCTCACAGAATCCATTTTAAAAGATCATTGACAGCAGGATTCCTGTGTGTGATGTACTGAAGTCTGGCCATTATACCCAGGAAATGGTTGCGACAGTGAGAATTTTAACAACCTCTAATTGCTCTAAATGATCTGATCTTGGCTTTCCTTCGCTCATATCTATGCTCAGTGCACAGGAAATGACAAAGCACAACTTCATCTACTCAGGCTAGTAGGTTTCATGGTGCCTTGTGAGTCTAGCATCTTTCTGTGTAGTGCAGTGTGCAGAAAGTGATGTCAGTGGTGACCTGATATGAATAATAATAATAATCCTTGCATTTGATATAGCGCCTTATCACATCTTTGAGACGTCTCAAAGCATTTCACAGAATATACTGTGTACTGACTGTATATTTTGTGACCGAAACGTGGTGACCTGATGACCAGGAAGTCAGCCATCTTTTTAGTGCAGTGATGTCAGTGAGGTCCTATGATCAGTAACTTCACATTGTAGAGGCACTGACTAACTGCGCGCACCATTATAAAGTGGGATTTTATGGACCCCCAACTACTGTGTTGTAATGGGCCTCTACTATAGTTGTGGGAAGGGGTGTATCACTCCCAAACGTGTTGATAATTAAAGATAGGTTTAAATTGTACCTTTAGGGCAAGTGATAATTATCATTACCATGTTCTGGACCCCTAGAAACATTCTATCTCTAATAGCCCCTCAACCAATTTCTTTGCCAAATAGTTATTCAGTCGCCTCTTGGATTATCCGACAGATGCATGGACAAACATAAGTTGAGGAGTGAGAGAAAGGGAAGTGTTATTTATTTCATAAACCTTTCCATTAATAACTCTCCCGCGTATTTATGTGAACAGAATAAAATAAAGTTTATGATAGTTGAGTCTATTTGAAAAATTAGTGTGAGTAGAAGAGACTTTTTCAAGGCTGGCAACATAATATTTATCAATAAGTCTCTGCAGGTGGCCGGGGATACGTGCTTTTAGATGGGTGTGCCAGCCCAAACCCACTAGATTGTAAAGATATCAAAGGTGCTCGAAGCAAAACTACTTAAGTATGCAAATATGCAATCTGAAAATTCCCCCTAGTTTGTACAATTCAAACCTACCTTTAATTAAGTTTTGTCTTTACAATTTAAGATTATGCCAAACTGTAGAAAAAAATCTTCAATTTGAGAGTGAATTTGGAAGGAATCTTTCTGCAGTTCTTAAAGCAATCTGCTGGCTTTAGGATTTTTCCCCAATTCTTAAGACAAAATAGTCCTGGACGAGGTAGAACTTAGAGCCTAAATACAGTTTTGATTACAGGATTGAAGGCTATAAAGATTGATATAAATGATCAAATGCCCAAAGAAGATGTTAATTCCTGTATTGCTGGAATACACCTGTGTTTTACTACTTGTTGATCTTTAAGGATTGAGCAAAATACACTTTCTTCCCTCAAGTGAATTCATGGGTGAGTTTATGGTAAGCCAAACAGCAAGGTGGAGCAATAGTCATTTCTTATAATTGCTGAGTTCCTGTCACTGCGTGGGTTGTTTGAAGTCACTACTTGAATGCAGACAGGACTCTCTCCCATAGGGAGGGAGGGAAGTCTTTAATTCCCCATCTGCATTGCATGTTTACTTGCCATTCATTTGGAGAGCAGAACTGTCAGAAGCCTCAGGAGCAAAGGGTTAGTTTATATTCTTCACAAAATAATTGATGTGGGTCGATAGAAGACATTTACTTGAAATTTTGCTAGATTTTAAAAAGAGGAGAAACTTGGGAGGGAGGAGTTGGAAACATAGCTAGTACTTGGTACATGTTAAAATTGAGAACGTATTTTCAAACTAAAAAGAGGACACAGGTTCAAAATTGACTTTGAGCTAATCTCCTAGAAATGCGACATGCGTAGAATGCAATTCTATGGAAATTATTCTATCTTATTTACAGAATTGGCCGCTCCTGTAATCAGGATAATGTCAATGGAAGCGATCTAATCTGAATCCTTCCTTAAAGAAGTGGCTTGAGTTTCTAACTATTCAACTGCAGTGAATGTCCTAAATAAATTAAACAATGCTGAGGTAAAAAGGTAAAAAGAAGCTAAGGTCAACAGGGAGTACATTTTATTCAAAGCACTCCCACTAGAAATAGGGCAAAACAACACTTTATTGAAACAGTGCTGCCCTGTAGTAAATTTAATGAGGGCAGGAGCTTTGGGTAAGTCTGAGAGCTAATCTGTTGTGGAGTGAAGTTACCTTCAGTGAAAAGACCATTTAAGGTTACAGAGTGGAAACTTTTCTGCATGGAAATCATACAATATTAGGGCACAAAGGCTCGTGTTTCTCTCCACATCAGCCACCTAGTCTAATGTGTCTCTTCCCATACCCTTAACTATTCTTTTGCAAGCATCTACTGGATATAATTCCCTTTAAAACGAATTTACGGATTCTGCTTCAACAATGCTTTTGCAGCAGAGAATTCTACATTCCTACTACCCTCGATGCAAAGAAATTAATCACCAGCCAGTGGAAATATTCTATTGCTATTTATTCTATAACAATCTTGAAGGCCTCTATTAGGTCACCCTTCAACCTTCTTAGGTCCAGTGAAAAAAGTCCCATGTTTTCATGTCTCTCTTTATAAGTGAAACCTTGATAACATGGTACTAATGCTGATAACATTCTGTGTCATTTCAAAGGTACATCTATTTCTCCCAGTATCATGGCCAACAATCCCCGAGATAAAATTGATCATCTACTTCTTGGCTGTTTGTGGGATATTGCTCTGGCCAAGTTTACCTACAAATCCACAGTCTCTAAACTTTACAACAAAAACAACAAATTACACTTGTATAAGCACCTTTCATGTTGGAAAGATGTCCCAGATGTCCCAGGACCACTAGGGGTTTTGGACTCAAGCTGGGATTTGTGGTCAGAAGGGGAGGAGGGCAGGGGGGCCAAGGCATGGTCGAAGAGGAAGATCTTCAGACTGGACGAAGGAGGCAAGAGAGGGGGTGAGGCGGAGGGATTGCGCGATAGAGTTCCAGAGTGTGGGGGCAGAGATGCTGAATGCCCGACCGCTAATGGTGGGAAGTGTGGGGGCCCTGAAGCAGGCCAGTGTCCGCTGAGCAGAGGGAACGGACAGGCTGATATGGGGTTCTGAGGTCGGAGAGGTTAGGGGGGAGCAAGACCGTGGAGGGCCTTGAAGGTAAGAACAAGGGTTTTGTACTTGATTTTCTGAGGAATGGGGAGCCAGTGAAGCCAGGCAAGAACGGGATGATAGGTTTCCGGAGCCTGATGTAGGAGAGGACACGAGCTGCAGAGTTCTGAATAATCTGTGGGGTGGGGGAAGAGTTGGGAAGTCCAGTGAACAGGCAGTTTGCGTAGTCAAGCCAGGACGTAATGAAAACGTGGATCAGGGTCTCGGTGGCCTGCAGTGAGTGGCAGTTGCAGAGGCAGACAATGTTGCAGAAGTGTGGAAAGGCAGAATGGGTCACGGCATGAATGAAGAGTTCGAAACATAGCTGAGGGTCGAAAAGCACACTGAGGTTTTGGATTGGCTCGGTGAGGTGACTAGTGCAGCCATGAATGATGATAGTGTCAGCAGCTGAGGAGAGGAGGCCGAGCAGGAGGCCCTCTTTCTTACAGTCAATTCTACGAAGTACTTTAAGATGTTTAAACAACGTAATAAGTAAGATGCTATATCAAATTATTATATAGTTATCTGTAGATTAGGAATTAATTTCACAGAATGTCGATGGTTGTGGGTTAGTACAATGTTTACAAAAACAACAACAACTTACACTTATACAGCGCCTTCCATGCACAGGGCAGTGTCTCAGAGCTCTAAACAGTGGTGGAGCCTGACTCCGAGCCGGTGGGTGGGTGATGGAGGAGGGGAGGTGGCAGTAAGCATGGTCGAAGAGGAAGGTCTTCAGGCTGAACTTGAAAAAGGGGAGAGCAGGGGCAAGGCGGAGGGATTGAAGGAGAGAGTTCCAGAATTTGGGGCTTAGTGGCTGAAAGCGCGAGCTCCGACGGTAGGGTGGGGGGTGCGAGGGACGAGCAGGAGGCCGGTGCCAGTCGAGCGGAGGCGCCGGGTGGTGGATTGGGGGTGTGGGGAGGTAGGGAGGTGCCAGAGAGTGAAGAGATTTGAAACCTGCAGGTGACTGGGTGGGGGCAGGAGGAGAAACCATTTGCAGAGATGAGATGGAGGCAGTTGGTTAAGTAGGTATCCAACTATGCGAGTGCGGTCCCACTAAGGTGGTTGAGGGAGGAGAGGCGGTGGAGGAGGATGGCGTGGTCAACTGTGTCGAACATGACAGAGAGATCCAGGAGGCTCTTCAGGAGGTTTACATAAGCCCAGAAATGTATGGAATGGTTATATTAAAAATAATTTCTTTACTGTTTTGATCCAGGAAAGTTGTTCAAGAATGCTGATCTGCCATTAATAGTGGAATTCATTATCATGTTCTACAAGGACAAGCCTATAGACTGGTTACTCGACCACATATTATGGGTGAAGGTGTGCAATCCTGAGAAAGATGCCGTAAGTTTGTTTCTCTTTCTTGATCGGTGCCTCAGGCACCAACACCAAATGTAACATGCAATAAACATCTGTCAACTGTACTTTTTTCAATCTTGTGTCCATTTCAGCACTAAACATTGATCAGCTAAAAGGGTATCTGTCTTCAGTTAATGAAGAAAGACGACATCAGCTCCTCCAAGTCAGACTGTGGATGATAATGGGGTGGGGGACGGGGATAGAGAATAAGGATTGTAAACACAGTGAACAATTTGGTTAATTTTTAAAACATACGGATTCTTTGATGTGGAATTCAGATGTTAAGCACGTGTTTAAGGCATAATAGAATAGTGATGGAAAAGGGTACTTCCCCGTCCCCATCGGATTGATTTCAAAATCGTGGCCTTCACCTATAAATCCTTTCATACCCTAGCTCCTCCCTGTCTCTCTGATCTTCTCCTAACTCACTCCTCTGCTCGTCCACTCCACTCAGCTAACTTGGGTCTGTTGTGAGTTCTCCGCCCTCTCAGTGCCATTATCAGTGGCTGAACCTTCAGGTTTTGTGCTCCTAACCTCTGGCTAGAAGACAGACCAACCAAACTAGCTATCTTGTTCTTTATATACATACTTTATACATATACTCTTTTACCCAATAAGATGATGTGTATTTTATACTGAGCAAGGAATGGTTGGTGATGACCTCAGGCCAGTTAAATGTTTTGCTTGTCTGCTTTATGCTGTGTAGCTTTTTGCTTTTCAAATTGTACACCAGTTCCCTTTGCTTCCCATTTGTCAGTTTTCAGTCTGAGCTCAGTTGATAGCGCTCCTGAGTCATGAATTATGTCAGTACATCGTTTAGGATGACATTCCAGGTCAGTGGTGGGGTAGAGGTGCATTGTTGTAGCTGTCATCCTTTGGATGTGATGTTAAAACAAGGCCCAATCTATTTGTTCAAGATATGTTGTGACATTAAAGAGGCTAATATTCAAAAAGAGAAAAGAGTTTCTGCCGGTGTCCTGGCCAACAATCCTCTTGATAAAGTTAGTAATTCACTTCCAGGCTGTTTATGGGACATTGCTGTGTGTAAATTGGCTGCCGTGTTTGCCCACAAAATACACAGTCAGTATATCTCATTAAATCCTGTGAAGCGATTTGAGACGTTTTGAATAAGTGATCAAGTATATGATATATAATGCAAGAATTATCATTATGATATGACACATCCAGGATTCGTTATTTACAAATCTTTTTGGTGATATTGCAATTTATACCCTATTATCCCTGCTTGCCTTCACAGTTCTGTGGTAGATATCAATCAGTGTAATTCAAAGCCCTTTGTATTTTAGCCAATTCTCCATTTTGTGTTCTTTACCTCCCACCAGCTTCATCACATTCATTATTATAACAACAATAATAATTAGACCTACCCAAACCTTCTGCCCTCACGTCCTCTGTTTCATTAAGGAGGAGAGAGGAGAAGTCAGCGGAGATAGAGCAGGAGGGGTGAAGTGCAGGTTGAAGTCACCTAGGATGAGGAGATATTTGGAGCAGAGGGAGAGGGAAGGTAGGAGGGTGGAAATGTCCGAGAGGAAGGTGGGGGGAGGGTTTGGAGGGACGATAGGCAAGGAGGATTTTGAGGGAAAGGTTGGAGAAGTGATAGTGGGTAAGGTGCTCAAAGGAGGGGAAGGTTCCGGAGGAGTAAGGGGATAGACCGAGTGGGAACCGGGAGACAAGAGCCACAACCTCACCATGGTGGTTAGGTTGTCGGGTGTGGTGGAAGGTGTAGCCAGGTGGTGTGGCCTCGGTCAGGGGGAAGGTGTCGCCTGGGATGACGCAGGTTTTGGTGAGAGCGAGGATGTCAATGTTTTTGTCGACAATGAGGTCTTGAGCGTTTTGCTGGAAAGGGATTGGACATTTTGTAGATCGATACGGAGAGGACAGCTGGTGGTGTAGGAATGGGCGAGACGAGGCAGGGTTGGGGGGAGGATTGACAGAGAGGGTAAGGATGTGGATCATGCCAACCCTTCAGGGATCAATGGGCTTTGCACCGGAGGTGGAGGATGGGGCAGTCAGGGCGGTTGCTGTTGGACAGCCAGCAACGTCTGCCACTGTGGGCACAACAGAGGATTCAAAGGCTAGAGCAGAGGGAGGGCGAGAGAGGATCGAGCAGGGATAGGAGGTGGGGAAGGCGGTGATAGAGAAGGGTTGAGTGGGGTTTGTGGAGAGAAGGGGACAGGGGTTGTCCTTGATCCCCACCACAGGAGCCCTGCTCCAGGTAAGCGCCTTACCTGTAGGTCTTGTTCTCCGCTCCAGGCAAGCCACCGTGGGAGGCAGTGAGCCCAAAAGCTCCAGGCTTCAGGCTTCCTGCATCGCTCAAGTCACACTCAGTGGTTCCCACTCGTGGTTTTTTCCCCTGTTTTTGCAATCATGTTTGGGAACATCCTCACAACACCAGCCTCCTGTCCAACGCCATTGTGAATAGAGGTAGAAATAAAGTAGAATTAGTGAAGGCAAAGTATCTCATTCCCGCCCATTGAGTTGGTGACTCAATAAATCCATCCATCTTATTTGATGCCTTAAAATGCCATCTATCAGAACTTGTATAGTTCACACTTGGTCAGTAAGTAAACACATTTATTTCCACAAAATATACCTACACTTCCACCACATTTAATAGAAATCAACAACAACAACAACTTCCAGTTACATAGCGCACTTCAGGCGGGGTAGTGTCCGGGAGAGCTTCAATCAAGGAAAATTTATTTTTATGTCCTTTTTACTGAACTATGGATGAAAATCACATTGCGATTAATGTGAGAAAATAACTTCTGCTTATGCTATTTTGTGCTATTGAACTATGTTATGTTTTTGAACTACTGTTTATGTGAATTGAAGAATTATGTATCACCACTATTTTACCACATGGTCAAACCTGTGGTATTCCTAAATGTGTCCTGTTTCCTAATTAAGGAATGGTTTCAAAGTGGGTGGTACACTCACTCTCCCTCCTAATAACGATAGCGCACAAGCTGTTGAAAAATGCACCATCGTGGATTCCATTCAGCAGGGATTTTCCCAATTTATTCAGGAATACCCGCTAACTCAACCTGGATTAGAATCCCATGATTAAATCAGAAAGCCCACTTTCAACACTTACAGACTTCAGTGGAGGCTTTGCTGAAATCTCCAAGCCCAGCAATCTGTTTACCAAGCAGTTATTACCTCTTTTAATGTGCGCTACAGCCACAAAAAGAATTAGTATAAATCAGACAGAAGATTTATGCAACACCTGGTTTATTGATTTTACATTCTTCAAAGGTATTTGCTCCCAAGATTCAATGTGCGTAATGTGTATTGTTAGTGATTACTACACTCAGCCAATGTAAATTTTGTTGGAATACCGATAGCATGAGATGGCTAGGGATTTAGGTGTGAGCAATCTAATGGGTTTCTCAAAAACCTGGTGCGCAAATCATCTCAAGCAGCTGTAGTATTGCCATGAGATTTTTGACCAGCAGTGTGATTGTAATGCCTATCAGGAGAGTTTGATTTGTCCATATTCATTATGGGATAGCCTACCTTCCTGCGTTGAGGCACCATTTGTTCCTGTCCCTGATCCCACCAATCAAAACTCCCAACCCAGGATAGCAATGCACGTTCCTTTTGTCATTTTATTGAAATCTGAAAACCTTGAATATAAGGGGTACAACAAAGTAATTCTTCATTCAAGTCTATTTTCCGGTGGGGTGAAAATTGGGTCCTGTGAGGCCTTAATGCTCACTGGTGGTCATTATCACATCACGGGAAACTCTGCCATGTTGATGTGTGGCCATATGTGTGACACCACTGTCCATAGCTCTATCACGATTATTGGGCCTGGAAACAGCCCACAGCAGTCATTAGATTTGTTGGCAGGGTTTTCTTGTCGGTCTCACTCCTTTGCAGTATATGAAATGGGGCTTTCATGATCAACAGCAATGTGGAGTTAAGCTGGTAACCCACTAAGCAGCACACCACAGACCAGCATATCTAATGTAGCCTTGAGGTCAAAAATAATAATAATAATAATAATAACTCTTGCAATTGGTTTAGTGCATTTCACCTCAAAATGACGAATCAAAATGTTCACAAGATTTACAGTAAAGCGTAATGAACATGTATTTTTCAGGCAAAGGTGCAGCCAATTTGCCCATAGCAATGTGCCATGTGCCAAAGTGCCAGCAACGTGCCATTTTTCAGCGCCTTGTCCTCCCGACATGAAAGGCGCTCTATAAATGTAATTTTATTGTTGTTTTTGTTGATGTGCCATAAATATTTTGATCCCATGGTACTATTCGTAAAGCGAAGAGAGTTTCTCCTGGTGTCCTAACCAACAATACTCCAGATAAAATTGGTCATTCACTTTATAACTGTTTGTGTGATGATGCTATGTGTGTATTTGCTGTCGTGTTTGTCAACAAATACATAGTCATTGTACTTCACAGCAACAATCCTGTGAAGCACTTTGAGACATTCCAATTATGCAATATCACAGAAATATTATTGTCTTACAAGGGATTTGGTCAGAACTGTAATGCATTCAATATCAGTCACGGCATACCTTGGAATCATCTGTTAATTCTGGGCCTCATAACAGTAGCATACCTGATACAACTGTCGAGTTTGCCTACAAATAAGGATTGTTAGTATTATTATTATTAAACACAGCCGTTATACATCACAGAAAAATCCTGTGAAATGCTTTGAGACTTTTCGATGATATAAGTCTCTGTATGAAATGCAAGGATTATTATTGTTATCCGTGTTTCGCCCACAAATATACAGTCAATTCACTTTACAGCATATTCTGTGAAGCGCTTTGAGATGTCTAGAAGACGTGAAAAGCGCTACATCAAATGCAAGGATTATTATTATTATCACCTTAAGCATTGCTTCATGCATTTTTTTTCTTTCCTTCAGAAACATTGTGACAGACAAAAGGCCAATTTACGAATACGTTACAAGCCTTCCCTCTTCCAGCATGTGGGAACTCACTCTTCACTGGCTGGAAAAGTGCAGCCTCTAAAAGTAAGTTTTTAAAAAATATATATTCAATGCACAGCATGGAGTAAACAGAAAGAATAATAATAATAATCCTTGCATTTGATATAGCGCTTTTCACGTCGGGAGGACGTCCCAAAGCGCTTCACAGAATATACTGTAAAGTGAATTGACTGTATATTTGTGGGCGAACGCGGCAGCCAATTGCGCACAGCAATGTCCCACAAACAGTCATGGATTGAAAATGACCAATTTATTATTGGTTTTGGTTTTGGAGGGATTATTATTAGGTGTGTGGAGTAAGGAAACTTGTCCAAGGTTTCGCCCTGCCGGGAATTGAACTCAGGTCTCTCACTTGCAAAGCGAGTGCTCTAATCACTGAGCTGCAGGACTCCACAAGAATGTCGCACCATCTAAATTGAATTTGATCTGGCTTTCATAAGTTACTGATAGCTTTAGAAGTAAAATGGCATCATGGCTTATTATCTCATCCACATTCCTTCAGGTGGATATGAGGAGCAGTAAAACAAAGAGGTTCAATATTTGAAATGTTCCCTTAAAGTTGCAGCACCTTTTTTTCCTTTAATCAGCCAGAGGCCCATAGAAATTTACAGAACAGAAAACCATTTAGCCCAATCCATTCAGTCCTATTGTCTACCTTCTCTTCATCCATGTTTAAGCTAATGTTTAGCTTAGATTTTTAGCCATGTCTGATGCAAATCACTGCTATGCAGTTTTAATTCGTTATATAGGCTCCAAGTCTGATCAAATGCAGTATTGCAGTCAAACCCGTTATTACAAAATGTATGCAGATTGATTGAGGCTTGATGCCATTGCATCAAATATCTGATACTATTTACTTATGACAAAGTAACAGCATGTAGCAATTAGCTCCAATCTTGATCAGTGAATTAAAATATGAAATAAAATATCAAATAAAATGTGAGAAGCGATACGGGCAAATCCATTGTAAATTGTCCCACGTGTTCGTCTTTCAGATAGTAATGGTATTAAAAATAGTTGTGACTTACAATTTTCCTCTTAACCAAAGCACATTGTGTCAGGATAGTAGGGATATTTGGGATATTTAAATAGTGAACTATGTTTTTCAATATTGACTTTGGAAAATACAGTGATCGCAGCTGAAGATATACACCAATGTACATGTTTCGGTGCTCCGAAATTCTATACTACATAAAGAGCATCACGTAAATGCAAGTTGTTCTTGTTTCTATCTGTTCAAAGTATCTCTTTTGAATTTCCAGTTCTAATTCTGACTATTTTTTTTAAAATAAAGGATAAGGACTTTGGGAAACAACAATTACATAGAGGGCACTCAAATCCCATGGCGGAACTGAACACCAGCTTGAAAGTCTATCAGCAATACAATCTGGCAAAGGCCTACCAAGGCGAGAATTTCTTCTGGGCATTTGTTCCTGAGGCCGGGGACTTCATCCAGTTTAAATTCTTCCAGCCATTGAAAGTGGAAAGGTTAGCACGGATTGTTATTTTTATGAACTTGTCACAATGGCACAGAAGCTGGATAGATGACGTTATGTTACTTCTTTTATCTCAGGGTGCAGGGGTCTGCCCAAGCCAAGGATGCCTGCATTGTGGATGGCATTTTCTCCAGGCTTGAGCTTGGGTTTCCAATGCACCTGAAGTCCCGTGACCCTGTATGCTGTATGGGAGATTTCCTGGAAAAAATGCTCCTTGAGTTACCGTCCTTTTTTCCAGCAGTCACACAAGTAGCGACAGTGCAAATAGGCCGTCTGCATGTTTCTTGCCTCGCCTACTCTACCATCAGACACTCTGGAACTACCTGCCTCCATCCGTCCATCTTATTCCCTCTTTGCTCATTTTCAGATCGCACCTGAAGACTTCCTCTTCGACTATGCCTACAGTCTCTGCTCCTTTCACTTTTGCTCGGTGTCAAACAATGCTATATGTGTCAGCCTGGCTCAGTTGGAAGCATTCCCGTCTCTGAGTCAGGAGCTTGTCGGTTCAAATTCCACATTGGGACTCCGAACTAAGTCTAAAGTCTAAGTGGTGGCCAATCTTTATGATCAGCTAGCAAAATAAATTATCATGCTAAGGCCACTCTTTCAAACAGGGGAAGTTATCCATTAATAATATTCAAACTTCAGTGTTCCCTCTGCCGTTCAGGATAATAATAATAAAAAATAATCCTTGCATTTGATATAGTACCTTTCATATCAGGAGGACAGCTCAATATACTTCACAGGATATACTCCGTATTTGGAGATATACAGGGCAAAAAATTTCCAGCAATATTCCATAAACAGCCATGAAGTGAGTGACCAATTTTGTCTGATGATTGTTGACTAGATCACTGGAAAACTCCATTCTCTTTACAAATAGGTTCATGGGATCTTTAACAAACACGTTTATGCCATAAATCAATAAATATCAAGAAAAGCTGAAAGCACACTCCCAATTGGACACGGACTTACCTAGACTTATGCAATTTTTTTTGTTGGAGATCAGGGGGTGGTAATGTATTTTGGGTTAGGAGCTGAGTGTTCCATTGAATTCAGCGGAGACGCTATACAGTTCTGGGAGCCATGAATCCTCAGAATTACAAGCATTGAAGTGATATTGAGATGTTTGTCTCACAAGAAAAGCACTATATCAGTGCAAGTTATTGTTGTGATGTGATAAGGATTATATTTTGTGTAGTTTCTGCCTTGTTTACTTCTCATTTCTGTTTTCTTTGCCAGATACGTCTTTAGAAGTGGGAATGTAGAACACCCGGGAGACAAACTTTTCAATACAACAGTAGAGGTTTTACCAGCAAACGTAAGTAATTTCATGTTTAAATGTCAGAAACTCCTGGCTAACCTGCCTACTTGGCAAGGGAAACATTTATGCAACGTCACATCAATGCTCTGGATAATTTAATCATTAAGAATTATTTCACATTTCCATCCTTTTGCGCACGTAAAATTTGCACTGAAATGTCAACTTCCAACTTGGTCTTTTAATGCTTTGACATAGAGTATCATGGAATTTGATAAATACTGAATATTTCTGTTGTTGAATCTTATCAAAATAATTCCAGGTTCATCTGCATCAAAAGTAAAAAAAAAATTCCTTCCATCTACAGTCCTTTGTTGGGAAACAAAGTTAAACAGATTGCTTTGTTCAAAGATCTAGATGTCCCTCCCCTCACTGTTCTAAATTCATATTACCCACAGAGATAATCTGGTCTGTGCTCATTCTCAGCTGTGGCAGAAGTTGAGGACACTTGGCTTCAGAACCGATTGAAACTCCGCTCCCCGATCACCCCAGTCCTTGCCAGACTGCACTGGCTCCCTATCCCAGAGAGGTTCGACTTCAAGATCCTCACCCTCGTATTCAAGTCTCTGTGCTCCTCTGCATACCCCTACCTCTCTGACCTCCTCTCTCCTCAAAACAGCACCCGTTGCCTTCGTCCTCCGCTCCACCCTCGGCGGTCGTGCTTTCAGCCACTATGCCCCGAGGCTCTGGAACTGCCTTCCTCACTCCCTTCGTCTCGCTCCCTCCCTTCCCATTTTCAGGTCTCTGCTGAAGACCTTTCTTTTCGACCACGCCTTCGGTCACCTTTCTCCCCCTCCCCCTGGTTCGGTCCCGGGATCCGAAACTGTAAAGCGCTCTGAGACACCGTCTGGCGTGGAGGGCATTATATAAATCCAAGTTGTTGTTGTTGTTGATTGGGAAAAAATAACCTGAGTTCCTATTTCTGACCATTATACACAATACAATAGAGCATACACAGTGATCTCTGTGGAACGCATTTTTAACCTACGTTGGAAAATGAAATTTGTTTGATATTGTCTTAATATTCCCTTTGACTCCTCTTTTCTGTCAACCTTTCAGAGAAGTGTCCTTGAGAAAAAATCGTTGCAAGACTTTAGTGTCAAAGACCCCAAATACAAAATAACAAAAGATGGATATTTAAAAATAGGTAAGAAACTTTTCTAAAAATAATCTAAGCTGTTGAAGAATAATGCTCCACAGAAGGAAATTCTTTAAATATGTTTGCATTTCTGATATCCAGCTATCTTAAAAGGAGGCACTAAATGCTGATTTCTATCATTAATTGGTGTAGTGCATTCTGTCAGAGCAGAGTTCTTCTGTTTAAGTTTATTGGCATTCTTTGCAACTCAGTCACTAAAGTGAGTCACATTACCAAATTGTTGCATATGAGAGCCCAATGTGTATAGAATACCATTATTGCAAAGACCTGCATGTCCCAGGATGGGTCCATATTGTTACAATTACCATCCGTTGAGCTGGCTGGATCTGCGGTCATGCCCTGGTGTAAAAGTGTGGGAAAACTGGTGAGAGTGTTGTTCTTCTCCAGCAAGAACCATACCCGTCATCAATACCTTCATTGAGCTCCTAGTGTACCCGGTTAATCTGGGGAACTCAGCACACCGTGTCCAGAAAGAATAATTATCTGCACAGACACCAACAATGGTTCAACATTTGCACAGCACCCAACATTACTGCTATTAGGCTTGATAATGGCATTAAAGCCAAGGTGACAAATTGTAAGATTGAGATCTAATGTGGACTTTCAAAAGGGTTCTCAAAAACCCAATCCTGCAGATACTCAGCTGTAATGTGCATTCACTTACATCAGGAATCTCAAATCTTTTTCAAAAACTGTTGGGACTCTTACAGTTTTCACCCTACAATGTAGAATACCTGAGCCTCAAAGCTTCCCTCTCTATATAAGACTGCCTAATCGTGTCATATATGTGGGACTGCACATATGAATGCCTCTTCCATGCCAGATGGAATCACACAAAGGATGATTCATTTAAATTCATTGTTCATACATGGGAGAAGTAATAATTACTCTTTCATTTGATATAGTGCCTTATCATGTAACCAAGGTACCTCAAAACGCTTCACAGGATATACTGCAAATTGATGCAACCTTATGTATGTTGTACTCTATACCAAAGCTATAGAGCAATTGACACATCAATATGAAAATCTGTACTGTGATTATTGTGAAGTCTATCTACAAAGGGTATGATCCAGTATCATTGCTATTCTTAGAATGTGTCAAAGAGAAGGAGAAGGCAATACTATTGAGATTGACGAGATTACCAGATACTTGAATGCTCATAACACATCAGCTTTTGAAAGCTTTTGGCAACGGTTTCATTTTAGAACACATGTCAAGTACCGAGCATGATACGACTTGCAGTACATCCGCTAGATTAGCAAATGTGAGAATCTAGGATTTGGGAAATTTACTACACTGCCAAAATCTTACAGCTTTGACACAAATCCTATTTGATCTATGACATTTTATTCCAAGATTTTCCAAAGCATTTCGAAGTTTGAAGATAGTGACTTGATGAAATAAAAGGCTTGCCAATATCATCAGTCAACTATCTTGCTTGTATCCATCTGAAGGTGAGCACCACTCTCCTAGAATGTTACTCAAAGCATGTGTCATGGGTCCAGGGAAGCCCTCCTCAGTATCAATGATGATATGCATCCATGTTTATCGATGGTCTCTCATTGTTTCCAATGCCTCTGTACATCACCATTTACTGCTGGTACTGCACATCTCACATTTTAGGAGGTGAATTGCCATGCTGGGAGGTGAATATTCATCCTCTGCATCCCTCTGGTTCCTTCTGATTTTGGACTACCTTTGAACTTGAAGTATCACCAATTCTCTGTCATGCCAACACAGGAACAGATAATATTGGGCTATATTTTTAGCAGCGTTTTTTCTCACATGGAAATAATACATCACCATTTCTTATACCTCTGGTCTCAAATTGTATCATTGTATCATCATGGACACAGAGGGAGTCTACAAAAATGTTTTACACCCCAATGTATTGAATTAATTTGAGTTTTGCAGTTACATTGGGACATGATTGACTATTTTCTAAATATCTATCTATACTAATAAAAAAAGTGTTAATTTAGAGATTACAAGATCAGAAGTGTGATGTTTGTCATGGTCTTAATCTTAAATCCATTGTCTTGAAATGTAAGATTGGGAATAATTTTGGAAAATTCACAAATTCATTCTTAAATTGGAAGCAGGTGTTCCAAAATTGATTTAAAAAACTATGGAAAAGTAGTTCTTAGAATTTCCGAGAGGCCAAGATCTTTCCCAAATTCTACACAATCTTATATTTTCAGATGGTGGACTTAAGGTTAAGACCAAGTGAATTTCAGGCCTCCGCACTGATATCCAAACAGTGTAGACCATAAACAGTTGCAGAAGAGGATTTGTCAACATTTTTGTCAGTCAGCTTCCCCATGGGAGATTAGCCAGTCCTTTTCAAACGTTTTTGGAGTTTTACGATTGTAAAATGCTGGACTTCACTTTGAGAGATTGGATTACACCTATTATGACTTTGCATTAATGAGAGGGAGCATTGTGAAATGAATAACAAATTCAAATGAACAAGACTGGGGCAAAGGATTGCCTGGACTGTCAGCAGCAGAGAAGCTGACCTTGCTTCTCATTGCCCATTGGAGCCCGAGAAGGCAATGATGTGTTTTTTTCTTTTTCCCCAACATTAAACATCAACACAATATACACACATTATGTGTATGGTACTGTATGCACGTAAATATACACACATGTGGCGTGTGCACCAACAGACACACACCCACACACAACTATCAGCCAGAATCATGAGAAAAAATGTTTTTATTTCAAAAGCATGTGAGAACATGTGGAATTGTACTCTAGGCATTCACAGTGAAGAATATGAATTTTCAGTCAAATTTGTCCTTTAATGTGCTCTCATTTCACAAACAAAATTGAAATACATTTATTTTCTGGATTTGAACATTTAATTTGTGGATTTACAGTTAAATAGCTGTTTCCTTATTTACCAAGATATGTTTATATCATTTATGGGCTTTGAGCAAAATTGCCCAGTTCATAACAGATTATGGACATCTCTGATTGTACCATTCAGAAATGACTAGAACTGGCCCAAATTCATTTAATTTTATGGCTCGACTACGCCAACTCCCTGCTTTTGTAACTCTTCCGTCCACAAGCTGTAGATCATCCAGAACTCTGCAACTCATGTTCTCTACCACACCAGGCTCCGTGATCCTATCATCCCACCCTCGCCTGGTTCCTCATCCCCCAGAGGATAGAGTTCAAAATCCTCGTCCTCTCCTTCAAAGCCCTCCATGGCTTTGCTCCTTCCTACCTCTGTGACCTGCTAACACCATGTCAACCTGTCTGCTCCCTCCACTCAGCAGACTCCAGCCCGCTCCGCTCCACCATCAGCAGTCAGGCCTTCAGCCTCTCTGCCCCCCACCCTTTGGAACTCCATCCCACAGTCACTTTGCCTCGCTCCCTCCTTTGTCTCCTTCAAGGCCCATCGCACGATCCTCCTCTTCGACCACACATTTGGCCACCCTCTTACTCCTACCCTCCCTGCCCTCCACCCCTCCTGATACCAAACCCCTGCTTGGGTCCAAATATCTGACTGTCCAGCGACTTGTGACGTCCTCCCAACATGAAAGGCGCAAAACAAATGTAATTTGTTATTGTTGTTTATTACAACTCTTATAAAGTTTGTCCAGAGGAAACATGTCAGATGGTGGTCGAAATGCATGAACTGGAGGTGAGAAGGATTGGGTCTGTACCTCAATGCAATGGTTCATGGCCAAACTAACTCTTCCACTTGTTACCAATTTAAGTTTGCAGGCAGTTGAATATGGCATACTATTTTCCTTGTGAGTGACATAATAACTATGTTTCATTTATGCATTAAGGTTCATTTGTGAATGGAGTTGCAGAAGGAGAAATCGAGACATCGATTGGAAAGATTGAAGCTATTCGGTTAACTATTCAGACAGAATCCCCTGTTTGGGTATTACTGAGTGAGGTAAAATTTAACTTGTTTCACAGAATGCTTACAAAGCTATTAGGGTGAAATGCTCATTGTTTTATCATGATTTTCTGCTAGGAAAAGAGCACAAAGAATTTACCGGCAGAAATCCCACCACAATTCCACAGACATGCTAAAATGTAGGGGTGAAAATTGCTATGTTTCTTAATAGAATTGACTCTAAGTCAAGAGTTATTTTGTGTTATAATTTAAGATCACTCAGAAAATTCTTCAATCTAGTCTTAATCAGGAGACTGTTTTTTGCAGTTCTTAAGAAGAACTGGCTTGAAATCAAGACATTTCCACAATCCACAAATTGGTCTTACAAGTTCACACCTTTTCTATTTTAATACATTGAATCTTGCTAAAAAAAATCGCAATCTCCAGTCAATAGCAGAAGTCTGTCTACAGAGTGAATCTCTTCAGGTTTAGCCCAATGGTTGGACCCGCAACCAGTATCAAAGATTTCAGCACTGCTATGATTATTGAAAAGTTCAGTGCCACTTCACAGGTTTAACACAGGTTGAGTGAATCTGGTGAAGCAACACTGAAAAGCCAACCAATTTTAAACCTGTGATTTTCTGTTTTTTTTCTAATGGTGAATGACAAAAGAGGATACAGAAAGGAGTAAGGAGATGGCCTCTTAAGAAAAAAATCATTAGGCTTCAGATTTTCAAATTACATGTCATGTAATTGTTTGGGTGAAAGTTAACATTATCATATTATAATATATCATATATATATTACATATAAAGTTGATGTAAATATGTTATTTGTATACACATTGCTAACCAATTATTTTGAATAATTAAATACTGGGTGTTTTTCAGACCTTTAGATAATCATTATATTGTTTGTGTGTGTGGTGTGTGGAGAGGGAAGGGAAGAATAGGTTCCCTTACTGTCTGCAACAAAAATCACAAATAGCTGTTAAAAATAAATTCTGCTTGCATGTTTTCTCAGATACTCATTAAGGCAGCTACATAACTACAAGAAGGAGATTCCACTACCTTCCAGAAATACACCAACAGTATTGTCTCTTCAACCAAGGATAATTACACGAAACGTAATTTGAAAATCTGAAGCCCAATGATTTTTTCTTAAGAGGTCATCTCCTTCCTCCTTTCTGTATCCTCTTTTGACATACAACAACTATGGAGTTTTTTTTGATGGAGATGGATTTCTTCCACAACTACGCCGTCTAGTGGAGCCACATTAGAAGGACAATTCGGTCATGTTCAGCCAACCTGAGCCAGAGTAAACTTTAGGACTAATTGATTGTGGAGAGACATTGAAAGTATGCAAATAATTTAAACATGAGCTTTTAAAAACAAGTTGAACTTATTTATAAATATGCTGAATTTGTTTTCCTGTGTTTGTTTCAGCAAACCTTTACTCTCACCAGGAGGCTTTTAAAACAAGAAAGGCATAGTGTATTTTAATGAAAACTTGAATTTCTTGCCAAGTGGTTAATGAACTTTGAAAACAATTCATCCAACTTGATTTTAGAATTATCTTTAAAGTTAAGGTTGGTGTCATGCCTGTGCTTGCAAATACGCGTAAGCTGAGTTTCCTTCCTCTCCTCCAAAGTATTTTTGACTCCAAAGTACCTCTGCTGGGATTTAGTTCAACGGCCAGTTGTTCTCTGGTACCTCATTCAAGTGCCCATTATTTATGTGTAAGCCTCGACAGTGAGTGGCAACATATCTGAGCCCGATCTCACCCGAAGTCCACATAAGCGCGTCCTCCAGCAGAGGTTCACATACAGCGACCCAAAGTGGAAACCTTGTGATTCTCCTCTCCCCTAAACCAGGAGCACTGAGGCCAGTTGTCACAGCTGCTAATCCTGGCTAACTCAGCTCAGACTGGGATTCCAAATGTTATGGGCTTTGGGTTGGCTGGGTTTTCAGTGTTGTCTCTAGCAACCTGGTGAGGTCCTCAAGGCAGCCCACATGAGACTAAGTGCTGCACAACATTCACTTGCCCAGTGAGGGGCCAGCAAACGTGAATGTTTTGGGCAAGGATGACTTTGAATGTTGAATTCAAAGTTGAATGACTGGGCAAGGATTCAGACAAAGAACAGGTGGTCCAGCAGTCTGGCTGATAGCCAGGTAGATCTAGTCACTATTTTTTGGGTACCTTTCACATGTGGTACTGCTACAAGTTTAAAGATTAAGCTGTTCTCAAATCCATTCATTCACTGGTTCTTGTTCTAGCAACACTTATGAATGTAGTTTTATTAAATTCAATTTAACATTTTTTTAAAAAATGTCATTTTTGTAGCACAAATACTGTATCAAGGTGCGTTTCCCTCCTTTGCCTTCATTACCAGAGATCAGGTTAGAATTTATAAAAACGTTAACTCAGTATGCACGGGTATCCAAAAAATGCATATGTCCTAAATCACCTTGCATAACACAAACCAATCAACTGGCATGTTTAATTTCAGATCATTCCCCCACCCCGAGATCTGTCAATGAGATCTTGGGGGTTAGACTGAAATGAAACATGCCAGTTGATTAGTCTGTATTATGCCTGATCATCTGACAACAGTCAGTTTACGTGAGAAAACAAAGAACTTTGACGACAAGTCTTGGATCGTAAAACAAATTGTATTGACGGTACCAATTTTTATGTATAGGTAGATTTTTGGGATATATAAAAATATACACACGATTTTGTATTAACATGATCTCTGATTACAAAGCACTCACTATCACAAACAGGAAAATCAGGCCGTTTAATTTAAATTTGGTCTGCCACATGTAGAAAACCATCTCCTTAATTAAGAATTGCCTGTACGGGTGCACTGGGGGAGGGGAGGTACTAAAGATTTTAACCAGCTAAACCTGCTCAGCTTGCCATTGCAAATGCTAGATACAATACAAAAGTACATTTGTAAAGTGCCTTTTACGTCTGGAGGACGTCCCAAGGCTCTACTTGTCCAACTAGGACCCATCAGGACTTTGGCTTGCAGATTTAACTATAACTAAGTGGGAAAAGTTCCAGCCACAATCTGCTTCTCCAAGTCCCCCTAATGAGCCAGAATGACTGGTTGCAGACCTGTCTGGTTTACAAACCTGATTACCAAATCTGCCAAAATGAATCAACTCAATTTCATTATTCCATTGCCAGTCATGTTGCACTGGAGTCAACACAGCCCCAAACACACACCAGACACTACTGCAAAAAGCATAGTGGTTAGTTAGCCATAAGACATCTGATTTTTGTCAATGTCATTCCATAATTAACTTGAAATGGGTATTGTCGTTTTCCTCAATCCATCTGGCTTGAGCTTGGTTGAGCCATCTGGCTGAAAGCTGCCTCAGCTCATGTCAATGAGGCAGGCAACATTGGCAGTCAGGTTTATAAACCTTATCCAATCAAGTGTTCAACCACTATCTCAACTAACCAGTTTTAGTTTTTTTTCCAATGTAAGAGTCTCAAACCTTAACCCCTCACCTTTCATTTTGAAATCTACCTGCGTTTGTACAGCAATAACTGGCCTTCAGTCTGAGAACACATTATAAATCATGGCTTGCCAAAAAACAATACTTAGTGCTTCTGTTGCAGTGTTGATGTTTCTGGGATCAGACTGTATATGAAGTTTTAGTCAGGAGGATGTGGGATATTAAAGTCAATGTATGCAAGCTTCCCAACAGGAGCACTTTTTCAATCCTTTAATTGGAATATAATGTTGGAGATTTATTTGTTTTTTTTTAAAGTTCATGCTTTTCTTTGATAGTCAACTCTATATCATATTACAGGTTTCTTATTTTTTTGTAATTAGTTGCTGATAGATGCATCAGACCTGGATGTTTTTCAATGGAAAAATAAAAGCAAATAAAACTCTTTCATTTTCACTGTTCCTGACTTTTTCGAATTTGCTGCACTGAATGGTATCGTGTGAGAAGACATAGTTACTACTGCATACGGAGTGTGATTTTTTTGTTCATAAAACCCAGGTGAAGATGAAGTCAACAAAACATTCCATTACTTTTTATACTACAATGTACCAGAAATAACTATACAATGATTTGGACATTATCCGCCCTAATATTCTCTATTAATTTTCCTCTTTTCAAGGTGGTGGCTCACTCTAATCATGGGAACCAATAGCCTCCAAGTAACAAAAGCACCCAAGCAGCAATTTATCTAGTGTGGGCTCTAACAGTGAACATCAGCAAGCGATCTGATGATGGTGAAAAGATTAGATCCAAACTTAGTTTCTGAGATATTAAGTACATTGGTTTAGTCATGAGTGACATTGCAAACTTCAACTTCTTGAGAAGAATGAAATGTTGAAAATCCATTTATTTTGAGATTACAACGCCCAAAACAGCTTGAACTTCTATAGCACCTTTCATGTGGGAAGAGTCTTGGAGCACTTAAACTAATATAATTTTTTAAACACTAGGATCTTAAGAATCCGCTCATACCCAATGAGAATTCCATTTGTTACTGCAGTCAAATCTTGGTGTTGAAGTCTTGAATGTACTTGGACCCATAAGAATATGCTTTAAAATGTTAATGCTGTCAATTGTGAGATTTGACCACAAGATTAAAGGAATATCAAGTAAAAAATAGAAAATTACTATGGGCACAAATGCATAACCTTATTATTTGAGAACATAATAATGCCAACCATCTTCAAATTCAATGCAATACTGTATTCTTTTCTGAGCAATCATAATGCTAGAATAATCAAATGCTGCCAAAAATAAAATGAGAATAACAAAGTAATAAAAAACTCAATGCTGCCAAATGATAGGCCATCACTCAAAAACAGAATATGTTTCACAAGGGAGATAAGCAGTGCTCCATGGAAGGACAAAAGATAATAAACCTAACATTTTGGTATTGCACCTTTCACATTGGGAGGATCTCAAAGCGCTTCAAAGGCTATTCAGTAAAGTGTTGAGACCCTGTTTTGTGGGCGAATGGGATGCAACAAGCATGCAGAGAGAAAGGAGTAAAAAACACCTGTAAGAAAATAATAATCCTTAGATTCGATATAATGATTTGACGTTGTTGAGACATCTCAAAATACTTCTCAATATTTTGCTGTGAAGTGTAGTGATTGTGTAGTTGTAGGCGAATGTGGCAGCCAATTTGCAGTGTCCCTCATCAATGTCCCACAAACAAACATGGAGTTACTGACCAATTTTATTGGGAGATTGTTGGCCAGGACACCAGGAGACCCTTCTCTTTTCGAATAATAATAATAAGTAGACAGGACCTCGGTTTAACATCTCATCCGAAGAATGATATCTCCAACCATACAGCATTCTCCCAGCACGGCATTAAAGCATTAGCTTAGACTATGTGATTCCAAGTCCCGACGTGTGGCTTGAATGCACAACCTTCTGATTCAGTGGTGAGAGTGCTATCTCACAGACTGACACATAAAACCAAATATTATTCTGAGAAGTTATATCTTCTCAGGTATATTCGCCCACACATATACAGTCAATTCACTTTACAGTATATTCTGTGAAGCGCGTTGAGACATCGAAAAGACGTGAAAAGCGCTATATCAAATGCAAGGATTATTATTATTATCTATGAGATGTTATATATATTGTGTTTTGAAGGTTTAGAGCAGGGTGGTCCAACTGGAGTCCTAAAGGCCACACCAGCCCCTGCCAAACAATTCTAATAGCTGCCAAGTCTTCGTGGAATAGAGATCATGATACAAAATAGGGATCGCCAAAGTCATATATCCATTTATTATTGTGTGCAAAAGCAGATGGTTTCCCTTTGGGCTGCTAACTTGTGGTATTTAACTTGATTCACTCAACTTTGTTACAAATTAGCCAATCTTCAAGCCAGCCCTTTATCGCTTTGCTTGTTGGAGTAAAATAAATCTAATAATTTGAAGATTTGTTTACCAATAGCACAATTCTTAATAAAAGGTTGGCAATGGAGCATGCTGCATTTTTTGAAAGATGCGATGTTTCTGCTTAAACTAAATTCTTGATACATCACCACTAGGGGTTGCAAACCTGTGCTCCTCAAATCCCATGAATAGGAAGCATAGTAATAATAATAATCCTTGCATTTGATATAGTGCTTTATCAGGTCTTCGAGACATCTTAAAAGAGGTTCATAAATTCTTTGCAGGCATTTTAAGATCAATCAATATTTTTCTGGCTTATATACATGTGGATACTTTTAAAAGTGGTCTAATTGGTGCATCATCACATTGGTACCCCAATGCATGGAGCCATACAATGGTAGGAGACAGATTTACATCTCTGACTCTCAGCCTGGTTGGTTACCTCAATAATGTTGTCAGCTCAGCTAAAGAGCAACTAATTTGGATTTAGAAGGAATAAGTATTGTGAGGAGTGAGCTTTGAGATGTTTCGACATTATAAGTGTTATAAAAACATAGATTCATTCAATTGATATCTCATACCACACAAATCTGAAGGAATTCTTTGAGGAAGTCACTAATCCCTTGGATAAAGGCTATTTAATAGATAGAGGGTCTTTTCTGGATCATCAGGTTTTCACACTGTGCATAAATGATCTGAAGGAGAGGAATTCTTTGTGGCTAGGTGGATGAAGAAGGATAGCATTCGTGACGGTTAAGATCAATAAAATAGACGGGAAGAAGTGACATATAGATTTTAATGTAGATAACAACAAGGCAATCAAATGTAAGGATTATTATTATAATGCATATTGAAATGAGGAAGCAGTAAGTGTGAATATTTGACTACAAATAAAAAAAAATTGTTCCAGACATGTACAGGTCATTGGCCAGGCCACGTTTTGGGGATTAATTAGCAGTATTTCTCAACGGGATTCTTCATTCAGAAATCTGAAATGGGAGCTCCGTTGTGTCTTGTTTATGCCAACCCATGGGAACTGCACTATATTATAGGTTAGATATACAGCCATACCTGATCATCATCAGATTGTCTCCAGGGGTCAGCAGAAATCCAGAATAGGACGTCTTTACAATGGGTAAATCAGTCAAGAAATCAATTATTATTTCAAGAGTTCATGAAGAGAAATGGAATGTACTGCAAATCTTTCCTTGATATTGAGAGTGACAAAGTACTATTTCTGAAATACCTCAGGCAATTAGTACTATAAGTCCCCGAATAGCTCTTCCGTGAAAAACGTAGTTGTCAAAGCTCAGGGAATACTGATCTGTAGTGCTAGTTGTTCAGGTAGAAACTTGTTTCAGCTGATCCCTGCCTGCTTGAAGAAAAATAATCATTCTGCTTCTAATGTTATTTATAGTTTTCAGTGTGGATTTTTTTGAATATGTTAATATTTATTTTGCTGATTTACATTGTGTTTACGTGATTATTTTTTGCAGGTTAATGGAAATTACAGATTTATTAACATCCTCCGAAGCTACAATGATGTTCTTAAGCTGTGATTGGTTCTTCTACTCATGTTCCTTGTAAAGAGCTCCCAAACTTGAATTCTCCACACAGATGCAGGTATCAACTTTGATATTGGCTCATGAAAGTTGTGGGAGCTTGTTGTACACAAATTGGCTGCCACATTTTCCTACAAAAGAGAAGTAATAATAAACCATTTCATAAAATACCTTATCACATCATCAGAATGTCACAAAGCGCTTCACAGGATTTGCTATAAACTGTATATTTGTAGATGTACAGGAAAACCAATTTGTGCCAAGCAATATCGCACAAACAGTATCGAAGTGAATGGCCAATTTTATCTGGGGATTGTTGGCCAGAACACTGCAAGAAACTCCCTTCACTTTTCAAATAGTACCCTGGGATTTTCAACATCCACCTGAACAGGCAGGCGGGACTTCAGTTTAATGCCTCATCTGAAGGACGGCACTTCTGACATGATGCCATAACCCCAGCACCACCATGGAGTGTCACCCTAGACTGGGAGTTCAATGTCCTGACGTGGGGGTTTGAATCCACAATCTTTGACTCAGAGTGAGAGTGCTACAAACTGACCAGGTTACAATGATATGTAACTGGAAGAACCCGTGAAGGGCTGTCAACTTTATAGGCATTACATCAAATGCAATAATTATTATTATTACTGCTAATGATAGCCAGCCTGGTTCATCGGCAGGACATGGAGGGGCAGACCAGTCTCCGGGGGCAGGGACTCTTCCCACTCAGCTCCCATTAATCAAACCTGCAAACCAAAGCCCTAACAGGTAGGGTGGTCCGAGCTGGACAAGCAATATCAATGGCAAGCTATTCGGGTTCAGCTGGTTAGATACCAACAGTACCCCAACGCACACTCTGGGGTCCCCAACCCCTTTGGCTCTTGCCCAACGTGCACCTAACACTTTCCAGAACTAGGTGAGCAGGATGCGTCCCTTCAAGGGGGAAGGGTGCGCAGTCCATCCCAACAATCTATCTCTGGGATTTGCACGTGTGGATGGGATGGATGGAAATCTCGGGTTGGTTTGGATGCTCCGAAGCCTGGTGATGGGTTGCCACATGTGTCAAGATAACCAGCTGCCCAAGCAACAAGAGAGCCCCGCCCTCTTGGTGTAGCCCCGCGCTCCCCCCGCGCGACCCCGCCCCTCTCCCCGCGCGACCCCGCCCCTCTCCCCGCGCGACCCCGCCCCTCTCCCCGCGCGACCCCGCCCCTCTCCCCGCGCGACCCCGCCCTCTCCCGCGCGACCCCGCCCCTCCCCCGCGCGACCCCGCCCCTCCCTCCACGTAACCCCGCCCCTCTCCCCACGCGACACCCGCCCCTCTCCCCGCGCGACCCCGTCCCTCTCCCCGCGTGACCCCGCCCCTCTCCCCGCGCGACCCCGCCCCTCTCCCCGCGCGACCCCGCCCCTCTCCCCACGCGACCCCGCCACTCTCCCCGCGCGACCCCGCCCCTCTCCCGCGCGACCCCGCCCCTCTCCCCGCGCGACCCCGTCCCTCTCCCCGCGTGACCCCGCCCCTCTCCCCACGCGACCCCGCCCCTCTCCCCACGCGACCCCGCCCCTCTCCCAGCGCGACCCCGCCCCTCTCTTGGCGTAGCCCCGCCCTCTTCGGGCGACCCCGCCCCTCCCTCCACGTAACCCCGCCCCTCTCTTGGCGTAGCCCCGCCCTCTTCGCGCGACCCCGCCCCTCCCTCCACGTAACCCCGCCCCTCTATTGGCGTAGCCCCGCCCTCGGCGTGTAAACCCCGCCCCCCCGTGTCCGTTGCTCGCTGTGCGCCTGCGCCGTGCTCAGTGCTGCTCTGGAGCGTCCCGTCGCAGCCGCTTCTCCGCCTTTATCCGTCGGCGGCCATTGGCGCGAGTGAGAGAGAGAGAGAGAGAGAACCAGAGACTCAAAGGCCTGAGCGGCGCAGCGAGTGAGTGAGTGAATTTATTACTTTGTTTATTACACCAGAAACAAACACTGAGCGGCGGCGGCAAAGCCTCACAGTGTCCGGCGCTTAGAGAGAGAGAGAGAGAGAGGCCCTGTTATACCCCAGAGAGAGAGAGAGAGAGAGTTACAGGAGGCCAGGCTGCTGTTATACCCCAGAGAGAGAGAGAGAGAGAGAGAGTTACAGGAGGCCAGGCTGCTGTTATACCCCAGAGAGAGAGAGAGAGAGAGAGTTACAGGAGGCCAGGCTGCTGTTATACCCCAGAGAGAGAGAGAGAGAGAGAGTTACAGGAGGCCAGACTGCTGTTATACCCCAGAGAGAGAGAGAGAGAGTTACAGGAGGCCAGACTGCTGTTATACCCCAGAGAGAGAGAGAGAGAGAGTTACAGGAGGCCAGGCTGCTGTTATACCCCAGAGAGAGAGAGAGAGAGAGTTACAGGAGGCCAGACTGCTGTTATACCCCAGAGAGAGAGAGAGAGAGAGAGTTACAGGAGGCCAGACTGCTGTTATACCCCAGAGAGAGAGAGAGAGTTACAGGAGGCCAGACTGCTGTTATACCCCAGAGAGAGAGAGAGAGAGAGAGTTACAGGAGGCCAGGCTGCTGTTATACCCAGAGAGAGAGAGAGAGAGAGAGAGAGAGTTACAGGAGGCCAGGCTGCTGTTATACCCCAGAGAGAGAGAGAGAGAGAGAGAGAGTTACAGGAGGCCAGGCTGCTGTTATACCCCAGAGAGAGAGAGAGAGAGAGTTACAGGAGGCCAGGCTGCTGTTATAGCTCAGAGAGAGAGAGAGAGTTACAGGAGGCCAGGCTGCTGTTATACCCCAGAGAGAGAGAGAGAGAGAGAGAGAGAGTTACAGGAGGCCAGGCTGCTGTTATACCCCAGAGAGAGAGAGAGAGAGAGAGAGAGAGTTACAGGAGGCCAGGCTGCTGTTATACCCCAGAGAGAGAGAGAGAGAGAGAGAGAGTTACAGGAGGCCAGGCTGCTGTTATACCCCAGAGAGAGAGAGAGAGAGAGAGAGTTACAGGAGGCCAGGCTGCTGTTATACCCCAGAGAGAGGAGAGAGAGAGAGAGTTACAGGAGGCCAGGCTGCTGTTATACCCCAGAGAGAGAGAGAGAGAGAGAGTTACAGGAGGGCAGACTGCTGTTATACCCCAGAGAGAGAGAGAGAGAGAGTTACAGGAGGCCAGGCTGCTGTTATACCCCAGAGAGAGAGAGAGAGAGAGAGAGTTACAGGAGGCCAGGCTGCTGTTATACCCCAGAGAGAGAGAGAGAGAGAGAGAGTTACAGGAGGCCAGACTGCTGTTATACCCCAGAGAGAGAGAGAGAGAGAGAGAGTTGCAGGAGGCCAGGCTGCTGTTATACCCCAGAGAGAGAGAGTTACAGGAGGCCAGGCTGCTGTTATACCCCAGAGAGAGAGAGTTACAGGAGGCCAGACTGCTGTTATACCCCAGAGAGAGAGAGAGAGAGAGAGAGTTACAGGAGGCCAGACTGCTGTTATACCCCAGAGAGAGAGAGAGAGAGAGAGAGAGTTACAGGAGGCCAGGCTGCTGTTATACCCCAGAGAGAGAGAGAGAGAGAGAGTTACAGGAGGCCAGACTGCTGTTATACCCCAGAGAGAGAGAGAGAGAGAGTTACAGGAGGCCAGGCTGCTGTTATACCCCAGAGAGAGAGAGAGAGAGAGAGTTACAGGAGGCCAGACTGCTGTTATACCCCAGAGAGAGAGAGAGAGAGTTACAGGAGGCCAGGCTGCTGTTATACCCCAGAGAGAGAGAGTTACAGGAGGCCAGACTGCTGTTATACCCCAGAGAGAGAGAGAGAGAGAGTTACAGGAGGCCAGGCTGCTGTTATACCCCAGAGAGAGAGAGAGAGAGTTACAGGAGGCCAGGCTGCTGTTATACCCCGGAGAGAGAGAGAGAGAGAGAGAGTTACAGGAGGCCAGGCTGCTGTTATACCCCAGAGAGAGAGAGAGAGAGAGAGAGTTACAGGAGGCCAGACTGCTGTTATACCCCAGAGAGAGAGAGAGAGAGTTACAGGAGGCCAGGCTGCTGTTATACCCCAGAGAGAGAGAGAGAGAGAGAGAGTTACAGGAGGCCAGGCTGCTGTTATACCCCAGAGAGAGAGAGAGAGAGAGAGAGAGAGTTACAGGCCAGGCTGCTGTTATACCCCAGAGAGAGAGAGAGAGAGAGAGAGAGAGTTACAGGAGGCCAGGCTGCTGTTATACCCCAGAGAGAGAGAGAGAGAGAGAGAGAGAGTTACAGGAGGCCAGGCTGCTGTTATACCCCAGAGAGAGAGAGAGAGAGAGAGAGAGTTACAGGAGGCCAGGCTGCTGTTATACCCCAGAGAGAGAGAGAGAGAGAGTTACAGGAGGCCAGGCTGCTGTTATACCCAGAGCGACATGTACAGGAGACCAGACCACTTGTAGGTTAACAAGGGTCAAATGGGGACTTACTCCCAGTCTGCGCCTTCCAAGTCCTGCCGATGAGCCAGACTGTCTGGTCTGTCATCAGCAGTGTCCTGAAGTCCTGAGGGCCTCGCTGACTCAGTTAGCAGACTGACCGTCCAAACGGTTCACTTGATTCTGGCATTCTGTTGCCAAGCACCTTGGAGCCAGTTCATCCCCAGGGAGACCCTGCTCACCTCCTCAAAGAGACACTACTTACTTGCCCAAGGAGGACAGTCAAAATAATTGTTTATCAATATTATAATATTTATCAATTTTGTTACAAAATTTTGTTTATCAATATTGTTAGAGGCTTGTTTTGAGAAGTCAGCTTTAATGGCTGGCTGGGCATTATCTAGTTTACCTCATTAAATTAAAATTAACTTAGTCTAATTGAATTGAAGCAATGTTCTTGGTATCTTTTCGTTACCTTTGTGACTGTGCTCACTCTTCCAGCTGTAATGAAACCAGCTGTGATGAAATTCAGAGTAGACATACCTGGGACAAGAATTGTACCTGAGATATTGTATGTTCCTTTTGGTCAAGAATGGAAAAGTATAATAAATGAACACTTGTTGAAGGATGGTTTATATACGATATTCATATACGATAGTCACCTCCTTCAGTATATTCATTGAATATACTGCAGGTGACTTATAATTATAATAATTCTTGCATTTCATATACCACCTTATCATGTCGTTGAGATGTCTCAAAGCATTTCACAGCATATATTGTAAACTGTATTGTGTGGGCAAAACGCAGTAGTCAATTGTGCATACGAGTGTCCCACCAGCAGTCGTGTGGAACACAGAGGTTGATTAAAGGGCTGCTATGTAGCTGAAGAATAGTGGGACTTAGAATTTACAGTGTTTAAGAGCTTTGAATTTAATTTAAGATTCGGGGATTTTCAATTTCTAAAAAAAAACTTAATCTCTGATCAAACTCCAGATACCTCCAGCGCTCATAGGGAAGAGATCAGTGTAACACATGAAAAGGATTCCGACTTGTAGGAGAAGTGGATAACACAATACAGGTAGACAAACAAACATGTGCAACGCTCTTTTAAGATGTTTTAATTGAATATTAACCTCAATAGATAACTCTGATACAGATGTTCTGAACTATTGATACTTTTAGTATGTTGAGATTCCTGACATTTAGCTCGAAAAGGCTGGACTAAATGAACTTGTATGGTGGGTGGAAACTAGGTATACTATCTTTGGTGGGTTATTGAAACTGGAGCCTCAAAATCGTTATGCTTTAGCCAAGGAGCCACTGTCTTTTTAAAAAAAAAGATTTTGTGTCGAGTTTTGAATGAAGTGTTCCTATAGTTTCCTATTGGCCCTGTGGAAAATCAGCTTGCAATATAAGATTGTGCAGAATTTTGGAAAACAATATTAAAGTAAGACGCTGGTCTTAAGCTTAAAAATAGGAGAAATGTCAAGTCGCTGAGAAGGAAATAGCATGATTGGCTGTTGGGAAAGCATTACATTTTCACCACAGCCTGAATATATTGCAAGCAGGCAAGGTGATTAATTTTGGATCAAGGAGTTGGATAAACCCGAAGGATACTTTACAATCCACCAGTGTTAATTATTTAAGAAACAAGGCAGCACTTTTCATCTCACCTCACTAAGATACTCTTGAAAGTTCCAAAAGAAATTCAGAACTCAAAATCGTTGATCTTTTATTTGCATTACCAATATTCAGCCTCTGTGCTACACCAAATAAATAATAAACAGCATTGACTGTAGGGATGCAGTTTGTGCATTATATTACTTTAAAAAGTTTTACTTTCCCAATTCACTTTACAGTATATTCTGTGAAGCACTTTGAGACGTCTCAAAGACTTGATAAGACGCTATATAAAATGCAAGGATTATTATTATTATTGACCCAGTTTGAAGCAACAAGAATGTGTACTTCCTGTGTATCATTTATATAGAAACTTGATAGAACTGTGGTGGTGATTTCTTTGTTAACAGTTCTTTGCTAAGAGCAATGTTTATATGGTTGAGGATACATGGAGGAAACATTTCCTCCCCCCCCCCCCCCGTGCACCATGTACATCAACAACAACAACAAAATGATATTTGATTTGTAGAGCGCCTTTCACGTTGGGAGGACGTCCCAAAGCGCTGAACAGTCAGCTGTCGTTGATGGCCAGGGTCTTGTTGGAGATGGAGCGGACATTTTGAAGTCTAATGCGGAGTGGACAGTTGGCAGGGGGATGTGTGGGATGGGGAGAGTAGTGGAATGGTTGGGAGGGTGGGTGGGGTTGCAGATGAGGGAGGAGAGGTTAGCCTCCGGGGTCAGGATCCAGGGTGACTTGCGGCGGTAGTGGGGAGTGGGGCAGTCGGTGTGGCTGCTGCTGGACAGCCAGCGCCAAGTGCCACGATGAGCCCGGTGGAGGATTCCCAGGCTGGAGCAGCGGGACGCAGTGGGGGGGGTCAAGCAGAGATAGGAGGCGGAGAGAGAGAAGAACAGAGCGGGAGAGTTGCAGGGAGGGGGGCATTTTGAGGGAGGGCCAGCTCGGGTCGGGGGAACAACTGATGCAGTTATACTGCATGTACGTGCAGTATAACTGCATCAGTGCCGTAAGATTGGAGCAAAAATTGGGTGTAGAAACAGTTTTTAATAGGGTCCATGAAAGTGACTGTGTCTGTAACTGCTAACATGCTAATGTATATTATGCTTCTCAAATTTGAAATCTCTCTTCTCCCAAACTTGTGTTGACCTCTAGGTTCAACTTACCTCCAGGAGTCTTGCTTGCTCGGTTGGCAGCACTCTCGCCTGAGTCAGAGATTGTGGGTTCGAGCCCCACGTCGGGCCTTGAGCTCACATTGTCGGAGAGCTGACACTCCAAGGCGGGGTGGGGGGGGGTTGCATTGTTGGAGGTGCCGTCCTTTGGATGAGATGATCAACTGAGGGAGGTCCCATCTGCCTGTTCAAGTGGATGTTAAAGATCCTATTCGAAAAGAGAAGAAAATTTCTCCCTTATCCACTAGAGGATCTTTCTCTCTGCTTCCTCCTCTATATGCATTCCCTGTTAAAATAAAAATATTAATTGAAAGATTTCAACCACACCAAAGAATGTTAGTATTGTTCTTTCTAGCTTGTCTGTTTGTGGGACATTGCTGTGCGCAATTGGCTGCCGCGTTTGCCCACAAATATACAGTCAATTCACTTTACAGTGTGTTCTGTGAAGCGCTTTGGGACGTCCTCCTGACGTGAAAAGCGCTATATCAAATGCAAGGATTATTATTATTATTATTATTGTCAATATTTTATATTTAATCAGGCCAGGACAGTCAGATTACTCAGTGTTGCCTGTCCAGATCCTATTCTCTTTTCAAATAGGGTCTTTAGCGTCCACCTGAGCAGGCACCACTATTTTCTTGATTGGAGATATCTCTGCCATAGGGAAAATGATTTAGCTCTTCAATCTAAAGTAAATAAGTGAGTAAATAAAGCCTTGCACATGTGCAGAGACTTCAGGCCCTGGGCAAGAACAATTAGAAGCAAGAAGTATAAATCCAACTTTGCATTCCAACAGTGTAAACTAATCAGAATATAATACTAATTGTGCTTGATATAGTACTTTATCATGTTGAAACATCTCAGTGTTTTACAGCTAGTTGCTGTAAAGTGTAGCGGCTGTGTGTTTTGAAGCTAATAAATTACTGTAAATAGTCTCTTGCCTTGTATATTAACTATTCCTTATACTGCTGTGCCCAATTGGCTGCAGTGTTTCGCCCACAAATATACAGTCAATTCACTTTACAGTATATTCTGTGAAGCACTTTGAGACGTCTAGTAGACGTGAAAAGTGCTATATCAAATGAAAGTATTATTATTATTATACAGCATAAATGCTACTGGATCATTCACTATAATCTTACGAGGGTAATTAAGAATAACCCTATTATTATGGAAACTACAGAATGTTCATATTTGCAAAGTATTGGACAGATTGGTTTATAAATGTTTTCAATATCTTTATAAACAAAATTTTTACATTTTCTAATCTTGTGCAGCAACTTATGTGATTTCCTGCTTCAAATGTATACTTATTGTTGAAATAGCCTTCTGTATCTTCTCTATGCGCAGGGAATCAATATGAGGTTGAAATGTCTGCCATTGTTTCTGGGACTGTTGCTCATAACAGCAGTCGTCTGGGCTGAAGAAGAGGAGGAAGATGGAGAAGTGGATGTGGAAGAGCTTGAAGAAAAGAACACTGAAAGTGAAACAAAGACTAGTAAAGCTACATTGAATGTGATTGTTTATTTTGAATATTTTGTGCAAAGTGCAAACGGCACGTTTTATTGACAAACAACAGATCCATTTATTCAAATATTTTGAAGGGAACAAAACATATTTCGCATTTATGTAGCACCCTTCACGTAGGATAACATCTTTGCATTACAATGATGGGGTCTGACGCAGTGAAAGTCAGATGGGAAGGTCAAAGTTAACAAGTAGGAAATAGTAGTTGAAGGCTGGGCTATTGAGGGTGACGGAGAAGGCAGTGGACCTTTAGCAGACAAAGTTAGATAAGCAGAAGAGCGGGTAAAAGAAGAAACAAGATAGGGAACGGCGAGGATCTTGAAGTCAATCAAGATGATGAAGTGAAACTGTTAAGCAGATATTTTTAGTGTTTAATACCAAATTCTATTTTGTTTTAAACAGTCAGTAATGTTATTCATCTAGTCTAGTCTCCACAATTTGTAAACCGTTTCATTCTTAATTTTTTAAATAACCAATCTTGTCTTACAAATACTTGTGAAAGTCACTTTTTACTGTACAATATAAATTACTGGTATTGGTCTAAATCTGCAGATGAACTACAAGACTCCTGTCCCTACTGGAGAGGTTTACTTCGCTGAAACATTTGATGGAGGGAATTTAGAGGGGTAGGAATTCTCATTTGCACCAAGCTGATTAAGAAATATTCAATTCTACTAAGAGATGTCAATGCCTTCTGCATTAGTGAACAAATATTCTGATATTAAATCTGGGAACAAATACTCATTATCAATCACCTTCCACTCACTTTGTGTTTCATTCTAAAGATGGGTATTGTCCAAAACAAAGAAAGAAGATGTAGATGACGATATTGCAAAATATGATGGTAAGAATTGTTTGGGTAAATTTTTTATAATTGTTAGTTATGGTGATCATGCTGTTTTGAGAGTAATACTGCAGGAGTAAATACTTTTGAAGGACACAAACGAAGGAATACCAGAAATAAATGTTTCCACAATATTCTGTATTCTGTTGTTTCCAATCGACAACGAACGACAGTCCATGGAATGATGGTTATCTGGAGGTCCATTCTTTCTAGCTCAAATTTTGGAAGCACATAAAGATGAGATGGAAGTACTGTACTGTATTTTAAGTCTGGGGTAGCAAGCGAGAAGAGTGGAGTCAATGCAACCTGAAAACCAATCTGATTGCCATTATATTCCAGTACACACCGGAACCCTGTACATATCCAATTCAGTGGAGTGGGAGTGCAGAAACCACAGCGGAGAAATTCTTTCATTGCATTCAGTTCACTGATGTGGATATATACAGTGTTCCTGTGAAGCACTGCAGTTGAGATTTTATTAAAATGTAAAAACAAGCACAAGAAGACCTGTAGATTGTGCCCCAGAACTTTTAACAATTATCATTTAGAGGGCCCTGGGAGTTGGGATGCACCTTTACTGAGTGAAAAAATGTCAATCGTAGTCTTAATATTTAAGATTGTCCCAAACTTTGGAAAATTCTTAAGTCTTCAGGCTTATTTTGGAAGCTTTATTTTCTGAAGGTATTTTGAAGAATGAGAATTTCTACATCAAGATATACTGGTCTTAATTTTCGGCAGTTTTTTAATATATACCGGAGTTCTCTTCTTTTATCCACTGTTTTTATGCCTAAATGTTCCATGAACAGTGTTTTACAATCTGTTAATGACCCATCAGCAGCCACAGTGTAATAATTTTGTGAGCAGCTTCCTGATGCTTTTTTTTGACCAGACCTCCATTATTGGAGCTTTCCCAGCCTATTGTTTCAGTTCTGACCATGGAAACTGAAATGTTAACTAATTTTCCTCTTTCACATGCTGACCAGCATTGTAAATTTAAAATGTTTATGGCTTCATTAATTTAACTTCGTCCAACACAAAGCTCCAGAGCTAACTTTTTAATTGTGTTTGTATATTGTCTCTATATTGTCTCTATTCTCATTTGATTCATGTTTATTCCTTTTATAGGAAGATGGACGGTAGAGGAATTGAAGGAAAATCAAGTGTCTGGAGATAAAGGTCTGGTGCTGAAATCAAAAGCAAAACACCATGCTATTTCAGCTTTGCTGAAGAAGCCTTTTGTCTTTAATGATGAGCCATTAATTGTTCAGTAAGTATTTTAATATTCTTTGGACCTTTTTGGTCAGCGGATTTCTTGACACATGCGGAAATCATCATGCTTAAAAGTATCCAAACCAAATACAGTTCCATGCATCCCATCTGCACGTGGAAATTCCAGAAATGTTTGTTGGAATGGAATGGGCACTCTCCCTTGAGAGTTCCTGACCCCAGTGGCTGGTCTGCCTTTTTACATCCTGCCAATGAGCCAGGCTTGCTGTGCTGCCATCAGCAGTGTCCTGGAGTACTATGGACCCACCTGACTCAGGAACTGAACTATCAAGACCACCACAGAGGTTCAGCACAATTCTGACATGCTGTTGCCAAACATGTCACCTTGGAGCCAGTTCAGCTCCGTGGAGACCAAGCTTACCCACCCCGCCACCCCCACAGAGGTTTGTGTCCAATTTCAGTGCTTTCAGACTAACACTCCAATTGAGGTCCATTCAGAACCTGCTCGTTTACAAAATGGACCATTACTTTTCAGCTTATGCTCCTGTCCATTGTAGTAGTTCTCAGAAGTGAAGAAGCTTTTTAAGTTATTTGTTTTAACTATCTTGTCATTCATGTTATGCTATGAAATTCTTCTGAAACTAAAGTTAACGAAAACAAAGTACTCAATTCTGCAACATTATAAACGTTAATAAGTGCTGAAGGAAAAGAAGCAAGTTACTTAATCTTCAGATGCAATAGATGTCTGTGCTTCCTGGGACAGCTGTTTTAACAATTCAGCTCACACTAATACTGAAAGGTACTCTAATGCAATAATCTGGTGTTTATGCTCCTGGGAACAAAGTGATGTGGAGTGAGAAGATTTTAAACATCATGCCACATCACGTCTCAAAAAGCAAATGCTTGGTTTGATCTTATGCACCAATATTGTGAAATTAAAATTTTTAGGTTTGTATAATGACTCCTCGACATTTTTAAAAAAAATGGTTTGTTGAAATTTCTTGAGATCTTGCATCAATGTGATTTGCACCTACAACATTTACAAAGTTTCAGAAACAGTGTGACTTGCACTATCACCTACAGTTAATTGCATTATAAATGGAGAAATAAATAATTCTCAGACTTTGGGTGGTAAAGAAAAACCTTGGTTTTTGTAATGCTCGATCATGCTCAAACATCATGAAACATTTCAAATACAGTGCTGCAGGAGTCTGCCACTGTTCTCAGTCGTGAGCTTGCCAACACCAACTGGGGTCACAGACTTATGCCTTTCAACTTTTAATGCATCCAGTAGGGTCCAACAATTACACATGCTGGTTCCAAATCTAAGGTCTTCGAGTGATTCTCTCGAAGATACTAGATCAAAACTAGTAGAAAACAAGAAAATTGGACAGGATGAGACGGAAAGTGTCCATGTTTAAAGAATGTACTTGCACTCGAGCAAAGATTGAGGGAGGGTTAAAATATTCTAATTGAGATTTGATAACAAATGTGAGTGAAACGTAGGCAATTTTCAAGTGCCTCCTATAGTTAGTGTTCAACAACAACAACAACTTGGATTTATATAGCGCCCTCCATGCCAGACGGTGTTCAAACATAAGGCTACAACACCTGAATGTATCATGGAATTACAACTGACTCGTAGCGGGATGAGATGAAGCCTATGCCCAGAGATAACAAATCTTTATTGGTGTCCAAGTTTTCTCAGTGATGGTGTCATTGAATTTAAGTTTAAGGCCATCCATGAGGCTGCAGTTTTTCTGAATATTTTCTCTGCTTTTGAGTGAATGTTACGAGCTGTTAAATTTCAGGACAAATAGTTGAAGAGATCGTCGGATGTCCTATCTCAGTCTAGAGTGCATATCGTTTTCTGCAAAGCCCAAATTCTATTAGGCAACTCCGAATTACAACACAGCTTCCTTTAAAGAATGAATTGCTGGTTTCTCCCAGTATCTTAGGGGTAAAGTCACCACTTGATGTACAATAGCACTCTGTCGTGCCAGAAGGTCACGGATTTGATTCCAGTATCAGCAGAAGATGCTGAAGGACACTATACAAATGCAAGTTATTGTGTATTATCAAGTTGTCAAAACTATTTGAAGAGCTATTATTTCATAATAATCTCATTCTCATGTCTCATTCAGCCATTTCTTATAACTTTTTCTATCATTTCATACTACATGCAGCAGTTGATAATGAGTGTCTTCTGAGCCCTTGTTGCTGAAACTTAGTAACTTCTCCCTGAAGCAGTTTGTTTATCTAATCTTACTGACTTCTCTGTTTGCAAGTTGACTGTCCTAATAGCGATAGAATTAATGGTTGACACCAATTGGTGCCAGATATAGATTTTTTTTTAAAAAAAATTACTAGGCCTGAACGTATTTCTGAAACCTATTTTTTAGATTGATACCTGCCTAACAAGTATACTTAGTGCAGGGCACAAGCCAAATCCGTCTTCATTCATATATCTACAGGTGTACTTGATGTACACTGTTGTAAGAAGTGGTATTGTCATATTTGCTCAACTATTTTGTATAATTGTTTTCCAGATATGAAGTAAACTTCCAAAATAGCATTGACTGTGGTGGTGCATATTTAAAGTTGCTTTCTCATACCGAGGATCAAAATCTAGTAAGTGGAAATAATTGCTGTACTGACTTTACATTTTTCCCTCCTCTCACGTAGTGATGGGTTCACAGACATCGCTGCCATGTCACTAATGCAATTGTAGCACTTATGACCTTTTCCAGTTGCTATAACTGCACATATTAAGGATCAGAAGCACAACACCGTGTATTCATTCACTGAGCCAACGGGAGAGCCCCACAACACTTTCCTTTAATAAGTTTTTATGTTCAGTCTTCACCTCAGAAAAATATTTGAATAACTGTAAAATAAATCTTTTTCTCTTGTATATTAAAGATAACTGAAATGAAAAATTTGATTACTTAATATAAGGAATAAAATAATGGGAAATGGAGCACAGAAAATGCTGACAACATGGTAAACGTCTCTGCTGCAAAAAGTCAATAATGTTTTTCTCAAGTTAATTTAGAACGATTTTGGATGTATCAGTGTATTAGACTAATGTTACCTGAGATTCCAGTCTTTGGGTGTGAGGCTACATAATGTTAGCAGGCCTTTGAGTTCCATATGGCCTTCACTTGATATTCATAATAAGCACTTTCCCAGATGTTCATCCCTTGGTTGAGTGGCCTTTTCTCATGTTAGTTTAAAGAGAGTATTAGTACACGGTTTAACCAGGGGGCATTATTGAATCCTCCTGTAATTATTACAACCCATGCTATTTTCTGTTTCTACCAAACTAAAGCCCAGGTGTCAATACTGTTCAATAACATTTAAAAGGTACTTCTTAATCCAGCTGCTCTGAATTCTTTCCCACAATTTGTTCAGTTTCTCGTGCTATTTACCTTGTGGCCTTTTAAATAAGTCCTATTGATATTTGTGTTTCATTCAGTCATACGCTTATCTCACATATAGTTCAATTTGACCAGGATTGTATTAGAATGCAAGTTTCAATGTATTTGTGTTGTAGTTGATCACTACTCTCCAGTAAGATGTGACTTTTCTTCTTGCATAGCTATTTAAAACTTGAGAATATTTCATTCTAAATTATAGACATATTGGTTATGTAATATTTTTACTTCTAGTATTTTATTTAGCACAAAGTGACAGCATCTATTAAGGATGAAAATGCGATGGTCGGCTCCTGTACACATTTCTTTAAGAAAATGGTAACAATACCCATGCTTGTGGTATTGAAAATGCTATCTCTGTTTTGGATTCTTCCACATTAAAAAGGCAACGGCTCTAGAAAATTATTTCACCCCGATTTCATTCTGAAAGGCTAGTTCCGCTGGTACAGAACTAATCTCTATCTAATTCTGGGTGTCGTTAGACTAAGTTGACAGTTTGTTCTAGTGGAGAGTGTTATAATCTACTTGAACTATTTTTCTCCTTTAGGAAGCATTCTTTGACAAAACGCCTTACTCAATCATGTTCGGACCGGACAAATGTGGTGAAGACTATAAACTGCACTTCATCTTCAGACACAAGAATCCCCAAACAGGAGATTTTGAGGAAAAACATGCTAAGCGTGCTGATGTAGATCTAAAGAAGTACTACACTGACAAGAAAACCCACCTGTACACACTAGGTACCCCACAGTTTTGTTTATATAACAGTATAATTCCATTTTCTCTATACATTTTCAGCTGTGAATTTGTAATAATCATCAATTAGAATTTAAGATTACATATTAGAACTTGAGTCAGCCAAAGTTGTTGACCATTTCAAAATAGGGACTATATGGCATGTGTCAGATCAGCCAGGAGGCTACAAAAAAATGGAAAGATGGAAAAAGTATAAATGGAACACATTATAGTTAATGAATTGTAGATGCATAGCATCGATCAGTTTTTTTCCTTAGTGGGCTATATTTATTAACAGACATATTAGAACAATATGATGGGATATCGTATGTAAACAACAACATGCATTTAGATAGCGCTCTTCATGCGAGATAGCATCTCGGAGTGTTGAAAGTAGCTTTCATAGCTGAACTTGTGCTCCCTAACATTTGATTAAAATAAAACATTTTGCTGAAGCAGAAATCTTACTTCTAGCGGATGTGTTCCTATACGTTATGTACAGATGGCAGTTGCTGTGATTGGGGCTATGTATATCAGCCGTGGGATGGCTCTCTTTGGATGTATCATTTCCAACTGTACTATGGTAATGCAAGCATCTAATAAGTGTTATCATCCTGGGAGAGGTAAGCAGGGAATGAACTGGCTCCAAGTTGATATGCTTGGCCACAAAAATCTCGTAATCAATTCAACTTTGTGGCAGTCTGATTAGCCAAGTAGGTCCACAGTAGACAGTCCCCAGACTAATAGGGCGTAGTCCAGTTTTCTGACTAAATGCTAATCCTAATTCCTAACATTTAAAATAAATGAAATGAGCAAAAAAAAATCCTTCCAAATATTTAAAATGAATAAAAAAATGAATTTTAAATAAATAAAATAGACACCAAAAAAACCCCAAATAACAATTGTTCTGTAGTCAACACTAATGCGGTACCAGCTCCGGTGATGTCTGCATTAAACCAATCAATGTGGAGCTGTGCGCATTACGTGGACTGGTAGGAGTTTGAAAACGTGGAGTGGATTGTTAGTGGGTGGAATGGATTTTTAGCTCATGGAATCGTGGATTTTTTTTCAAACCAGCTAATTCTGAATTGCAGATAGCCAGGGATTTAGTGTAATTCAAAGCACTGCCGATGACACCAGCCAGCTTGGCTCGTCAGCAGGACTCGGAGGTTAAACTCCCACAGTACCGCAATGATCTTCAGCAGACCAGGGCTGAAAATAATTCCACCATTCTACGCTCTGAAAAAAATCAGTTCCGCACACTAAAAATCCTTGCTAAGTTGCAGCTAATACTTTTGGGAATTAGGCAAACAGTGTGCATCCCTCCAGAGAGCAATGCACCCTCCATTCCGGACACGGGGAAATGTCTATGCATAGGTGCCATTTTGCGTGTGGAACTTTGTCTGGTTTGGATACTCTGAAGTATTGTGATGAGCTTCTGCATATCAGACACCCAGCTGACCAAAGAAAAAGTATTTTGCAGGATGCATAGATGTATGTTCAACAGGGCACGGGTAGATATAATCTCAGGTCACTGAAATTTGGCCCCTAATTTCCAACAGTAATTATTAGTTGCACACTATAGTTTTTCATGTAGATAAAACGACTAATCTCAACTCTAACTGGGGACTAAAGCGTAGAGGAGATCTGTGCCCTGAAGAAGTAGAAAATTAGGGCCCATTGTTGCACATGTGACCATATCAAGAGTGGGTCAATAGTTAATTTTAAAAAATCCTTGCATTTGATATAGCACCTTATCAAGTCTTGAAGACATCTCAAAGCTCTTCATAAGATATTCTGTAAAGTGTAGTGACTGTATTTTGTGGGCAAAATGTAACTTATTAGTTGAGCAATAGGGAGTTGGTGGCCTTTCCACTATTTCCTGCAAAGTATGGTAAGTAGAAGGCACAAAGGAGGAAAAACATCTACATTTTACAAAGTAACTAGTTTAGGGTAATGCGGGCAAGCTCTTGTCCAATTGTTTTCTAGTACAGAACAATTTGTCTTCAAACGGAGTACTCTAAAAGTGAGCATGAAAGCCTAGTTGCTTCGATGTTTTTATCTTCAGGTTCACAGAAATATGAAAAATACTGCTGGAAAATAATTCACTAATAAACAAGTCAAAAATGTTTTGCACAAGTAGAATTTTAGTTTTGCAGATGCTTGTCATAATAACCGTAGCCACGAGAAAATAACTGATTTCAAGGAATCTTCTGAGTCTTAGAATCTGCTTGGAGCATTCCTCCTATATTGTAGGCTGGGGTTAACATTTCCAATTACTGTAACAGCCTTTTTACATTCCTCTTAGTGCTGAAGCCAGACAACAGCTTTGAGATGCTGATTGACCAATATGTGGTCAATAAAGGAAATATGCTGGAGGATATGACTCCTCCTATTAATCCATCTAAGGAAATAGATGATCCCAATGATCAGAAGCCTGAAGACTGGGATGAGGATCCAAAGATTGCTGACCCTGATGCCGTCAAGCCTGAAGACTGGTGAGTGCTGGCTTGTTAGATATGGTGGTTACTTATTTTAATATACACTGTATCTTTCACTACTACAGATTTATTATGTGTATTAGAAATTTGGAATATATTTACAATTTGAAATTGAATGGGGTCTTCTTTTAGGGATGAAAATGCTCCAGCAAAGATAGTTGATCCAGATACTCATAAACCAGAAGGGTGGCTTGATGATGAACCAGAGTACATCCCCGATCCTAATGCACCGAAACCAGAAGACTGGTAATTGTTTTGTATTTGTGGGTTGTTTAGTGTGAGAATGGATGCTGTTTAGGATAATACATACCTGTTCAATATGGTCTTTATTTACAGCGGGTCTCAGGCAAATAATAATCCTTCATATAGGATTATTGAAGTGTTGAAATGTTTTGAACATTGAAATGTTGCAAAGCGATTCGCAGGTTTCTGTGAAGGATGTTGACTGTGTATTTGAAATAACACACAACACATCTATTATTAGATATATGCTTATCCAACATCCTGGGGACTGAAAGTGTCTTGGAAATGTGAATTTCTGATAACCGGTAATTTATTACATAAGCGCATTAAATTGGGTAGGTAATACAACCTGATTCTGAATGAGTTTCTGAGTGGAGATTAGGCGCCAGAACATAAGCAAACATTTTGGCCACAAAAATATACAGTCAATTCACTTTTGAAAACTTGTTTTGCTAAGGTCAAAAAAATGTACCCCGGGGTATTAACTGATGTAACGTGCACCTAACGTTCCTTTTTAGGGATGAAGAAATGGATGGTGAATGGGAACCTCCTCAGATTTCTAACCCAAAGTGCGAAGCTTCACCTGGATGTGGGGTTTGGGAGATACCGATGATCAGTAACCCAAACTACAAAGGAAAATGGAAGCCTCCTTTGATTGACAATCCCAAATACCAGGTATTGTAGCTTACTCCATGCCATGTTGGACCCTACTATTGCCACTAGCAATTCTAATCTCCTGAGATTATCTTTATTATTTATACAGAATACTAAATAAGTAGGAAAGAGAGAAACAGTATATTGATTTAAGTGAATAGAACGGCGTGTTACCACTCAGTTTGTGCTCAGTGGGTTCAGTTGCAAGAGCAGCCAATTGCGTACAGCAGTGTCGCATAAACAGTCGCTTGCGAGGCAAGTGCTCTAACCACTGAGCTACAGGACTCCATTCCCCTCCAGAAATACTAGGGGAACGAGACTAATTGGACAGCTCTTCCAGAGCAACAACGACTTGCATTTATATAGCACCCTTTATGCAGGGTAGCATCCTGAAGCGCTTAAAAGCACAGTGGGCCGAATGGCCTTCTGTGCTATAAGATTCTAGGATTCAAAACTCTTAACAATGGGACATAAGCTCCGCCTCAGAGTGAGGTGGGGGAGTTAGGTTATTTATATATTTATTATATTTTCCATAACATTTAAAGGAAATTCAATAAATATTTGAACAGGATGTTGTAAAGCCAAAAGATTAAACATCTCAAATTAGGACAGCCCACAATTTGTGGTATAAACTGCATGTAGAACCATAGAAATTTACAGCACAGACGAAAGCCATTTGGCCCATTGTGTCTTATCTGTGCTGACTCTTTGAAGAGCAGTCTTTTCAGTTCTATTTACCTGCCCTTTCCCATATGCCTGTAGCCTACTAATTGTAATTGCAAGAGCATTTGGAAATAAATGGTGAAGATGAGAGAGAACCATTAGGTGATATAGGAGAGAGCAAGATTGTTGTAGGGATTTGTGTGCTATACTGCAGGTAACAACAGATGATATAACTCACAACATGAGCAAACAATTTCCCAATTGGAAGTCTGGTTCAAACAGGATTCCTATAGCAGGTGGATGTTGGAGTTCATGTGATGTGAAGTGATACGTTTTTCTCTATACTGAACTGCAAAGTACACTCTACTCATTGTTATGGTGAATCAGATGGGAGGATGGAGGCTGCTGTGATTATGTAAGAGTACAGACTACAGATAACCAACCAAGACTAGATCTGATGACCCTTTTTGTATCGTTTGCACAGGGTGTATGGAATCCAAGGAAGATCCTAAATCCTGATTATTTTGAGGATTTGAATCCATTCAAGATGACGCCATTCAGTGCTGTTGGTCTAGAACTGTGGTCCATGACTTCTGAAATCTTGTTTGATAATTTCATTATCTGTTCTGAGAAGGCCGTGTCTGATCAGTGGGCAGCTGATGGTTGGGCACTGAAGAAGATGGTTGCAAGTGCAAATGAGGTAAATGTGTAATTTATACATTTATTTGTACAAAATTGTCAAATGCACAATTCCGGAGGGGGGTGGGGGATCACTCTTAAGATATACATCACTCTTGCCTGCCTTGAATCCTTTTTACAGACACAGTTTACTTCTTCTTACTAGACGCCTTTTACAGGCTTCCCCTGCATTAGTTTCAGGAACACAGTTGTAATACACTTTACACTTAAAGCTCAAAAATAGGCAGTGAGTGGGTCAATGGGGGTGTCAAGTTTGTGAAACGGAATCGCTGCTCCCAATGTACAATACAATTGTGCAGATAGAGCAAAAAATTGTGAGAAATATAGCAGTTTTACACACTTTGGAGTTTTGATATGGCATGATGCATGTTGAATTGTATATTATGCATTGCTTGCAAATGCATTGGTTGACAGTCCTTTTTCTGTTAGTAAGATATTTATTTGTGCACTTGAGACTTAAATTCTCTTCCAGGTGATTTTTTTTATTATTAACTTGAGTTTCCATCTGCCTTGTGATTCAGGTGGATTAAAGGAGAATACCCTGTTGTTGCTATTTCTAAGATAATTGAACTCTTTCTCTTGATTGCATCCCACCTTCTGATCCAAATTAATTGGCTGCTCATCTTATTACTGTTCACGGGAGGTTACTGGCACCACTGGATAATAGAGTGTGCATTTGCAATATATTACAAATAGTTCCTCAAATAGTAAACCTTCTGATAAGAGATGCCTCTCTTCTGGTTTTAGTCAGGCAGTGTCAAGTCTTGAGTGCTTGTTATTTGTGAAAAATGTGAGTCAGTCCATTTGTACAAAAGGAATTTGCTGTTGCATTTGTCTATATAACATTCAGTTCATTTCAAATTAATTAAATGTTGTAAAGTACCTTGAGTTGTTTATTTTTGTATGAAAGATGCTGTATAAATGCAAGTTATTTCTGCCACCTTCCCTATCAAGTTCTCCGTCCCCTCAAAATGTTTCTTAGAAGTTGAGTGTAACTCGATTCATCTTGAGATGTGCTATGCACTTGGTTGAGATATTAATATGCAAATTTGCCGAATTTGTTTTCAGCCTGGTGTGTTCAGTCAGTTGACGACTGCCGCAGAAGAGCGTCCTTGGCTCTGGATTATCTATGCGCTGACTGCAGTTTTACCTTTAGGATTAATTGTGCTGTTCTGCTGGCCAAGTAAGGTAGGGAATCATTTTATTGGAAGTTGTTGCTGTCATGTATGTGCCTTCTCTTCTGTCTAGTACTAATCATTTGTTGCACTCATCTTGAAACATAATATTGGATGACTGGATTTCGTCTGGCAATACCGAGTCTTGAGTGTTTGTGAGAAGGAATAGTAAATCCTAAATGTTTGACTCTTTCAGAAGACTGATTCTGCAGCCGAGTACAAAAAGTCTGATGCTGTGCAACCCGATGTGAAGGAAGAACAGGAGCCAGACGAGGAGGAGGAGGAAGAAGACGAAGAGTGTGAGGAGCCTACGAAAGGTAAAGGTCAGCCATGCAAAATGTTTCCTATGTTATGTGGGTGCAGGTAGAATATATACAGGACTTGAGATCCTTGCAGGCATTTTTCTCCCTCTTCAATATATTTAATGATTTATTTACATATTTCTAAAAGAGACTAAGGTACAAAAATGGCAATCTAGTCCAGATTGATGAGTTGGCAGATATAAAGGATTATATGGCTACCCTGATGCAGCAGGTGAAAAGCTAAAATCACCTTCAGCACGAACGTTTGTTCACTTTAACAAGAATAACAACTTGGATTTATATAGCGCCCTCCACGCCGGATGGCATCTCAAGAGCGCTTCACAGTAACGGATCCTGGGCCCGAGCCAGGGGGAGGGGGAGGAAGGTGACCAAAGGGGCGGTCAAAAAGAAAGGTCTTCAGCAGAGACCTGAAAATGGGAAGGGAGGGAGTGAGGCGAAGGGAGTGAGGAAGGCAGTTCCAGAGCCTCGGGGCATAGTGGCTGAAGGCACGGCCGCCGAGGGTGGAGCGGAGGACGAGGAGGGTTAACTGAACAAAAGTGTTAACGAGCGCATTAACTGAACAAAAATGAGAATTGGTAGCTACCTGAAGCATTCAGATCTTTTTGACTGTGCCTTTACTCACTAGTCCATTGGGAGATCTCAATTAAGAACTTGGAAATTGTTAACTGAGTTGTCACATCTTGTGCTAACCCACTCTTAATGATGACTAAAATCTGACTTTTGGTGACCAAGCCTCCAGCCTCTACACTTGTGCTCTCTGTGGAACTCTGCCACTTCAGAACATCGCCACTTCAGCTCTCCTTGATTTTAAAATCCTCTGCATATTTTCCCAACTCTCCTCCTATTACAATTAAGCATTCAAATATTTTCATTCTGGGTGTATGTCCAAGCTGTTAGCTGTTGCACCTTCTACCTGGTGATATATACTTGTCTGTACAGAAGCTGAAGAGCAGAAAGCCAGTGGAGAGGAGGACAACCCTGGAGATGGCAGTCAAGAAGAGGAGGATGAAGAAGCTAGCAAATCGAAATCTGCTTCCGAAGATGAGGTTAGTTTGTTTTCAAATGTTTCAGTAAATTCCTTCTACTCTTAAGAATGTTTGACGGTAAGAAGGTGAAAGAGTGGGACAATTAGTGGGAGATTGTTTCCCCTGGTTGGAGAAACTAAGACCAGGGGTCACAACCATAAAATCAGAGGCCAGCACTTTCGCACTGAGTTGAAGAACTTCTTCACTCAAAGGGTGGTGAATGTATGGAATTCACTACCCCAAAGAGCTGTTGACGCTCAGTCCTTGAACATATTCAAGACTGAGATAGATAGATTTCTTATTGCAAAAGGGATTAAGGATATGGGGATAAGGCAGGATTATGGTATTAGCTGGAGTTAGATTAGAAGATCAGCCATGATTGAATGGCGGGGCAGGCTCGAAGGGCCGAATGGCCTACTCCTGCTCCTACATGTTATGTCAATGATTTTGGTCCTGATAAGCCAATGGCTTTCAAACTATTTTATCTACACCAACTCCATAACACACTGAAAATCTGACAAGAGTGTTTGGGTCACCTCAACTCTGTTCTCGTCCCCACCGCCACCCGCCAAAACCTGGGAACCACACTGTCGCCATCCTCGTGAAGTGCTCTAAGTTACTATCCTACTTGAAGGACACTATTTAAATAATAATATTCCTTGCATTTGATATAGCGCTTTTCATGTCTTCTAGACGTCTCAAAGCACTTTACAGAATAAACTGCAAAGTGAATTGATTGTATATTTGTAGCCGAAACGTAGCAGCCAATTGTGAACAGCAGTGTCCCACAAACAGTCGTGGATTGAAGTGACCAATTTATTATTATTTTTTCTTGAGGGATTATTATTAGGTGTGTGGAGTAAGGAAATTTGCCCAAGGTTTCACCCTGCTGGGAATCAAACCCAGGTCTCTCGCTTGAGAGGCGAGTGCTCTAACCACTGAGATACAGGACTCCACAAATATTCTAAATATATATAAGTGTATATAAATAAATGCAAGTTGTTATAGTTTTTATTCCTTCACATTATAAAAGCACTTCCCTTGGACTTATTAGTTTAATTTGTTGCTTTTAATAGCAATGGGCCTCATTTGTTTCTCTCCATAATCTTTTCGGGATTAGTCCCCATAATGCCTGCATTCGGTCAGCTAAAAACAGGCAACGTGGATTATCTCTCTGTCTCTCTCTCTGTCTGTCTCTCTCTCTCTCTCTCTCTCTCTCTATCTCTCTCCCTCTCTCTGTGGATGCCAGGAGGCAGAGAACACTTTCCCCTTGTCTGCCCAGAGAACATGGGTTAGCAGCTTGAGGCAAGCTGCTGGAATTGAACCAGCTAAAACTACTTAGCTCATCAGTGCAAGGCATTGATTATGCAGAGAAGTTATCAGTAACTGAGTGGAAAGAATTCTATCAAGGTGATGTAGAAACCTTTTAGAGGTTAATAGTTTAAGTGTCAAATAATGATCCCTGGTGCCAGTGACGCACTAAGAACCTAATAATAGTAATCTTTGCATTTGATAAAGTGCCTTATCACGTGTTCAAGACGTCTCAAAGCACTTCACAGAATCTACTGTAGAGTAAATTGCCTGTATGTTTTGTGGGCGAATATGCTCAAGTCTACACACTGTATTTCATGCTGGATGAGCGCCAAAACCATTCTTCATTTCTGAGCTGTGCCTGTGTTCTGTTTTTAATTTGCAGATGAGAGAAGCTGACGAAGGTGCTGGCTCGGGTGACTGCACCCTGAAACTGATGCGTAAGAAAAAAGTGAGGAAGGAGTAATTGCTGAGTGCACACATTTTTTTGTTTTCTAGCAGGCGTGTGACCATCAGAACACCCAGCAGCATGCAGGTCACTCAGCCACTGGCTGAGGGGACAAATCAGTCTTTGTTCCAACCCCCGATCTAATTTTGACACCCATACCACCCTATCCCTCTCTTCCTGCCATTCCTCTTAGTCTTCCTCAAGAAGGGAAGAGTATTGCTTTGAAGATGTAACTTTAAGAATATTGGAATATGTCCAGACACCAAATTGCCATTTGTGATGGCATATTTTACAATTGCCAGGAAAATTGTAGTAAATATTTGGTAACATTTGTGGGGGAAAGTGTTAATGTATGTTAACCCAGGGTAAACATACTATTGTTATAAGATGAACGTGAGCTACAATAATACATTTGTACTGAAAGGGGAGAAGCATTGGCATGTTTTATGACTGTGATATTTGACGTTTGCTGTTGAAGTTTCCGGTACCAGTGGGGATTAGTACAATAACAATCCTGAAGGAAATTTTAATGTACATATAAATGAATTCAAATGATGCGACTTTTAGCACAAGACTTGAAATTTTTTCTTTCAATGGTGCCAATGTGTTCTTCCCTAGATAAGTCTCTACCAAATGGTATTGTTACAGTAAAAAATGCACTGAGTTTCTTTGTACATTATTGTTCAGGTCAACACGGGTGTCTTTATTCTCTATCTCCAACGTGGCACAAATAAATTAGTTACATTTTAAGTATACCATGAACTTGACAAAACATCTCATGACCTGCCCTTCCTGTTATCTATTTACCTGTGGGGATTTTTTTCACCCCTTCCCTTTCCCCCTGTGCCCAGCCCAATGGAGGCATTTTTGTTTTGGTTTGTTTCCTGTGTGTTTGGTAAATCATTTGTAGTATAGCACAAGTGACATTCCTAAATCCTGATTTGTCTATGTTTTATGAGTGATAGATGAAAGTTTTAACTTAACTAATTCACTGACATTTTCTTGGAAAATGAGTGGCATGGCGTGAACTGAGTTTTATAGTTTTAATGTTACTTCTGGATTGACATAATCCCTGTTTACACTGATGTTTGCAAAATGTACAATTGCTATTTGAAATAAATATTTAATACAATGAAAGTGTGCATGTGTTGATTTTCATAGTTAATCCTCATGCAGATTTCACAAGTGTAAATGAATCCAATATTTGTAGAAAGGGCTTAAGCAAAAGAAAGTTCTTCGGAAATTATCCTGGAGTAAGGGTCCTGTTTTGCTATATAGTAAAAGTATTTTCTTTATATGTACATTCACCTGAGTCCCATTCAGTTTAATATTGAAACCACTTAGATTTATTTGCACGACTCTTATTAAGTAACACCTAATGGCACTCCCCTACCCTCCATTTCTCCCACACTCACCGGCAGCACTGAATTATGCATGCACAGTATAGATTATTAATTACATTTTTATACAATTTATACAGTTTGCCTGTAACTCAAACTTCAAGTATGTCATATTAAATGTTACGGTCCTGACTGATACAACTTACATGACACCTTGCAAATTCCAAAGGTGAAAACGTACATACAAGCTATGCATGGGAAAGAATCATACACATTTGGCCAGGGTATGTCAGGCTTCTGATGCATTCGCTGGTCGATATTGCTTTGCAGGTTAACAACAGCCCTATGCACTTGATAAACCTCGATATCAGGGCACGGACTGCATTTCAGGGGAACGCTCCTCTGGGTGGACTACAGCTGCAGATTACTGGTCTGTCTATTTCAGGCTTCTGGAATTTTAGTGATAAGCAAATTAGATGCTCGTGCTTCAAATAGCAACAAATTTTCAGCACAGGAGGCCTTTCAACTTACTGTGTCTGTGCCAAAGAACAAAAATGTTCTTCCACACACAGGGCATCGATGATGTGCCAAGCACTCCTCCACGGGGTGGAATGTGCAGAATCATTGAGGGATATTTGAAAAGTGCATATATACATGGATACTAGGGAAGGAAGAGTATTGAGTATGGAAATAGTATTTAAAAATCTGCCAAGATCCAGTGAAAGGATGGAATGTGTTTGACAAATAGTCTCTTCTTGTTTCAATGTTCTTATACCAAGTTAACTCGGGCATAAAGAGGTAATCTTCTGAAGTGAAAAAGCATCCACCCATATAGGATTCACTTGTGTAAAAAAAATATTCGCTACACTTCACAGTATATCCAGTGAAGCACTTTGAGATGTCCTCCTGCTGTGAAAGGTGCTGTATCAAATGTAAGGATTATTTTTGCAGTAGCTGAAAATGAGGGTTCTTAAACCACATGCTCAAATGTCTCCGAGCAGGGAAATAATTGGGAGGGTATTGTGAACAAGTGCTTTGTCTACTCAACTTATCATTACTTTTAAAAATACTACCACTGAGTGTGACTGGAGTTAGGACATTGCGACCTCCACAACAACTGATTGTGTGCAATGTCCCAAGCATCCAAAGACTCGAGACCCGAATCAGTCTTGAACTATTGCACTCTTTTAAAATCCAAAACAGTATAAAAACTCACAATCACCACAATCGTGTGCCTTCTCCCCCGCCCCTGTTTTTGGACTATTTCAACATTGCATTTTGTTACTTTAATTATGTACCAACTCACATTTTGAGCATGTGGCCATCGATCATTAGTCAAAAGTGCCATTCGTGACTCACTGGTCAGGTCAGAGCAATAGGTGCAAAAGCCTTTTGGTGCATTTTTTTGCCACGTTATGTATTTAAAATCTGAATGTATGAGGCACTGGATGATGACCAGGAACTAAAGAGAGCGGGGTGGAGGGGGAAGACTTGAATTGAATTTGACAATCTATTATAGTACAGGTGATTTAATCTTTAAACTGGAAAATAAAATTATTTTGAAACAGGTCTGATTTCATTTGACAATTTGTATAAAATGGGTAAAATACAATTTAATTTGAAAACACGTCTCCAAACCTGGCTAAACCTGCAGCCAACAATCGTGAGTGAACAGGACCCTAACCCGGCAAAGTACAAATTACTGTTTTGACCACAAAGTATACAGTCAATTCACTTTACAATATATTCTGTGAAGGGGCTTTGAGACATCTCAATGACATGATAAAGTGTTATGTCAAACTCATTGATTATTATTATTACTGCAGCTGTAAGTGATTTGTAAATCGCTTTGAGACATTTTGCTACATGAAAGGTGCCACAGAAGTTCAAATTGTGTATTGTGTAAGTGTATTGTTTTGAATGGTTTATTTAAATCATAACTCACTGGTGAGGTCAACCACCTCATGCCAGAATTCCTCAGTTTACCAACCTATTATTTACAAATAAGTGCAAATTACTAATAATGTTGTATAGATTCCACTATACATTGTAAGTATCTGAAGATGACTATTTACAAATAATGAAATCAACTTCATTCGATTAATATTTGTTGTGAGAAGAAGTTGCAGATTTTTGGTTTCTGAGTATCAGGTGGAGTGAAACAAATGAAACTCGTTCTCTTTAAAATAGTGACCAATTGAACTTGGTGATAAATTGACAAAAGTAACTCTCCATCAGAAAAACTAACACCAGTTGCGAGCTTGTAAATGGGAAATTTCCATTGCCCTGTCAGAGCAGAGACAATGTGTATCAACAGTTTGGAGTCCTGTAGCTCAGTGGTTGAGCACTCGCTTTGCAAGCGAGAGACCTGAGTTCAATTCCAGGCAGAGGGCGAAACCTTGGGCAAGTTTCCTTACTCCACACGCCTAATAATAATCCCTCCAAAACCAAAAAAAACAATAATAAATTGGTCATTTTCAATCCATGACTGTTTGTGGGACATTGCTGTGCGCAATTGGCTGCCGCGTTCGCCCACAAATATACAGTCAATTCACTTTACAGTGTGTTCTGTGAAGCGCTTTGGGATGTCCTCCCGACGTGAAAAGCGCTATATCAAATGCAAGGATTATTATTATTATTATTATTATAACAGTTCCTATGAGGCCCGATAACCCTTGGATCAAACCCTTTGCCATACTACAACAACATAATGCTACATTTATGCTGGGGTACTGGATCCAAAGTGCCTGACTAAACCTCCACAGGTGTCTTCAAAAGCAGTAAGATAAACAATCCATGCGATCCAACAGTGCAGTCAGATGAGGCTGTCTTCAGGCTGGCAACTCGCAAACAAGTGAAGGTCTAATTCTCAATTCATTCCAATTTGTGACCAAACTAAAAAGCTGTCCGTGTGGGACTGCAGTTCCTTTGTTGTCACCAGTGCTGTGGATTGTGTCTGAGCTACCACGGAGCTGTTTGTTTGAAGTGGTCCTGCAGCACCACACATCAATAGAGAAACACATCAATAGATATTAGGATCTGACCTCCCCAATCTATGCATGTCAAGTTGGCCTTTCAAATGAAACACTTTCCTTCAAGGGATCCCACTTAATTATCGGAGGTTTTGTTCGAGGGTTGTCGTGTGCTAATCACACATGAAATGCACAATTAAGCTTCCAGGAATTGATAATTTCCCAAATGTTTGAGAGCAACAAACGTGGTGGGGATTTTTATCTCCTTGTCTGGTTTAAGCTTCATTGTCACCATCCTTCAAAATTGTCACCAAATCATTGAATTAATAGAAAGCGGAGTGTTTGGTGTTTGAGGGTACAGCAGACGTTTCAGATCAGAATATCCGAGCACTTTACGACCTACACTATCACTAGATTGACCAAAATTTGGTATCCAATCTTAAAAAGTTCCTGACTGACAACATTCAACAGAACCCACGTGTAGAGACTTTGAGCTCTTAGCCTTGGCCGACACTCCAATACAGTACTGGAGGAGTACTTCAGATTTCAGATAAAACATTAAACTCAAGACTCATGTCTACCTGTTCAGGTGGAAGTTAAAGGGGTCCCATGTCATGAGTGTGTCCCAGTATGCCCCTTTTCTCTCTGACTTTCACTTACTGCATTTCTCTGCTCTCCCCAAACCCCCCACCCCCGGCCGGCCGTCCCTCTCTATTCAGTGAATTCAGACTTTTTGTGTGTTTTTCCAGAAAAGTTCTTCAAATGCAGCTCCTCTTCCCTACTTTCCCATTTATTTTCCACACCTATCTTTTCAATCATCAGCTTTATAATTTTCGATTTTGCTTCAAAGTTTTATTCCAGGCGAGTACGAACATCGCAGAACAAAAGTTCAGCAAAGACTTTTCTCCACCAACGCCATTATTTTCATGCATTCACTCTCTCTCTCTCGTGACTTTCTTCTTTAACTTAAGAACCAAAACTTGAATTGTTATAAATAATAACAGTTTGAAATAGTAACATTGCTACATTGAAAGGGTGACACCAAGATGTTTTCCGAAGGCAAAGTATTTTATTTGGAATTAGATTTTTGTTTTCAAATTGAAGTTTAATAAATAAATTCCTGGACTAATGCCAACTGTACACATGGATGACTGTATGAACAGGATAGAACAGTTCATTCAAGGCACAAATAAGCATCTGCAGAATCAATTCATGGGAAAGTTACAATACATGTTAACTCCAGTTAACATGGAATCTGATGGATAGTTTTCGCTACTTCAGGCATAATTCAACAAATAGCAACATTGTTAAAAATGTATTTTTTGAAACATAATTTAAGCAGAGGAGAAACACTACATACTCAAACCCTGATCAAGTATCACAGAAACCCAGGTGCCCACCAGTGCAGGTGGTATTTGACCAAACATTACCACCTAAGGACTATGAGACAGAAAAACTGGTAAACCTTTTCATATTTTCTTCAAAATAGTTTTAAAAGACTGACTTTGTTTGCAAGGTAAATCTAAACCAATGTAATCCCATTACAACAAGATCTTGTTTGACCCTGAAAAGATAATTGCTATAAGAGCTGGCCAACACATGCCCAATTTATACAGTATTGTACTTTGAAGTTGATTCATTGTACAGGAGTCAAGTGGGAGGTGAAGCAAACTTCGGGTATTACAAATACAAAGCAGTGCAGCTCCACTCTGAAAGCGGGTACCCCAAGAATGGTCCGAGAACTTTTAAGGGATTGTTTTGCACAGTAATACTTTTATGTTTGTTTGCTGCAGCATTCTATGATTCTATGTCTGCTGGTTTCCATTAACCTTCAGGGCATGTTTCACTGCACGTTAGAGACTGAACAATGTCCAGATTTTCACAATAAGCTTGTACTCACTTCATTGCAGCAGGTGTGATGTACCAATCAGTTTCACGGTTTGCTGTAATTCACCTTGTGTTTCACTATATCCAAGTTGCCCACTGTACTTTTGCATCTTAACAGCACAAACAGATCAAAATCCATAACACGTTTCGCCCACAAAATTCGCAGTCGATCCACTGTACAATATATTCTGAGAAGTGCTTTGAGATGCCTCAATGACATGATAAGGTGCTATATCAAATGCAAAGATTATTATCAACACAACTTTATTCATTTTACAACCAAAATGGGCAACCAATTTGAATGGTTGAGTTAAATGGTTCCTTTGGAAGGTTTCTTTTATTTTTAAAAATAATGAACTCCAAATATTTTAGTCTGTGTAAGCTACAACTTTCCATGTACAGAATACCACTTGGAGTCTATTAAGACTGCTTTTATCTCCTTTATGAAATGGAGAGGATTGTAAACCACTGTAATAAATTAAACCGATTAGTTGCAGCAGACTTCTGAAATAAGTTAAACTTAATTGATGTGTGCAACTGAGACCTTCCTATATTGGAAAGGTCTTAGGGGAGTGGGAGAATGTATGGAGGAAGTGAAGGGGATAATACTTAACTTGAAAGAGCAGTCAAATTGATGCTTTAGAGAAAACTAACACTCTCTGCAAAAGATGCTGCAGTTGCATCTCCTGGACATTGAGTCACATGGGTCAAGATACACCAAACACACCTGCACATAACATATAGGAATACTTATACATCTTTACAAAAGAAAAGACAAATAAAATAAATACATTCAAGTAGTACGCATTAATAAATCCATATACAGTAAACCTCACATATGTCATATCGGTTGGGACCATACGTTTAATATGACTTATGAATATGAGTTGTGTGAAATGTATTAATGGGAAATTAAATGGGACTTGGGTAGACGTAAAAAAAATTTTTTTACATCTACCCAAGTCCCATTTAATTTCCCATTAATAATGAACTCCAAACTCCCATTTAACTCCCAAATTAACTGCCATTAATAAGTCACTCAATCCATGACTGTTTGTGGGACACTGCTGTGCACAATTGGCTGTTGCGTTTCGCCCACAACTATACAGTCAATTCACTTTACAGTATATTCTGTGAAGCGCTTTGAGACGTCTCGAAGGCGTGATAAGACGCTATATCAAATGCAAGGATTATCATTATTATCTATGACATAGGCGATTATACAATTTATACAGATCCAACTTATGCGGGTTTTACTGTATTATTCAGTTAAAAATGCAGCATCTCTTTTGCAGAGCCCTTTTTTAATGTTAAAACTCTTAAAAATGTTCACTCACAATTCTCTCTCAAGGTAAAATAACCTTATTTGAGAGCCTCTATCAAAAGGTTGTCTTTACATAGGATTGATTTTATTTTGGTAATTGAAACATTTAGTCTGTAAACTGTAAATATGTTTCAGTGTAAACAAGATCAGGTTTCTAGAACAGCTCTTTCTATTAAGAGGCAGTATGCGTAATCAGATTGTTTTAGCATTCAGTCTTTGAGATACTGAATAAAAAGGATATTTACTGCTCTTAGAAATGGTAAAAGCATGGAACCACTTTATGTTTATTCTGTCTACGCATAGCAGTTACTGAGCGATACAAACACAGAAAAGTCCCAGTTAAAAAGTGACACTCCTCATTTTTCTTTCCTGGAGCCTTTAGAAGTCCTGAAAGGTAAATAAAAATATCCACAGCTTAGTAAATAAGTATACGTTTCTAATCAAATAGTATTTGTAGTAAAGCAGAACTAGGGAAAATTACATAGAGTCAATGAAAAGAGGCTAGTAAAAAATAACTTCAGTCAATTACTCAAAAAGGTAAGTGTATATATCGCAAGGTAGTGACCTCAACTGGCCAACCAAAGAGGCAGAGTTAAATAAAGCCTGGAATAATGCTGTCTCGTCTTTAATATAAAAATCAGAATAAAGAGAGCAAGCGAGTTCTCATTGAAATAATTCAGGAAATTCCAAATCTAAAGTAGTAGCTAGTAAATGCACAGAATAGTACAGTTAGGGACTAGAGTCTGCAAAAAATGACAGTGCAAAATGTCTGCAACACAACTTTCAGGACTCAAACCCATCCCATTGAGTTGTGCATCCCACACACTGTGTAAAAGCTAGGAATAACATCATGTCAGATTCTATTTTATTTGGTCTTCTTTGAAATCTTTTGTATCACAGAAAGACCAAAATAGCTTGCTGCTTTCTCAGATCATAATTTCATCCTGTTCTTGTGAACTCAAGCTAGGGGGTGATTCTCCAATTGTCTGCTGATAAAACAACCTTGTCAGAGAACATATCTGATCACTGCTATAACAGAAATACTGATTGACACTGATGGTGTAAACTTTCCCATTATAAACTCACACTGATGCGTTACATTTTCCAACCAGTAGGAATACTGTAGGCATTTGTCTGCCAAGATTGTTAAATTGATAGGCAATTTGAGCTGGTTTGCTTTTCACTTGCCTCCGGTTGGCAAATCAATCCACAACTGATAGCAGCCTGTTAACAGGTCTCTGAAAGACTGCTTGACTAGGAAGTGGTGCTTAGCACAGGGGTGAGGAGGGGGAGAAAAGCAGAGGAGGAAGCCAAACACTCATGCCTACAATTGGGGTGCTTTAGTTTTTAAAGTGCTCCTGGATGCATGAAGGGCATTGTGTAAATGTAAGTTGTTGTTAACATACAACTGCTTCTTGGTTAGTACACAATAACTTGTGTTTTTATAGCGCCCCTCACACAGGGTAACTTCTCAAGAGTGCTTAAAAATAACTATGTACAAATATGATGTCTTACAAAAGGTACCGTACTTACCAAACAATACAACAGGAAACAAATACTATACAACAGGAAACATATGTTCCAATGAAGCCAAGGGGAGCCCAAAATAAAAACAAACAATACACTTTATGTCAGGGTTTTGTGCTCACAGTCTTGACTGACACTCCACATACACTTGGGAGCATGAGTTTTTGGAAGTTCCATCCTTCAGATGAGACATTAAATCAATAAGGGATTTGTTTGTTTTGATCAGGCGGAGGTTAAAGATCCCATAGCGCTATTCAAAAAGAGCAGGGAGTTTCTCCCAGTTTCCTGGGCAACAATCCCCCAGACAAAACTGGTCATTCATTTCATGACTGTTTGTGGGACATTGCTGAGTGCAAATTGGCTGCTGAATTCAACCAAACAATACACAGTGACTCCACTTTACAGTAGACCCTGTGAAGTGAAGGGATTTGCCTTAATAAGTGGGTTAGGGAGGTTTCAGTGTTCTTCCTGCTCCCGATCGCCATCCAGTGGCTTCTTCTGAAAGGTGCATTAACAGGGACTTTGGATGAGAAGAGGATCAGATTTGGTTGTGAGTCCCCTCAGCCCCTTGCAATTGAATAGCCTGCCAACATTTACTGTCACGAGTCACACATGTGTAATAGCTACTTAGCTAGGACACCAGAAAATAACCCTAGAACCTACCCTTGTAGAAGGAATCATGGGTCAAATGCTTCAGGAAAGGGGAGAAAGTGGAGAGGGAAAAGAATGAAACCAAATTAAGCTGCTTTTAGCTCATGTGGAAAGCATACCACAATCTTGCACTACGGACCCCTTTAAAGTTGCAAATGAAAATTGATGAAAGTGCAGTCTTATTACTGTACAGATCATGGTTGATCAGGTTGTCTCTTTTTGGGATAAGCAGTTGTGAAATTTAATGAACTGCATACAGTACTTGTTCTTTATTATTAAAAACCAAGAACTGAACTAATGCCACTTATTATTGATTGATGGATAAACTATTAATAGCAGGTTTGACCATTATGCAGGCTGTGTTCAATCACTCATGGGGATTCACAGGATATCCATAAATCATTGTGCTTCTCCCCAGAGCAACATCCTATATCAATACTTATGAACCCTGGTAATATACAGCATTGTACCCAAGAGAACCATTGTTATATTGTACAGGATCTCAATTTATTTTAATTCACACCATTTAGATGGATGTGAACCTTTCAGGTAACTTGCGTTCATCAAGGTGAAAAATAATAATGCTGGAGAAATTGACCTTTACCACGCAGAATATTTCATGTTGCAACTTTCTTTACAAATGGCTTGCATCCCCCTCCTCACCAGAAATGTTCTAACACACTATAACATGGAGTCTCACTTTGCCCCCACGTGAGCAGCTCCTGCTCTCAATTGTGTTCCCATAGGATACTGCATTTCCCCTTAAAGGAAGTGAATATCCAGTAAACCTGAAGAACTGACTGGTGGCTGGCTAGATAGGAGCACTCATGTAGGACACAGAGCAATATCCCATCCTTTACAGAAATGTGCAGGACCAGAAACTGATCTTGTTTACTTTCTTTATTGCTGCCGCACATTGATTCAGTGTGCTATCCCCCAGCACCTCCTGATCCCACTGATGTGTTGTGTCCTGTAATCTATTACTGTTTAGTTTAACATTCCCATTGCTTATTCCCCTTCCCCAGGCTCATTACATTGCATTTGTTCTCATTAAAAGACATCTGGCACTGGCCAGCCCGCCCTTCCAATCTACACAGTTCCCTCTGAATAAGGTCCCCGTGTTTCCCCATAAGTCCCCTTAATTCATGCCACCACAGCTCCATGTACAACTACCCTCTGCATCCTGTATCTAATTGCCCATCCACTTCAGAAACTACTCACCCCCTCACCCCATTCCATGTCTCCAACCATATTTTGGGCGAAAAAAGTCACACATTTAGTTTGAATCCAAGTAGACACTGTATCTTACAAAACAAAGCTATTGTTTTATTATGACAAATGCATATGGGAAAGTGTAGGATTATGAACACAGTATCACTGTACACACATAAAGGCCACAGGGTACCAATTTGCCAACCAGATTTACAAAGTTAAGAACATCAATTTCCTACTATCAATAACTAACAACAATGTCATATTGCACTTAAACTTAACCTAAACTATACTGGGTGCCTGAAAATCAGAACTAAGCTATCAGCAACACACAGAATGGACTGAAATCCTGGAAGCAGTATTAAAGTTGCAGAATCCCTTTCAGAAACACACAAGGCAGTCATTAAAATCCTAAGAGTATGTTGTAACAATCACAATAATCCTGGTATCAATTTCAAAAACTGTCGTCCAAATTGGCCTAACAGATATTACTAGGACATATTATTCTGGCATAAACATGTTATTGAGGAGGATTCCTATGTACATCAATGTTTTTTGAAAAAAGTATTTTTAGGGGTGAAGGATTGATTTATTAGATAAATTAGATAGAGCAACTTTAAAAAAAAATCGCACACACAAACACACATTCCAGGTCATTGATGTTACACTAACATTCAGTACTAATAAACTAAATAGATTGCGGCATTCTAGAAACAAAGACAGGATATTTACAGCACTATCTGATCGCTTTTGAATCAAACCAGCCCTTACTTTCTTTTGCTTTTTGTCTCTGTTGTCTGGAAAACACTAGAGGCTGACATGAGATTTTCTATGTATTGTCCAAGGACTTGATTTTCAGACTTCAGTTTCAGGTTTTCTTCTTTAACTGCGTCCACTCGTGCAGACAGGTCTGGGGGACCAAGGAGAAAATGCTGAGGTGTGTGGTCATTGTGCATCACACGAAGTTTCAAAACAGTTTCACACCATTATAACGGGGCACTTAGGTCCATAAAATCAGATCCCCGCATTATAACTATGAAAATGGTCGTCAGTTAGCACTTCTGGGTCATTAGGTTGTCATTAAGTTAAGGACCTGGTTCTTGTCCACGACCTGCCCACCCAACCTTTGGGGGTCGGGCCTTCAGCTTTTCTGCTCTCTGGAACTCCATCCCACAGTCCCACCACCTCGCCCCCTCCCTTGCCTCCTTCCATCACCTTGGGACATCCTTCCGGCGTGAAAGGTGCTATATAAATGTAATTTGGTTGTTGTCCTGTCTGACTATTCAGACAGACATAAAACATCAAACAACACTGTTTGAAAGGAGAAGGGAGTTTCTCCTGGTATCCTGACCAACAATCCTCCAGTCATTTACCACCTGGCTGTTTCTGGGACATTGCTGTGCACAAAGTGGCTCACATTTCACTATGATTAGATCAGTAATCTTCAGGATATGTTCCAATTGAAAAGCTCTCTGATCTACCAGAGTTAAAGATTTCGACTCCAATGAGAATGGACAAGTTTGTAAGTCCCAAATTTCACTCAAATATACTCAGTTCTCAGTTAGACCACAGTTAATGTACCACCTCCCTCGGCCATTGGTTTGACACGAACAAATTGTAAGGCTCTCTGCAATTGGCAATTCTCATTTTGACCATTGTTTCTGTAAAGTGCAGTGACTGCATCTGTGGGCAAATGCAGCACCCAATTTGTACACATCAATGCACCATGAAGTAAATAACCAATTTTATCCAGAGGATTGTTGGCCAACAGACTGGGAGAAACTCCCTTCTCTTTTTTCATACTACCATGGGATCTTTAACATCCACCTGAACAGTCAGATGGTACCTCAATTTAATGTCTTACCCAAAGGCATGACACCTCTGACAATGCAGCATTCCCCAACCCTGCATTGGTCAGCCTAGGCTATTTGCTTGACGTCCTCTACCTAGAGGCAAGAGTGCTACCAAATAAGACAGGCTGCAGCGATTCCCAACCATAGTCCATTCCATTCTACCACTGGCCGCACGCATAGAGATATCTCAACATTCACTCTAGGGTTGATTGATCTTCTTTAACATGCACAGTGGGCGCACACCACAGCATTTGAAGAAGTTCAGTTACCTTCTAAAGTGTGTTGAAGCTCCAGAACCTGATTAATCAGCCGTGTCTTCTCTTCTAATTCTACTTGGTTCTCAGGGTCGGTTGCTGTAAAGTGACAGAAAAATTACACAATATTTTCAAATCAAAATCAGTGAATGAATGCACAGACTCAGGGATTTAACTCATTATAGGAGAGCTGCTGTTTAAAAATGAGAATTATATTGGAGTTAGAGCTTACATTCATTGCGACTTTCCTCCCTAACTCACCATCCTTACAGGGTACATTAATAATTAAATTGAATTGTTAAACTAGAATTAGAATGCGCAGCATAGTTATAAAAGAATGATTAAACACAAAGAGTATTTTGAAAAAACAAATTATATTTGTATAGAACCTTTCACGCCGGGAGCACGTCCCAAGACACTGGACAGTAATGGATTAAAACATTTGAAAACTTATAATTTAATGGGTGGTGGTTTGCATACTCGAGACCCTAAAGCCTCTCTGCTTACTGACTCTGGAGCATTTGGGCTGCGGCCTTCACACATCTTCCGCGCTAATTTCCTTTCTTCCTTCTGGGTATATAAACATCTTAGGATCTCCTCTCTCTGACCTGCATTACAAATGCATGTACGTGTGTGGGCAAGTGGGGGATGGGTGGGGGGGGGGGGGGGGGGGAGTGTTGCTTTTTACTTTGAGCATGAAACCTATTCCCATTCTTGTAATCTTTCTTTTTATTTAGAGAGTTCTGTATATATATTTATATACATACTGTCGTCTCAAAACAGAGCCTCTCTACACCATTTAGGAATTGTTTTTTGTGTGTTTTTTTACTGTAATAATAATTAACTATAGTTTCAGAAAACAAAAATAAAAGTTTTAAAAATATATATATTTACCCATTAAACAAAATGTTCTGCTGCCCACATCATTTTCTGTTCTAAATGGTTGATTAGATAAATCGACATTATTGCAGTGTACAGTCTTGACCTTATATGGAACAAGTCATAGTTCTAGGTGTTATTAAACATCGTTATGTGGTTTTACGGTATCCCTGGCTTGGGTATATCTCTTCCTTCAAGGCCGGCCATCCTTTACTCATGACTTTACTTTGTTTGCTAGGTCTTGTATTCACTGTTTCCTGTGTGTAAGTCCTTTCATCCCTTGTTTCCCAGCAAGAGACACAAATATTTCTGTCAGAATGCCAAGGATTGAGTGTCTGAGTGTTTATGGCGAATCTCCTTATATAGGAGGTGGTGAGGATGTGGAACTCAACTCAGGTCTCTCACTTGCAGAGCACTCGCTTTGCAAGTGAGAGACCTGAGTTCAATTCCAGGCAGAGGGCGAAACCTTGGGCAAGTTTCCTTACTCCACACGCCTAATAATAATCCCTTCAAAAAAAAACCAAAAACAATAATTAATTGGTCATTTTCAATCTACGACTGTTTGTGGGACATTGCTGTGCGCAATTGGCTGCCGCGTTCGCCCACAAATATACAGTCAATTCACTTTGCAGTATGTTCTGTGAAGCGCTTTGGGACGTCCTCCCGACGTGAAAAGCGCTATATCAAATGCAAGGATTATTATTATTATTATTATTATTAGAAGCTGTAATTGAAGCAGAAAGCATCAACGCATTTAAGAGGCAACTCAATGCATACAGAAAGGAGATGGGAATAGAAGGATATGGGGGGAGGCTGGGGGAAGGGAGTGAATTAGAATGGGTGCAGAATATAAACACCAGCTCAGACCAGTTGAGCTGAATGGCCTATTTGGATGCTGTAGATTCTATGAATTTTACTGAATCCTGCAATGAATATGTTATATAAAAAAACAACTAATTGTTTCTCAATCGCTTCTGTGGCCTCTATTTTATGTTTAGAAATGCTGGCTACAGCCAGATGCCCCCCACCGTATATCATCATGAATTGCTGTAATGGATCCTAGACAGCAATCCTTACTGGGAAAAGGGAAAGGTACAAGTAGAGATTTTAGGCATTCTGAAAGAAACAACAGACCTGGTACTTTATACTATACCTTCCATATCTGCATTCATATTGAACTGGTCACTTTCTAGTTCTGAATTGAAGATCCTTGGTCTAGAATCTGCTACATTGGAGAGAAACAATATGATTAAGGTCTTTGTATCCCAAAAGAATATTTAGTGATAGTTTGTGTCAATTCCCGCAAAGGCTCAGCTGGTAAATGTTCATTCCTTCTCTGTGCTGGGTTAGCTAAACTCAGCCAGTAACATTGCAATTTTCCTTAGCACCCCAGTAAAACTGGGTTAGAAAAGAGAATTTAAGTAAGATTACTGCTCCTGATCAGTATCAAGTGACATTTCCTGGAAAGTATGTATACATGTGTGGACATCTTGGCTCAAATTTCAACATTTAAGAGAATTTTGTCTTAAGATCCTTCAATTGACTCTTAATTTAGAAGCCGGTTGTTTTTAAGAACTGTGGAAAACTGGCTCCAAAATAAAGACTGAATTGAAGAATGTTCTACGATTCTGCGTGATCTTAAATTTGTAAACACAAAATGGTCCTGAATTAGTTCTAAGTTTATATAGCTCCCTGTCAACAAGATTAGTGCAGTGCTGGGGGCATGCTTCATTATTGGAAGCGCTCTGAGACACCGTCCGGCGTGGAGGGCGCTGTATAAATCCAAGTTGTTGTTGTTGTTGTTAAATATACCATGGCACTATTTGAAAAGAGATCAGAGTTTTCCCCGGTGTCCTGTCCAATAATCCTCCTGATAATGTTGCTCATTCACTTCATGACTGCTTCTGGGACATTGTTGTGTGCAAATTGGCAACTGTATTTGCCTAACAAAACACACAATCACAACAATTTACAAAAAAAGCATTTCAAGATGCTAAAGGCAATGGTTATTATTATTATCAGTAGTAATACTATTATTAACTTGCAAAAACCTCTTGTACCTGCTGATGGTTTATGCTGTGATTCCACACCAATTGATGTTTGTCATTAGTGGTAAGACCATCCAAAAAAAGCTCATTTCCATAAAACTGCTTTGATGGCTGCAAGGATGACATGGAACACATCACAGCATAGGCACAGCTATATATAGTACATAATTCAAGCTCAGCACTGGATAGGGACGCGAAATTCACATGGGGGGCCACAGAAGAGATCCTCGTATGATTAGACACAGAAAATCCTATAGATCAAACCACCTCAGGATTTCCTTAATGATTTCAGGAGGAAGAGAGCACTGGTATAACTGCACTTGTGCCTATAACAACAATAACAACAACAACAACAAAATTACATTTGTATAGAGCCTTTCATGTCCAGAGGACGTCTCAAGGTGCTGGACAGAGTTTCGGACTCGAGCTGGGGGTTTGGATCGGGGAGGGTGGAGGGCAGTGGGGGGAAGCAGTGTAATCGAAAGCATGGTCGAAGAGTAGGTCTTGAGATGGGTCTTGAAGGAGGTAAGGGACTGCGAGATGGAGTTCCAGAGGGTGGGGGCAGAGTGGCAGAAGGCCCGCCCGCCAATAGTAGGGCGAGCAAGGCGGGGGATGTGAAGCAGGCAGAGCCCGCTGAGCGGAGGGAGCGAGCAGGATGGTAGGGGGTTCGGAAGTCCAGAGGTAGGGGTTAACAAGATCATGGAGGTCTTTGAAGGTGAGGACCAGGATGTTGAATTGTATCCTCTGTGTGATGGGAAGCCAGTGGAGTTGGGCGAGGATGGAGTCCTGTAGCTCAGTGGTTAAAGCACTCGCCTTGCAAGCGAGACACCTGGGTTCAATTCCAGGCAGGGCGACACCTTGGGTAAGTTTCCTTACTCCACACGCCTGATAATAATCCCTCCAAAAAACCAAAACAATAATAAATTGATCATTTTCAATCTACAACTATTTGTGGGACACTGCTGTGCACAATTGGCTGCCGTGTTTCGCCAACAAATATACGCTGTATCAAATGTAAGGATTATCATATCATAAATATTATTTATTATTATTATTGTGGGGATGATAGGGTCACGGAGCCTGGTGCGAGAGAGGACACGGGCTGCAGAGTTCTGGATGATCTGCAGCCTGTGGAGGGAGGAAATGGAGAGGCCGACAAGCAGGGAGTTTGCATAGTTAAGCCTCGATGTTATGAATGTCTGTATGAGGGTTTCAGAGGCCTGTGGTGTGAGACAGTGGCAGAGCCGGGCGACGTTGTGGAGGTGGGGGAAGGCAGAGCGTGTCACGGCACAGATGTGGGGTAGAAAGGCTAGTTGAGGGTCAAACAAGGTTCGGGACTGGCTATGCAAGGCGGAGTGTGCAACCACGCACAGTGAGCGCCTGAGGCTATAAAATATTTGATTTCATTCGGCTTATCAAAATAGCCCGAAATGCGATCAAACACCAATCTAGGAATCCTCCTGCCTTTAAAGCACCGAACTGAACCCAAGTCGAACTGAACCCACGAACAACAGTCGAACCAAAAGCAAAAGTAAAAAAAAATTTAAAAAAATAAAAAAAGAAGTAAGTAAATGGGGAATCCCTATATTTTTGAATGAAAAAAAATAAATCGTCGAATCAGAGACAAGGTCATGTTTGGTTTTGAAATGAGATGTTTTGGTATGGTCAGGTCAGCACAACATCATCTTGCTCCAGTGCAGCCCAGACATACCATGTATGCAGTGCTGATCTAATGGGGATACACAGCTACACTGTAAACCCAGTGCATTGCAACAACAGGGGCTCCATGTTCACACACAGCAATGTCATTGTGCAGACCCTGCAATCTCTCTCTCTCTCTCTCTCTCTGGGGGGGGATCTTGCATCTACTAAATCTGTGTCCTCCCCTTCCTGGGGATCTGCCCCCTCCCCCCACTCTCTCCCCCCCTCTCTCTCTCTCTCTCTCTCTCTCTGTGTAGGGCCTAACCATTTGCTGTGTGAGGAGGGTGCAAAGGAACTAGTCAACACCCAGTGTTGCTGATCTCTCAGCTGCTCTCCAGCCTCTGCACAGGGCTGTGACTTACCTTAGATCACCATCTACCCCAACATACCTGGATCACTCCCTTCCCTGCCTGAAGCTGTTGGTTGTCTCTGTGGCGAGGTTGTGTGGGGTGGGTGGGGGGGGTTGGGGGGGTGGGGGGGAGGAAATGTCCAATCGATGCAGATCGAGGAAGCAAAATATTTCAGGAACTGACTTGACATGAACACAGAGCAGCCACCAGGGGGGAGAGAGAGACACAGCCACTGGGAAGGAGAAGAGGAAAACCAGACACAGAGGCAATGTGTGTCTGTGTGTGTCCATTCCCAATCTATGCCTGAGCACCGGTTCAGTATTCAGCTATAAAAATAATAATAATAATCCCTGCAATTTAATATAGCCCCTTATCACGTCGTTCGAGACGTCTCAAAGAGCTTCGCGGACTGTGCCGTAAGGTGCACCACGTGGGAGAAACGCGACAGCCAATCGCGCAGAGCAAATGCCAACCGCGTTAGCTTTTTTTTAAAAAAAAGTTTATTTTTTTCGCACACCATCGCAATAGATCACAAAGAAATCATTTGTCGTTTCGCCCGCAAAATATACAGTCCCTCCACTTTGCAGTAAGCGCTTTAAGACGTCTCAACGACGTGATCAGGTGCTATATCAAATTAAAGATTACTATATTATTAACCAATCAAGTATGAAATAAAAACAGAAATTCCAGAGATCCACAGCAGCCAAAAATGAAAACAAATGGTGGCGGGGATGGGGTTTAACTTACTGAGGTGGCATTTTTAATCAGAACTGAAAGGGGAAGCGGGATCTCTCTACATTTGTGCAGGGGGGTGGGAGAGATTTTATTGCTTATCACTTATTGGGGCTGCCCATTGCATTGGTTCAGTTCTGATGGAGGGTTAATAACCAAAATCTTGATTTATTTTCTATTTTTATTATTCAGTCATCTTTTTCCTCCTCACCCTCTTCAGCTCCCACCTCTCAGCTTGGATTCCCAGACAACACTATGATGCACTTAGAGACAACAATAACAACAAATTACATTTATATAGTGCCTTTCATGTCAGGAAGACATTCCAGGGCGCTGGATTTGCCCAGTGAATGGTTTGCACCCCAGCTACGGCCTGGAGTCAAGAGGTGTTGAGGGTGTGGGGAAAGGGGATGGTTATGGGAAGATGACCAACAGCACAGTCGAAGAGGAAGGTTGAAGAAACATCCTCCCGACATACAAGATGCTGCATAAATGTAAATTGTATTGTATTTCTCATTCTCTCTTAGATGCTGATTGACCTACTTTGAATTTCCAAGACTAGGGGAGGTGAGTTTAAAATACATTTAAAAATAAGCCTTTCAATGGTTAGTCATTTTAAAAAGCCAAACACATCTCAAATAAGATAAAATGGATTTGCAAACTGCTGCGCCTTTGCTTCTCATAATTATCACTCCTAACCTTGTCCAACTGCACGTGGCAGCTGTATATAGACAAAGGCAATGGATGTCTCTGAGTCAAGGTTTTGAAAACAAAGAACTTGCAATCCATACACACCATATTGTGTCTAAGTAATTACTGTGACAGGTAGTGACAGTAATTGTTACTGTTTTTTGTAGGCGAATGCAGCAGTCAGCTTGCACACAGCAATGCCCCACAAGTAGCCATCAACTGACTAATACAATAATAATAATACTTGTGTTTGACGTTGATGTCGCGTCTTATCAATTTGCTGAGACGTCTCAAAGCGCTTCACACAATATATTGTAAAGTAAATTGACTGTATATTTTGTGGCAGAAATGCGGCAGCCAATTGCAAATAGCAGTATCCCACAAACAGTTTTATTTTGAGGAATTATTACCCCTGGAAAGCAATCCACCAATCGACTATCAACTGGGTTCCTACTTACTGTTAGGTAAACAGAGGTGTGTGGAATTAGCAAACTTGCCTTAGGTTTAACCTCCCCCCCACCCCGGAATCAAACCTGGGTCCTCTCGCTTGCGAGGCAAGCATGCTAACCACTATCCTATGGGACTCCACAACTAACCAGTTTTATTTGGGGGATTGTCAGTCAAGACACCAGGAGATACTGACTTGTCCTTTCGAATCGTGCCCATGGGATCTTTAATGTCCAACCGAACAGGCAGAGTTTAACAAACGTGCCTTTCTAATAATGAGACGCTATAAATGGGATTGAATAAGTAAACCCAGAACTAAACTTTAAGATACTCCCAAGGCAGCAGGACAAGAGGACACATGTTCAGTCCTGTGAAGGGCAACTTTAGCAATGTCAGCACTCTGAAGCAACAGGACTCATTTCATTAATTTACGACTGAAACGTGTTTTGAGGGGTGGCTGGGGGTGTGGGGAGGAGGTGGTAGAGACCATGATGCTGGATTCATGCAGGACACGGCTAGAGTTGATATTCTGGAAAATGAGATTGTTTGGGCTGAAGGGCCTTCTCTTGTGACCTTGTGAAGAAGGTGCCTCGTCATGTTAACCTTACAGACTAAACTTACTATACACCTGGGCCTTTATCTTCTCATTTAGACATTGCACTGTTCTCTTGTGATTCTTTTTTTCATAGAGGGAAAAACAACGCCACTTTGCTCAGGTCAGCAAACTGCTTCTTCCCGACAATGAAACCTGGCGTGTTCGTGCTAGCACACGCTTTATCTGAGCAGAGACTAGACACCGTTAGGCAATAATGGGCATGAATTCGCTAGGCAGCTGCTCAGGTATCCCAACAAGAAGGTCATCTTATGAATTCTAACAATAATAATCCTTGCATTTGAGATAACAATAATAACAACAACTTGCATTCATAGAGCACCCTTCAAGCAGGGCAGCATCTTGGAATATCTTCTAAACAACACGTTTATAAGGCAAGAGAATACAATCATTTGCTTTTACTTTCACTACTTCTATAAGGCAAGCGCAGGCTCCAGCCACTCTTTGAAATTCGTACTCCCAAATCTACAGAGCAAGCAAAGCTCAAAGGCAACCAAGTGCTTTGAAAGAAAGCCTCGACAACATTTTAAAGCTTGTTCGCGTCTATTAACCAGAAGGATCAGGAGGGGGGGAAACAGAGACGGCAGATATATTGCTCCTGCACTTCTGATTCACACGTTACTCATTAACCAGACTTTACCTGGATCGTCAGCCAGAGAAATAGTGGTGAACGTGCTGTCCTCTTCCTGACTCTCAGCCTGATCCATTTCTCTTCTTAAAATAGTCTATTCACACGCCATTATTTATATAACACAGCTGAAAAACACAAGGGAAAAATGCCTCGCTCAAGATCCTCTGCCTCTGGGCTTTCAGCCCAGTGGATGGTTAGTTTGATCTGAAAGAGGAGCTGCTACCTTTACTTGACATCTGATCTGGCAGATCCCTGTGACTGGGGTGTAGAGTACCGGATATTGTTAAAGGATAAAGTGTACAGTTAATGACTTGGAAACTGTCTCAGTAAACAAAATGCCGTACCACACTTTTGAACATTTGGTCACTCAAAGACTTCTGCCCCCCCCCACCACCCCCTCCCCCGTCCTTCTTTATATTGTGAATAGATGGTGTCATTCTTATTTTTGGGGGCCAGACATTTGTGTCTGACACATGAGGAAACCCAGCACCATACATCCAAACCGTGTGAACCTGACTAACTCTAGCTCTCCCCTTCAACTCCCATCCCGCTCTGACAAAAACAACAAATTACTTTTATATAGCGCTTTTCATGTCGGGAGGACGTCTCGAGGTGCTGGACAGTCAAGGAATTTACTTTCATTACTTATATAGTGTCTGTGGGTTGGAATCAGGAGGAGTGGAGGGGAGGGAGGAGTAGGAGGGTGACCCAAGGCAAGGTCGAAGAGGAACGTCCTGAGACAGGCCTTGAACGAGGCAAGGGAGGGGGCGACCTCACTAACACTGCAACACTGCTACCACTGCACCAGAGTGACGCACACATTGGCGCAATGGTAGCACTCTTGCACTTCTGCAATCAAAGTCAACATAAACTTCAGGGAACAGTATTTACTGTTTCTATTTGGTACAGTTCAGTCAATTAGCCTGAACATCGACTTCTTCACACCTTGGGAATCTTCTCTAATTCCCACTACTGTGTATTTATGGGCAAATGTAGCAGCCAATGTGCCAATATAATTGTTAAATGCAAAGAAAAAGGATGTACTGTTCCTGATACAATGCACTCATAATAATAATCATAATCATCCTTGCATTTGATATAACACTTTTCACATCTTCTAAACTTCTCAAAGCGCTTCACAGATTATACTGTAAAGTGAATTGTGGGCGAAACGCGACAACCAATTGCGCACAGCAGTGTCCCACAAAAAGTCGTGGATTGAAGTGAAAAGCGATAAAACGCTTTGAAGTGAATAGTTCAATTAAAAACAAGTCTAACTACAGTATTGATACAGTTGATTCTGAACCAGCACCTCCAATACCGAGGAACATCCCTTAGTTTAGATCTATTAAAAAAGTGAAATAAATAATAATAGCACCTTATCACATTATTGAGACGTCTCAAAGCACTTCACAGAATATACTGTAAAGTGGATTGACTGTACATTGTGTGGGCGAAACATGGCAGCCAATGAGCACAGCAGTGTCACACAAACAGTCTTGGATTGGGTGACCAAATTACTATTTATTTGTTTTTTTGAAGGGATTATTACCCCCTGAAAGCAATCCACTAATCAACTAACAACCGGGTTCCTACTTACTACTAGGTAAACAGAGGCGTGTGGAGTAAGGAAACTTGCCTAAGGTTCCTCTCGATGGGCAAGGCGAGCGCTCCAACCAATACGCTACAGGACTGCATGAGGCTACTGGCTAGTAGTGAGGTAGTAAGGGGGATGGCAAAAGCTAGTTCAATGATCTTCCCAAAGTAATGCTAGTAAAACAGTGTTTGGCATTTTGTTGCCAGTGATTGTGTCAGAAATTCTACCTGGGGGATATCAAAGGGATCCACAGCCAAGTCTAATCCTGTCTTGCAGCCACATTCACAAACGCACTCTTGCCAGCAGAATGGTCTAGGTGGCTGATTCTCCCTCCCCTGATGGGACCAACTGTAGTGCTGACCAGCCTCGCCAAGGCCATTGGGATTACCTGTCGTGATGTGTAAATTCTCATTGGTGCAGTTTCACTCAGAGAGGGAACTTGCACGATACAGAGAAGGGACTGATACAGAGGCCATCTAGTACACCGGGCGCTTGTCATAACGGGGGGATACAATTAGGGGTGAGGGCCGTTGTGCTGCCGCAATGGTCATCTGCACTCGTTCACAGGACATACCGGAAAAATAGGAACGTGTCAAAACTGCGACCGCTCCATGGTCATCTCCTCAAGCCATTGAAACTGAGCGCTGAAATGCCGTGGGTAAGATCTCAGTCACTCGGAGCCCAGATGAAAGAATGAAATACTGTGGGAAAGCCATGGTCGTGGGTGGATTGCTTTTACTATACCATACAATCACAGCAAAGATTGGATCAGCTAAATTTCCTTCGCTTCATGCCAACATGTTGCAAATGAAGAGCTTTTCCAACAACCAATATTTCACACACCCCGAGGCTGCCAGTACTTTAGTGGGAAATTAATTTTCTTTCATTAATAGATAGGCGGCACCAGGGAGCATTGCTATCTTCCCGCTGATGTGCTCCCTGCTTAAATCCAAGCTGTCTGCCAGTCAATATTTTGAGACAATTAATTGTTCCTCTTCCCCCCCCCACCCCAGCCCAGAGCCACTGAGAGAAGTTGTTGGCCAACGCCACCTCCTCTGCCCCTCTCCCCACACCCCCTCTCCCACCTACACACACTCACACGTACATACTCAACCCCTGCTGAGATCAGTTGTGTTGAACCTGGGGGTTTTGGGATCTATGTGGCTCAGTTTCACAGCATGCTTTGTCCACTGAGTCATTGGAGGAGAGTGGTATTATTTATTTGTTCGTGAATAGTCCAAAATACATTTATATAAGGTGATCTAGTGAAACATGGTCTTCTGTGCTTTGGCCAAAGTAGTAGTAATAACAATAATCCTTGCATTAGATATAGCAGCTTATCACTCATTGAGACATCTCAAAGAGCTTCACAGGATATTCTGTAAAATGGATTGTCTGTATTTTGTGGGTGAAATGCAGCAGCGCCTCCGACAGTGCAATATACCCCAGTACTGCACTGGACTGTCAGTTTAGAATATGCGATTTCAAAACCCAGCGTAGGGCTTGAACCCACAACCTTTTGACTCAGAGGCAAGAGTGCTATCACTGCACCAGGCTGACACACACACTGGCGCAATGGTAGCACTCTCATCGTGTACTGGGGTCTAGGATCTATTACTAATAAAATATACAGTCAATCCACTTTATACTATATTCTCTGAAGTGCTTTGAGATATCTCAACGACATAATAAGGTGCAATATGAAATGCAAGGATTATTATTATTAATACAGTGAAATTCTGAGAACTCTGATAATTGCTGCTGCTGCTGCAATCCATTTAGAAACCACAAGGTGACAGTAGACAACACGCCTCTTTGAACGAGAAAACCAGTCGTGATTCACCGTATTAACATTGCTCAATTCCTAGGAATGCTGAGAAAAAANTTAGTAACCAAGTTTCTGTTGCACAATCTCCAATAGGCTTGATAGGTAGCACTCTCGCCTCTGAGTCAGAAGGTTATGGGTTCCAACCCTACATCAGAACTTTTAAATTATATTCTAAGGCGATACTACACTACAGTGCTGGGGAGCGCTGCATGGCTGGAAGTGCCGTCCTTTCAATGAGATGTTAAACTCAGATCCCATCTGCCTACTCTGGTGGATGTTGAAGATCCTATGTTACTATTCATAAAGAGAAGGGAGTTTCTCCCAGTGTCCTTGCCAATAATTCTCCAGATAAACTTGGTCATTCACTTCAGGGCTGTTTGTGAGACATTGTTGTTTGCAAATTGGCCCTCGCGTTAATAATAATTCTTGCATTTAATATAGCACGTTATCACATCATCGAGGCATCTAAAAGCACATCATAGGAATTACTGTAAATTGTGGTGACTGTGTATTTTGTAAGTGAACATTCCTTACAAATATAATCACTTTTACACAGAAACACTTTGAAACGTTCTTGGCATTTGCGGGGTTATATGAAATGCACAGATTATTACTGATTTAATTGTATAAACTGCAATGAAATATTTTCTGAATTGTAAAGTTCTTTCATATTGCATTTGTTTTAATCCCTTTGGCCCCATGTGAAAAGGTGTTGCAGCCACCTCTTTCCTTGTTCAGCTCAGATCAGGAACTGGGTAAAATGGAGGATGAAACCTAGGACCTCATGTTGTTAATCATTGGGTAGCTCTATCATACTGATCTAGGACAATAGAAATAAAGAATGTAATTGTGTGTTTCTGCCTGGAGGCCTCGAGGATGCTGGAAAAGTGCAATCTGTACAGCATCTATCTATTTTAGCAGAAACATGCAACAACAACTTGCACTTATATAGCGTCCTCCACACAGGGTAGTGTCTCAGAGCGCTTAACAATGGCGGAGCCTGACTCCGAGCCGGAGACCAGGGGAAGGTGACCGTAAGCACAAGGTTTTCAGGCGGGACTTGACATAAAATAGTCCATTTGCATTCCTGTACAGGAGAGAGAGAGCCAATAGATGAAACTTTCAGTAAGAGTGTCAGAAAAGTGGTGACTCGCAATGTCAAGGACAAAGCTTCTCTATCAGTAAATTCTGCCGGTAATTGTCAGTACCTCACGGCCAACATGGGGTTAACAGGACTTTGTGAACACCCTGTAGTGATGGTTATCGGCCAAATACACCGATACCAAATTTGAGTCTCTATTTGTGAATCCCGTCTCGTTTTCAAACCCAATATTGAAGCATAACGTTAGACAGCAAATATTCAGCAGTATGAACCAGTGAAGCAACTGTTCTCTGATGGGTGGCCACGAGCAGGGAGCTACTGCCTTGTTTTCACCACCTTGAAGTAGGATATTCTCCAATTAAGTTTTCACCCACCAAGAGCTGTCAGTTAAACTGAGGATTGGATGGGAAGAAGAAGAGAATGCACCTTTGAAACAGAGGAGGGATTATACAGCGGGAGGGAAGAGGTTCCACAGGGGGCTGCTGGCAGGGAGCAAGGAGCAAGTAAACAATACCAAACACCAGAGACTTAGGAGGAGGCCAGCCACCACAGGCTTTTGAGCTGCTTTGCCTTTTCACTCCCTGTCGCTAACACATTGCCAGGACAAATTAGTTACTGGAATGTTCCAGCCCTGGAATGTGCTGAATGCACATTGTGTTTTTGTAATAAAGAAACTAATTTGGAAAAAGAGTCTAATTCTGAAAATGTTGCTGACGTGAAAATACAGTATGTTTGTGATT